ATTTCTGAACAAAAACTATCCAACAGCAGACGATTTCCTTCTATCTGACGTCAAGAAGAAATATAAAGAAACTTTCGGTATCGTTAAAACATTCGATGTACTGACAGAAGAAATAGAAGCTACGAAATTGTTTAGGATTTCAAATATACATCATACAATTCATGTAAAACGCTTATAAAATAACAGGTGAAAAAAGAGGTGAAAAAAGAGGTGAAATCTCACCTCTTCACCTAAAATATATTTTTATTGAATTCTGTATAAAATTCTGAGTAAAATGACATATGGAACACATACTTTTTCAGTAAGGACATATGGGTAGAAATGAGGGTAGAAAACGGGGTAGATATACCCTTCTACCCTAAAATATATTTTTGTCTGTTTTACACTCATTGGACGATTAAAGTCTTGACAAAAACATATACGATGAAGTCTTGACAAAACATATACGAAGAAGTCTTGACAAAACATATACGAAGAAGTCTTGACAAACATATACGAAGAAGTCTTGACAAAACATATACGAAGAAGTCTTGACAAAACATATACGAAGAAGTCTTGACAAAACATTTACGATGAAATCATGAAAATTCATGAGGTGAAAAAAGAGGTGAAAAAACAGGTGAAATCTCACCTCTTCACCTAAAATATATTTTGCTGAAAAAAATGACCAAATTTCATGAATTTCCTTAAGACAGAAAAAATAACGCTAGTTTTTATAAAATATTTTTTTATTTTGTATGTAAAGACAGATATGTCAACATCAGAGAACACAACAACTGCTATCGTTCATGAAGCCATAAATGAAAATATGAGTACATACAGTTTAACAAACAACTCCGTCTCATTCGTTCGGTCAAAGATGACATGTACCAAATGCAAAGTATTTTGACAGCATGTTTTGCTCCAGATACTAAGAAACCACAAGACTGGTTTGAATTAAATAGCACTCATGAACTCCTCAGTGAGTTTGAACATGTAGAACTTAAAAAGATGTACCAAGACAGACAAAACTTACCATCACATCTAAAAGGTATATATGTTCATAAGTTCCTAGTTAGTTCAATAGCAATGTGGGCTTCGCCTCGCTATGCTTGGTATATTTACAGACTTCTTGACGAAGTTGCTGAAAAATACATGTAAAGCGTTTATTTTTGGTCTTTTATACAAGATAGAAAATAACGCTAGTTTTTTATAAAATATTTTTTTATTTTGTATGTAAAGACAGATATGTCAACATCAGAGAACACAACAACTGCTATCGTTCATGAAGCCATAAATGAAGAATATGAGTACATACAATATAACAAACAGTTACGTCTCATTCGTTCGCGTCAAAGACGATATGTACCAAATGCAAAGTATTTTGACAGCTCTTCGTTCTACAAAGCAAGCATATCATTTTTGAAAACCAGCAGGCAAAAGAACTTTTAGAAGAATTTCCTCATATGTTTGCGTTCCTCGGAAAACCGAGGAACGAGATTCCGTACGAAAATCGTAAAAATTTGCCAAATAGTTTGAAAGGATATTATGTTCATAGACTTTTAGTAAATGCTGTAGCAATGTGGCTTCACCTCGTTACGCTTGTTATATTTTCATGATGTTAGATGAAATTCATAGACAAGAACGTGAAGAGATGGAAAAGAAACTTCAAGCAAAAGATGAAGTCATTGAAGCAAAAGACAAAAACATACAGAAAAGAATACCACGTTCGGTACCAAAAGGAAAGGAAAAGAACTATAAGTATATGATTTACACTGAAGAGATGGAAAATGAAGAAGACAGAGATATGGTTATGTTGCATTTAGTCAGAAGAAACAACAAAAGCTTTTACGACCTTGCTAAGATTTACAAATCTGACAGAAATTGGTTCTATCGCGAAAACTTACCGATTTCAATGACACCGAATGAAGATGTTAAACAGATAGTTCAAGATACGTTACCTCAAACACACTATGATATTAAAGGTTGTACAATTTTTACCTTCAAAGAAGACTTACCGCTACTGAAAGAAAAAATAACAGAGTATTTTGACAACTTCAAACAAGCAGAGTAAATGCACTCTTTATTTTTCAAGCTTGACACCAAAGATGGCTCAGGTAGCTCTATAAGGTAGATTGGCTTGTCAAATCCTTCTGGCATTCCGAGTCCTTCCATCCGACATTCCGAGTCCTTCCATCCGACATTCCGAGTCCTTCCTTCCTACTGGAAAAAAATTTCCCGACAACTGGAAAAAAATTTCCTTCCGACAGGCAAAATTTTTTCTGTTGTTCGTCCGTAAACCATTCAAATTTTCGAAAATTGAGAACTTTTTGGTCGAACTTCAGGAAAAGTTTTTCCTTCCAACAGAAAAAATTTTTCCTTCCTACTGGAAAAAAATTTCCCGACAACAGGAAAAGTTCTTCCTTCCAACAGGACACAAACGAATGTCCGACGTACCACCAACCGAGTCCATTCCAAAGCCAGAAGAACCGACAGCCCCAGCACCACAACAGACTAAGACTCAACACTTACATTTTTACGCTTGACTTTTTACAATTTGAACTTTGTTTGCGTAGATATGAATTCTGAAAGAAGTATGAGGGTCTTGTATGACTTTGTACTTCTCCCATAGTTCATGTCTGTCAAACTTACCTGCCATGGACTCTTTCATAAGTTCATGAAATCGTCTTCGGACAATCCAGGGAAAAAGTAAATGTCAGTAAGTATTCTTTTAACATCCTTACTTAAACTCTTTGCTGTCTGTACACAAATGACAACAGAGATGTTGAAGTGTCTGAGCTTCTTAAGAATTCGACACATATCTTGTTCTCTGTTCTTTAACAAAGGATGAGAGGCGAAATCATCTAAGATAAGAAGACATCTATGAGGGTAAGTCTTCCAATCGTAAGATTGCAATTTCTTCGAAATGTATTCTATCTCTTTCTGTTTGTTTCTGAAGTGTTTCTTCTTAATATCTCTGCATTTCCTATTTGGGTCTTTAACTTAGAATTTATATACTCATTTATAGCATTGTACTTCAAAACTCTTCTTTGGTACTTCTTTATCCAATCTAACAAACTCAGAGTCTTTTATACATACTAACTTAGACTTTTTTATAATATCTTTGAACGAATTGACGGTTTGGTCAAATTGACCAGAAGTACTACAAATGACAACTAACTCATAGAATGGGTTCTTCTCATCTAGTTCTTGTTGTTGTGCAGCCATTTTAAGATAAGTGAAAGTCTTACCGACCCAGGTGGTGCAATTAGACCTGTTATACATTCTGAGCAATAGGAACTTGTCATGTATGGTTTTATCTGAGCATTTTCCAACTTCCTCTTGTTCTTGTTTAAAACATTCTCAAATTTCTTGTCAATGTCAGCAAACTTTTTTTCTAACATATTTTAGAAAAATTAAAATTTTTATCTTTTTGAAAATGTCTAGCGATTTCGCTATCTATATTCGAGACAAACTTTTCGACAGCAAAACATCTGTCGACCATAAAATCTTACATAGTGTAAACAAGAAAGGTGAATTTGTTCTAAAGTTCTGTTTCTGGGAATATGACAAGAACCATTAAAACATTACAAAGAGCAGTCTTAAAATTTGTCAATGACAGACTTGTTGACAGAGATGACGCCGATTGGAAGATGAAGTCCAACAAAAGTTCTTAGAATGCAAAGAAGGCACATGCGCTGTTCTTGAAGATGAAATAGAAAACAGAATAGAAGAGCTATTAAAGGACAAAGAACTTTTACATAAATATGGTTCTGAGAAATTTGACATAACTCCACCAGAAAAGAAGAAGAAGAGAGAAAAGAAAGAAAAGAAAGAAAAGAAAGTAGAAGAGAAGAAAGAACCTGAACCAGTTCCAGAGAAAAAGAAATTTGACATGTAAAAATAAAATTTTATTTTTAGAACATTTCTGGGTCAATGTCAATGTTCTCTTCCTCTTTAGGGGCAAACACTGGCTTAGACTCTAAAATCTTTTTACCCAATTTACCTTGAACTTCAACTATCTTAGACTCATAATATTCATAGTCGTCTGCTTTCTTTGGTTCATAAGGTATAACAAGTTTGTATGCTTTGCCTTCTTTAAGGTTTGAAAACCTTCTGTCAAAATTTTCTTTGACTGCTAACAAACCTTCTATGTCTAAGTCTTCAAATTTCGCACCATTTTTAGTCACAATAGCAAACTTAACTGGTTCGATGTTCCAAACTTTGTCAATGTAGACTTTTCAAAATGGTAGAAGACATTCAAATATATGAATGGGTCTAGTTCTTCTTTGACTTCTGTCATGTACTTGTTTACTGAGATGAATTTTGCCATCTTTTCTATCGGATAAAAAAATATTTTTTTTTAAAAAACGTTTTAAAATGGTATGCCATATAGCTTCTTGAATTTGTTAAGAAATAGTCTAACGTATTTTCCATCTGTATCTCTAGCGTATACATAAGCATAGTCTGCCTTAGTAAAACATACTTGTAATTTTCTATAGTTTACGCCGGTATAAAAGTAGAAAGAGTCCTGTCTTCGCTGTAGTAGTAAAACTCAAACGTATGCTTGCCATAGTCTGTAATTTCAATTGCTTCATCTTCTAGTTCGTCGACAAATTCGAATACTATATCTCCAAATTTGCTTTTGTTCTTATTTTTTCAGAACCAGTGACCCAACGTAAGTTTTCAAGTCTATTGTCGTTTCTTATACGGTTTATATGGTCTACAAAAGGTAAATTGTTAGGATTCAGTATAAAATGAGTTGCAATGACAACATGTTTAAGATAGTGTTTCCACCCATCTTCATATCAGCATATCCGTCATTTCGCTCCCATTCGCTTAAAACTCTTTTTGTCTTTTTGTTTCTGACTTCAAATGACTCACAACAGTGAATTTCATATTTCTCATCTAACAAACAAGTTTCCCAACGGTCTTCTCCAACAAACTCAGCGTACATTTCAAATAAAATAAAAAAAGATTTTTTTTTAAATTTACTCAGAAAAATTTTTCTTTGTATATACGCCGTTCTGAACATCTAAAAGACTTTTGACATTTGCCAAGAATGTTCGTTTAGACGCTGCCATATAACCATACTCTTGACAATACTGTTTATATGAATCGTACAATGACCTTTCATCTAAACACTCAAAGTTAGTCTCATCTATAAACAGTTCATATACACTCTTGTTTGCTTCTAACAATGTTTGTCTCTCTTCGGTATGTGGAATTTGTCTTGGATTGAACTTTGAAATATCTAATGTCATGAAATATGAGAACAAGTGGTTGTAAAAGTCAGATGTCAAAGTTTCTGCTAAGTCGTCAAAATATTCTGTATCTTGCATATGAGAATCTGACGTTCTGACAACTACATATCTTCTGTCAGAACTTTCTAACTTCATCGGAACGGCATTGTTTGAAACCATAATGAAATTTGCAACATTTTCACAAACTCTTTGGTCTTTATATTTTCTTTCAACAACTCCAACTTTGTCTGTTATAAGACTCTTCAAAGCATCCGAGTTCAAAACTTTTGTTGTATCTATACTTTGAAGTTCGTTACATACTATAAGTTTCATATTCTCTATTGAAGAGTTAAATTTACCGCAGATGTTTTCTAAGTTTGTCATATTAGGGTTCGAATAGCCCTCTAACAGTTTGCATAAGATATCTGTAAAGAAAGTGTTCTTACCAGTTCCTTGTTTTCCAATTATAATGAGAGCAGTTTCATTTTTAGCACTTGGATGTTGTAAGATATTTGCAAACCAACATAAGATATACTCATAAACCTTTTCGTTTCCATTGCATATAATTTCTTTGACATGGTCTAACCAAGCTTCTATAATATTTTCTTTCCATTCTACTTGTTCGTATTTATATCCAGTGAAGATAGAATAGAAGTTTGGAGAAGGTGTATAAAACTTTATACCTCGAACTGAAAAATCTTCTAACTTTGACAATAAGATATCCCAAGCATCTAACATCTTCATACCAACTTGTACGACTTTTATTTTCTTAAGTTTCTGTCTACATTCTTGTTCTGAAACTATGGTTGCTCTTGGTTTGTTAAAGACAACATCCCATTCTTTCATGACATAACATTCTGGGGCAGAGTCAACATAAATGACTAAACGTTTCAAATTCTCGACTGCTTTGTTATAGTCTCTAAATGGACACATATTTCTGAATGCTTGGAAGTCATAAAAATCTGAAACATCTATTCTGTACATTTTTTATAAAAATAAAAAAAATATTATTTTTTATTCTTGACTTTGTTGTTCCATTTGTTGCATTTGTTGTTCTTGAGCTATTTGTTGTTGAAGTTGTTCTTGTAGTACAATACTTTCACCAGTTGCATCTTCCAATTCGAAACTTTCTGCCGTCATTGACAAATACATAGGACATAAAAGTTTTACAGGAACAAAGTTTGCGTCAACTAAGGTTAAGTTTATGTTTGCTAAAGTGTTTGAGTTTACTAAAGCTGAAAACTCTGCATTCGAATGAACAATAGGCAAACCAGCAGAGAAAGTGTTGTTTATACGCATGAGTATCTTTTGGTCATAGTAGTTTCTGTCGACATTCGAATAACACTTTGAACCTAAGTTTGAAACAATATATAAAATAGGTGTACTTAAAGTCAATGGAACAGACAAACCTTGTATGACACCTTTTCCTGTTATAGGAAACTGTTGGTAGTAAAAAACCAGATATAAGTTTTTGTATTATAGCTCATATCGTTTATAGTAAACTCAGTCGGACATCCAAACATAATGAAACCTGCTCTAGTTGCAGCACATGTTACATCCGTCCTTAAAGTATTAAATAAGTCAACAAAACCTGTTGGTGGTATATCTGAGTAAGTATCTTCAAAGGAGTATTTTTTACCATTCACAACAATAAAATCTTCTGGTGTCAAAAGAGCAAAACAGGCTTTAGTCGTCATTGTGTTTAAGGTCAGTTTACAATATCGTCCTTGAGGACTTTGTAAGTTTGTTGTTATAGAATTATATGACTCAGGGTTTTTAGTCGTAATAGTATAAACCACTATGTCTTCTGCCATTTACTTAGCAAGTAAATTTTAATGAAATGTTGTGGTCGTCAAATATTTTTATGACGTCTGGGAAACTATATTTTAAGTTCAACGTTTCACCTCCTTTCATAACGTATATCTTGTCAATGACATTATATGAAACACCACAGCAACTAACGTCGGGTTCTATTTCTTTGATGTTTATATCGTCTGCCTCTGTCAAAAGTTTCAATAGTTCTTTCAAAATTTCATGAGGTGCGATGACATATGAGTTCACTTTTACAGGGTTGTGTTCGACCAAGTTTAACATTATACCTAAAGCTTGACAAATCTTCTCCTGAGTTTTAAGTTTGTCTTTAAGTTGTTGGTAGTCGTTTCGAATATCTGCAACAGAACTTAAGTCTCTGCTAACTTCAGGATATGTTGGTTGTTCTTTTACAGGAACTATTGTTATACCATCTTCGTCTTCGTATGGTTTCCCCACTTCAACATCTTTTTCTTTGACATTGACAACAACACTTTGACTGTTTGTTTGAGTTGGTGAATTTAACTTCACATCTGCCACCGCCATTAAACCTTTTGAAACACTCACGCTTCTATTTTTCGGAAATGACATTTTACTTAGAATAAAAAGATGGACGTATTCGAGTATCTCTTCGAATTGAAGCAGAACAAAGTTTACACACACAAACAATACAAGTTCATTGACAGAATAGTTCTTTACACAAACAATGGAAAATGTTATAGAATAGCAGTCTTTGCTGAACCAAAATATTTTCATAAAGCAAAGAAAGTTGGTATAACCGAGATGGTGAAAGTTCTTGACGTTGACAAAAATATAACAACAAAACTTACAGATATTTCTAAAGGTAAGTTTATAATACAATATTATATCAAAACTGGCGTACTGTCAATATTTGACGGAGAGAAGTCAGTTCAAGAACAACTTACTGACCTGCTGCCAAAATCTGCTCGATGGAAGCTGTCGTTATGCCAATCTGAGGAGCCCCAGCAGGTTTCATCGAACGAATCTTCAAAAGAGCATCTTCCGTGAAAAGTGCTATTGGTTTTGTAAACTTCTTTGCTCTCAGTTCATCTGGACCGTCTCTGTCACCAGTATATTGTATTTGTACAGTACCAACAGTTGAAATACCACCCATAAAGTCTTCTGAAGTCAGCAAATGGAATGCCAAGCCAAAAGTTTGAACGGTCTCCATTTGTATATTGAGTTTTTTGAGCTCCTGTATGGGTCCATACTTTCACATATGGCATAATAGAACTTTGCATTTCAGGGTTAATGGTTGTTGTGAAGTTGTTGTTAAAGTTCATAGCATCTAATGTCAAGTTGTATGACCTCATATCTTCAACTGTGGAATATTCTTCTCTTGGATAGTATTTGCCATCTATGTTTATATGGTATTTAATACCAGGGTTGTAGAAGCAAGAATAGTCATTTATAGTTCGTCTGAACAGTACAAACATAGTATCTGCATGTTTCATTGCAGTTGTTAAGGCAATATCTGTTCTTGCACCTGGGTCAGCACTTTGGTTTCCAACTTCACCTGCAAAGTCTTTGACAGATATTTGGTGTATAGGGAACATAAGTGGAACTGCAATATATTTGGCAGCTAAAGCATTTGAAATATCTGGGTCCAACATATAGACTGCAAGTCTGCTTTCTATTCTCTTGCATTCAAACTTTTCGCATGTGAACTTAACTGGGTCCCAAGCAGTTCCAGCAGCATTGAAATAATAGTTTACTTCAGTGTTGAGGTTTGAGAAACCAAAGTCTAAGTCAACTTTGTCTTTGCAAAAGTCGGCGAATGACGTTTGATTTGCTCCCTTTACGTCTGTAAGAGTGAATGGGTCTTGTGTTGGTGCAATGACTAAGTTATTTTTGCTTGGAGTAAGTTCGATAGAAATTTTTCCTGCCCAGTTTGGCAAGTATCTTAAAAACCTGAAGATGAGGAAAGATGACAAAGGAACTCTAAGTTTCAGTTTTACTTTGGTTACTGCTGCTGCAGTTTGTCCAGAAAGGTCAACATAAACTCCTGGAACGTTAGGGTCAAGTCTTCTTATTTTCTCAATAGTTGCATACTGGTCTGTTTGTTCTCTAGCTTGTGGTTGTACTGAGTTTCTCAAAGCGAACCATTCATAGTTTGCCCATGTTACTGTTTGAACTAAGTCAGAGTTAGAATATATCTTATATCCCATGAAAACTTCTGGAGCATATTGGTATCCGACATAGAAAATTCCATTGCAACCTTTCTTGTCAGACAACTTGGCAGAAGGTTTTTATTTCAATGTCTTGTTCCACGTATAAGAAAGAGTTGTCAATAGAAATAATATGAAACCTGTCGCAAGCAATATCTACTGTTGTTGAAGAACCTTCTCCAAACTCACCTACGTTTCCATAAGAAACAGCAGTTGTATATTCGTAAGTTCCAGGAACTATTTCTGACCTTCTAATGGCATTGTCGCATTCGTTATACCATTCGGAAACATTTCCATTCATAGCATCCAAAACTGTTGGCGTTATATTCTGAGCGGCGTACATTTCATATGAGTAAAAATATAGAATAGTTGGATTTATATGTCATAATAGAACCCACGTGGACCAAGCTTTACTTTCTTCCTGACTGAGTTTTTAACTCTTCTTTTTCCTTCATTGCCTCTGCTTGAAGTTGTTGCATCTTTGCATTATGTTCATCTAGTATGTTGCAAATTTCCCATGTCCTTTTTGCCTTTTGGCTCTGGTCGCCCATCTCAGGTAACCTATATCCTAGAAAAGATTTTGTCATAGTTTGTATTTGAGTCTTCGCGTATTGTTTGCATGACTCTTTCCTGAGTTTCTGGTTCAAGCTCTTCAAACAGTGCCTGTCCATATGGAATATGCTCGTTTCCAAATATATGTTTTTGTAGCCATTCTGGTTTTCTTTCCATGTTACCAACTATATCTTTTGTGAATGGGAAAGCTTCTACCCAATCTTTCAGTCTTGCGTCGTTTATTTCTGTAGTTGGTTTTATTTTGTCAAGGAACATGTTTTTCAATACTAACATTTCATTTGGTACTGTCCATTTGAGTTTTCTTAAATATTCATCCCTTCTCAGTTCATTGTCTGCAAAGTAAGTTTTTATGACATTTTGTAAACTTTCGTTTGCAAGGTCATGTACAATAGGTTCTCTTCCTTCTCCCTCCCTAACTTTCTTTCTAAACTCTTCACCAAATATACCATCTCTATGGTTCTGTGTAGTTCTTTGAGATAAATGTTCTAGAACGTCAGGTGTTATATTTCCATCAGCCATGTTCATTTCATACTGGTTCAAAATATCTGCATCTTTCATATCTTTCAATGGCATTAAAGCCGCGCTGAAAATACCAGCTATATCTGGTTCACCATTCACTTCCATTGCGTCTACAACTTCTTGGAATTGAGGTTGTAAGTTTATGAACCACCTATCTGGATTAGCTTTATGACCCCATCTCATTGTAGTTCCATCGTCTGCAGAAACAAAAGTAGGTTTGTTTCCATCTTGGTTAGGTTCTGAATGAACTTTAAACAATGTTTCATTTCTATATGTTTTCTTGAAATTTAACCTTTTATTTTCACCGAGTTCATCCGAAGATTGAACGTTAAATGCTCGTAAGTAAAAAGGGTTGTTGTATTTGTGTACATTTTTTTTCAGTTCTTCCATTCTATGCTGGATATTTTCATCTGATGTTGGAGTCTTTTGTATGTCGGCAAACATTTTTCGATATTCTTCTACTATGTCAGCCGAATTTTTTTTAGACTCTTGGAAATATTCCATATTCTCCGCATACTCTTGTTGAGGGTCAAGATTTTTCGGCTGTTCCAAATCTTCATCTAGTTCTGTGAAGTTAGTTTCCAAAGGAAGGACTTGTTCGTTTCCTTCAGGCTCTTCTAGCTGTTGTTGCTGAACTATTTCTTCCATGTCTGGTTGTATCTGAACTTCTTCCTGTGGAGTTTCTTGTACCTCATCTGCTGGCATTTCATATATTCCGAGACCGTTTTCAACAATTTCCCTATCTACGTCATCCGCATTCATAAGCTTTTGTTCTTTCGTTCCGTCTCTATTTTTTACGCGTTTCATGACGAAAGTTGAATTGTCATTTAGCTCTGACATCAAATATCTCGGAGTAAATTCATCCATGTCATTTGGATGATATGCTATTAAATCATATCCCTTAGCGAGCTTGTATTTTCCAGGTTTGAGATTATATCCGTTTTGGTGCTGAGCCATAAAGCTAAATAGGTTCGGGTCAGTATTTCCATCCTTGAACTTTCCAATAGCTTCTTTATATCTGTCACTAAAGTCAACAGTATCTGGGAAACCACACTCTTCTTTAAGCATTTTTAAGAATTCTTGGTTTCCTTGTTCTCTACTTCTTTTATGTCCTTGTTCTGTTTGTGGTTGTTGTTGTGCAGGGTTTTGAACTGTTGGTTGTGGAGGTGGCTGTTGTGCTGGATTTTGAACTGTTGGTTGTTGTGTTGGGTTTGGTGCATGCCTGTGTCTGTGTCCATGTGACGATGTAAATGTTCTAGGTAGTCCTGGTGCAGGTGCTTCTCTTGGAGGGTTTGGTGGTATATAAGTTCCACCAGCTGGCACATATGTTCCATCTGCAGCGTAATGTCCTACCTGACTTTTCGTTCTTAAGAAAGCATTTACTAGGTCTGTTTTGGTCTGTTGTAACTCTTTTTCTTGACTTTTCACAACAGTTGCTCTAACGGCGTCATAGGCACTTTGAACTGCCTGTCTCGTTGCTGCATCTGTTATTTTCGTCATATTTTGTGCTACTTCTTTTAACTCTTTGTCGAAACCTTCAGACTTCAGTTTCTTTCCAGATGAGAAGTCGTTCACTTGTTTCACCTTACTATGAAGAGCTTCGAAGGCGTTCTTAAAGTCAGCATTTGTTAAAGCTTCATTTGAACTGTCTTCATCCGCTTGTATTTTTGTCCTTATTGACCCTATAAGCTGGGCTGCTTTAGCGTTGGCTTGGGCATCTAACCAGTCATTGTTAGCTTTTATATATTCCGCGCTTTTCATTGCCTTTTGCATAGCCGCGTCGTTATTTTTACTTTCTTGTGCTAAGTTTTCATACTGTACGGTTTGGTTTTGCAACTGTAAAAGTTTTTCTGCCTTTACATTTGCTTCAACTTCTTTTTTATACTCATCGCTATCCATATATGTCTTCAGGGCTTTTTGTTTTATCTCTTCATCTTTCAGTATTTTATATTGAGTAGTATGGTTTTTCAAATTTATGACATCTTGTTCCATTTTTGCTACTTCTGTTGCTTTTTCTGACACTTTTTTCGCATATTCCTCTGTACTTAGTTCTTTCAGTTGTTCTTCTTTCTTCTTTTTCTCTACGTTTAACTCATTGAGTTTCTTTGTGTGTCTGTCATATTCTAGTTTCTTTTCGTTTTCACTTATTTGCTTCTGTATGTCTATGTTTGACTTTTTGACATCTGTTATTTGATTTTTGAGTGAACTCAAATTCATTTGACTTTGAGGGTTATAGGCTGTTCCGTCTGCAGCTCCACCATAGCCTGCCATTTTCGCTAAAAGTGCCGCTCTTAAACCTCCACTCTGTGCACCAACAACTCGGTTTAAAAGCATAGGATTGCTTGACATTTGTTGCAACATAGTGGGGTCATTCAGCATTTGTTGTTGCAACTGTTGTTGTGGTGTCAGTTTTACTATTGGATGTTTCAATGCTCTCTTCCTCTTACGTATATTCTTACGTAGCTTACGTGGCATTTTAAGTGAAGTTAAAAAGCGGTTTTTGACAGATGTTTATATGACACTTTTTGTTCAGCACAAAAAACTACTCGGTCAAAGTGTTGTCAGTTTTGTAAAATAACCGTCCTATCTTGTTTTAAAAGGGAGAAAAGGCTTCTCAAAGTATACTTCCTTGGAACGCCTGTAACTTTTCCTGTAGCGACGATAGACCCTTACTTGTCAGGACAAAGTTATACTATTTTGAGTGCTCTACAAAAAAGTCAACGGCGACGACTCTCAAAAACCGTTGTGTAAAAAGTTTTACCGTTGGACAAAAAAGTATATATAGAAAACAAAAAACGTTTATAGTTCATTCAATATTTGAGATGGAACGGTTTGCCAACGGTAACTTTTCAATAAAATAAAAAAATAGAGGGGGTTACCGTTGACGAAAACGGTTCATTTTAAACTTTTCTATGAGTAGTCCGAAAAAAACAGTTTATTTTTGTCTAATGGAAGCCAACATTAACAATTCTCAACCGCTAACCAAAGCCAAAGCCCCACAACCTCCAAGAACTGGCACAGCTGTTAGAATAACCGCCAAAAAGTCTAACAGCGAATTAAGAGAAATTCTTCAACAAATTTGCTCTAAATATCTCAAAGACGCCGAAGAAAACACACAACCAGACGCTATATACAATACTCAGTTCTGTGAAGTTCTGAACAAAGCAATTGCTAGTTCAATTGAACTTACTAAGACAATTCCAAGTCCAATTGAGCTTAGCGATGTCTTAGTTCAGTATTTTCCAACATTTACTAAGCTCATAATGTTGAGAACTTTATACCAAGTTCGTCAAAATCTTCCTCGTTACATGCAACGGTCATTCGACAAGAGAATTGCCGAATTCCAAGTCTTTAGTTACGGATATGACCAAGATGAATACACTGACGAGTTCGGAGACAACTGTACAAAATGGTTTGAATGCTATACGACAACACAATTTGAATTCGACTTTCTCGAATTCAACGCAGCAACCATTCATATCATTGCTCTTTACCTTTCCGAACAACAACAAGACCTCGCAGATGGAGATGTTGTTACTGTCGTCATGGAAACTCCTGAACAATTCGGAAAAAAGAAGTCTCTAATTGCCAAATTTGTTCCAGGACATCAGCTTTTCCAACGCACAGAAGTCTTCTGTATTCCTGGAACTAAGTTCTTTGTCAGGAGCGAACTCAAAGAAAGATATAATGTGTCATTCAATTACACATTATATAATGTCTTCGACCCAGAAGAAGACTTCTTCCCAGAAGCAATGGAGGAGGAAGAAGAGGAGGAGGAAATACAAGACTCAATCCAAGAAGAGTCCTCCGAATTCACACCAGAAGACTAACAATTTTCCGAATAAAAACCTCATTTTTTACTAAACATCTTCGGGGCTAGAAGGGGCGCAGCCCCTGGAAGCCCCACTACCTTTTTTTTTTTTTTTTTTTTTTTTTTTATATATTTCTTCAAATTTTCTCTATAACGGATTGAATGAAACATTTCTGAATTACTTATTTGAATGAACAAATGCATACTATAGATGAATGTGTTTTCAATTCATTAGCAATATTTCTCAGAAATTTCTTTAATTAAATCATTAAGGTAGATCAGCAAAATTTTTACCAATAATTTTTGATTTTGGCTATGGATACTTACTATATGTGGGATGGATGTTTGATGTGCGAAGTATTGCATAAATGGCACTACTTTCAATTCTGTTGTTATACTTAATTTTCAATTCAACCCACACCGTTTTCAAAATTTTGATTTAAAGTCAGATGGGCGTGACTGCACACTTAAAGACATTCAGAAAAAGAAAATCAAACCCTTTTGAAAAAATTATGTGTTTAATGTGAAGTTTATTAAATTTGTAGAAATATTTGAAAATTTAATATATTTTCGAGCTTTCTCAATATTTTCAAAATATTCTTTGTTAAATTTATTTATATTTTGATATTCGAGTTCATAGGATATTTCACAAACATCAATGTTAGATAAATATTGGATTCTGTTAGTTATTTCAACTGTATATGTTGTTTTTGGATCTACCTCATCAATGAAACATCTATCAACTGTAATTTTGGCACTATCTCCATAGAAATAATATTGAGAAATTTTGTTATTTGAGAAACAACAATTTGTTAAATTTGTTGGAGATTTATATGCATAAACTATACAATAATCAGTAATATTTTGGAAATTTGTTGCTTCAAATAGAATAGTTGATGATGGTGAATAAAAAAGGTAAACAGAGGCAGCATCACTTGGAGTATTATCTTTATTATCATAAAATATAGAAAATAAAACTTTTGAATCAGATAAATAACTTTCAAAACAAGAAACACTTCTTCCATTGCATTTTGAATGAGAAATATTTGAATTAGTGAAATTAATTTTTCCATTTTTTAGGTAAATATTATTATATCCTAAGTTATTTTCTCCACTTTTAGTGATTGAAGACGAAAGAATTTTGTTTTGGAATGATTCTTTATCTGAAACATCTGAATAACAATAAACTCCATAAGTATATGTTGTTGTTACTTTTGATGAGTCACTTATTATTCGATCTTGGACGCATTCGCCTTCGCTCGAGAAGTATAAACTTCCTCCTTGACCGGAGTTACTACAATTTAAAAATTGCGTTTCGTCAACTAATAGTTTTGTTGTATCTTGCTTAGTCGTAAAGTTAATGGCACCTGAGTTAATATTTTCGGAAAAGAGGCAACTCTTTACGTAGTAATTTTGATCACCTCGTGAAAGTTTTGCTGTTTCGTTTTCGTACTTCGTATTTGAAAGATCTCCTGCATAAAATTCGTTCCATTCATGACTAAAATATATTGTATAACTTGATGGATCAAATTGAGTTGATAAAATATATGCCCAAAAGTGACATTTTGAATTTATAATCAAAATGATTTCACTCTCTTTACAAACTATATTTTACTCATGAGAGTTATTTCATCAATAAAAATTAACACCTAATCGAATCATTCTGATGATACAAATTGCAAATTGTAAACCAAACAAAAATCCAAAAAGTGTCAAAAAAGCAAAACTTTACTGAGGCAAAAATGTAACTCTCAACCTTTATAGATTCAATGTAAAAAAGATCAAAGTTAACAATCAACTTCAATTAGTTTACAATGGATTATTGTTTTCATTTTTTAAATTAAATACTGTATTCACAACAAAACATAAATGGCAACCATTAAAGTCCATTCAAAAATAAAATAAAAAAAAGTAAATTCTATCGATGACTGACGCTGGCAATTCTTTGAAGCATCTTTCAGAAGAATGGTCAACACTGATTATCAGTCGCGCCATCTTCACATCAAAATTACCTCCAGAACAATTAAAACAACGCGTTGTCAAACTAGATCATGATAATACTAAAGGAAAGCATGTTAGCCTTCCTATTCAAGAAGCTTATGATCTAACCCAGAAATATGACGCTAATCAAGTTGCTATGATGTTTGACTCATTACAAACAGAGTTAATGTTCTTCCATCAAAGTACAGAGTTCCCAGCACTCTTTACAAGAATGATTCAAATCATTCACGAGATCTTCCAGCTTAGCTTTGACCAAACAAATCCAAAAGAAAAGGTTAAATCTCTTCACACCGATCAAATCATCAACGAAGAGGTTTTAACTGATCACGATAAACTGCAGATCGAAGTCTTCCAATTCCTATCTACAATTCTGTCCCGCGCAGCCAATTGCCCATCCGTTGACTTTGGAAAAATTGATCCCAGTATTATTTCGCAAGTCTTCTTCTTTATGAACCACGACCATCCAAATGCTGTTCGTGCTAGTGGTGGCGATATCCTTTCTGCCTTGTCTTCAGCTCCAAAGTCTTGTGAAGCAATTTGCACAACATTTTGGAAGCAATTCAACTCCTGCAAGAAGGACGATGACTTCAGAAACTTCGCTTCATGGATTGATGGCGTTGTTAATATCAAAATGAACTTTAATTCTCCACAAATGACAGTTTTGACACTTTCTTTCATCAAAGCTTTCATTCAACACTCAAAGAAAATCGAACGTGGTGTCTTACGTATGAAATTCCTCGACGTACTTTTCCAAATTATTAAGAGAGTTTGCGAATCTTCATCTGCCGAAGCCAACAGCGATTTCGTTGGCTCTCTTGATGTTGTTTGGGATGTTGTTGAGAAATGGTCATCGAAATCTAAGCATACATCTTTCTGCTACGTTTTCTTACAAAAAATTTTGGCAAATACTTTTCCAAAGTTCTTTACAAAGGGCCATGGCATGCATTTCTGCGAGATCCTTTGCAAGTATGCCAAAGGCGGTGATGTTGAGATGTTAGCTCTCATTGCCAAGTTCATAAATGAATCACCAAGAGAATTTACGGTTTCTATGATCGACGACTTTACCAAGATGATCAACAACCACATATTCCCGATCCTTTTCTCCGGAACAGACAAGAAACGCTCTCCACGCTTCAAAGATGATCAACAATGCGTCCAAGTTGTCAATATCCTCACAGAAATCGGCTTAAAGTCAACAATCTGCATTGTAGATCTTGCAAAGGTCACTCTTACAGCCGAAAAACCCAATGACGACCATAAACGTGTCAGATTAATTTTAATTGAAGTTCTTGCCAACCTTTGTGAGCGTAATCCTAAGTCAATCACACCATCCAATGACCAGTTATTCCCACCCATTGAATCTATTCTCCTTCAAACAGCTTCAGGACTTCCAGAAGAGATTCCTTTCGCTATAAGAACATTCCCATTGATTCATTCGAGAAATGACACGAAACTTGCGCAGATTTCTCAAATTTTGTTTGATACAATCAACCAACAGAATCTTTCTTATTCCGAATCAGCCTTGAAATCTCTTAAATCATTTATAGTTGAGCTTGTTACTCTTGGCTCGAACACGATGTTACCATTGAACTATTTAGACAAATTATTTGATAACATCCATTCATTACCAGAGTCAGATTTATCACGTCGTTTATATTTGATCAATGAAATTTCATCCGCATTAGTTGAATCTCTTTCTAACCAAACTAGTCAGTTCCAACAAGTCAAGTCATCTAATTCAGCAATGACATGCAATGATTGGAACAACTTCCGTCTTAAGTTAGACAAAACATTGCTTCCATTCATTCTTTCAGTGAACAATGATATTTCAACAACATCTATTTCTATTGAAAAAATCTTTGATACGAAAGATCTTTCACAACTTGATGAAGTTTGTTCACCAAACAAACCATTCTACATCTCAAACTGGTTATCACAAATTCCAGAGAACGAAAACATTCTATCACACACAGAACTTTTGATATCTAATAACAAAGATACATCAAATGTTTATTTCGAAAGTGTTTTAGAATTCTGGCGTAATTACAAGAAGAAAATTGGTCAAGAAAAGTGCCAAAAAGTTGTTTCATTTATTTCATCAATTGCTCGTCAACAGACACCATCATTGAAAGTATTCTTTGAAGAACTATTTAAACTTTACAAAGAAGATTCCACATCACAAGATGTTTCACATTCATTGTCATTGTTACATCCATCACTTTGGGTTCAATTTATTTCAGACTTAAATCAATGGATGGGAACTAATGGTTTAACTATTCAGAATTTCTGGCCACAGTATGTTGGTGTTTTCTATTCATTTGCTACAACAAATTCATTCGAGAAAGAGATCGTCAATCAACAGAAATTGACAGAAACATATGAACGATTTTTGATCACATTTTGGAAACAAAACAAAATTGTTAATAACGAATCATACATTTTAACAGAGAAATGCTTCAAAGTCTTACAATTATTTGTTGAATATTCCAAAGATAAGACATCACAGATCATTGATTCCACGGCAGAGACATTCACATCATTCATCAATCAAATCGAAAACATGTTAGATATTGTTAATGCAATCAATTTCCCAGTTACATATCCAGAAACATTTTTAAGTTGCATGACAACAGTTTTCACATATTTAGTGTTCCCTACTGAATACTTGTTCAAGAGTTTCGCGGACTGGCTTATTGTTTTCGGTGTTTTCTTCAAAGAGAACCAACAAATCTCTATTTTAATGGCACAACTCATGACAATTATTCTTAAAAACAATAATTGTCTTTTGCGTCAAATATTTAGATGCACATTTTGTGAATGTGATTCAGTTTCCGCTCCATTTATTTTGAGCATTGCAAACAACTTCAAAGAGAATGATAAATTCCTTTCTGAGTACGACAACGCAGCCGCAGTTATCTTAAGTACAATTATTTTGCACATTAACTCAGACATTTTAGTTTGTCGCCAAGCAGCACTTAAATTGATGTGTTTGACATTTTCTCGTCCATCGGAAATCTACACACAAGATATTCCTGTTCAACTTACTATGTCAGTTACATCAGAGAGTGCAGCAGGTTTCTATTACCAAGCACATCATTTTTATGATTATTGCTGCAAATCAGTTTCATCCAATTTAGCATTTTCTGTTTTCGAAATCTTTTCAAGAGATTTTAGTTTAGTTCTTTCTGAGCATTCCAAACTTATTTCAAGTCTGATTTACTTCATTCCATTAGTTGTTTCAGAGCACACATTGAGTGAAGTTGTTCCAATTTTGTTGAGTTTGACAACAGGATCACGTATTGAAGAACAAACAACAGCTATGTCTATCCATGAAATTTGGTCAAGTTTCTTTTCATCATTCAAAGAACATTATTCCACACAAGTCAATGAACTCATTCATTTGATCTTTGATTTCGGTGTTTCACAAGAAAACGTCATGTCTAAAGAATCGAATGTTTCAGTTTTGATCTTAGTTGATGAATTCTCAATCTTCCCAAGTGAAACAGCTAAATTCTTAGTTTCATTCCTTTGCAAATACGACAGACATGTTCCTGACGACATCAATGAATTTGGCGAATATCTTTCTAATGCAGACATCGACTTCTATGTTTCTAATGAAGAAGTCATCGCATGTAATGCAATTTCACAGATTTTGTTCTTAGTTGAATCACGTGAACAATTCAACGAATTATTCCTTGATAAACTCCCCGTATTGACATATTACGGTGTTATCATGTATCATATTGATAAATTCCGTATTGGTCTCTTCCATCCACTTCTTGATTCTCTTCTTGACGCAGTTTTGTTCCGCCACGCCGATTCTAACGAGATCTTCACAAAGAACATTGAGCGGTTGGCAACATCTAATTTGATGAAGCGAACAACATCATTGGATGTTCAATACCAAATCTTGACCGATATTCCAACTAAAACTATGTTGTGTTATGACTCCGTTGCTATCGATGTTCTCAGTGATCTTTTGTGCCAAAGTGATGAAGACTTCAAGCGTAAGTTCTTCGACATTGCTATTGGCAACGCATTCCAAGTTTTACCAAACGAACGTGCCATGGAACCATTCTTACTTTTGATGGGCTTGAATAAGATGTTCAGCACCAAATTTGTTTTCCAAATCTTGTTGTATACATTGTACGCGTTTAAGACTAGCCGTGTTGAGTTAATGGACTCTATCATTGACTTAGTTAACCAGCGTTTGTTGACCGATTTAGCAGAAGATGTTTTTTGTCAAGAAGCATTACCAGTCATCATTGTTTTCATCTTGAGTCTTAGTTTAGATTTCCGTCGTTCATTCTCTATCCATTTGATGAAGATCATTTCAGACATCTCGGAGAAAGTTTGCGGCATGTCATGTGCACACGAGATCTCCAAGGGCTTGATCGATTTCATGCGTAACTTCAATGGTGATGAATACATTGCATCATTATTCGAACGATTCATTGAAGATGTCAACACATTCAATGATTCATCAGTGAGTGACATCATTCGATCATTGTATCAGTTGTCTAAACTCATTGGTGCATCTACAACATACTACAACTGGTGTGCATTGTTTGGTTTGGCCATCGACGGCACACGATACTTCCTTTCAGTCCAATCTCCACATGTCGTTGAACCGATCATTAAAATGGACGATTTATCATTCGAATCCATCGAAACATTTGTCACATTCATTGTTGACAACTTCGAAACAGAACGTATGCGTATCTTCTTTTCAAGTTTCTATCTCTCATTAGTCAAGTTATTCAAGGCCAGTGACAACGGCATCGACACCGTTTCTATGCAGATCATTGACCAATTCTTCAGGAAATCTAACATCAAACTTAACCAGAACTTGACAGACACATTCAGTAAAATCATATTCATGATCAGTTTGTCATGTGACGAAACAGGACGAACAGCATCATCATCTGCATTGAACTACATCATCTCTAATTTGAGTACTAAACTGGACCAATCATCTCTTTGTCTTCCAATCATTCAACCTAAATTCATCAGTGTCAAGCGCAAACTGTTTAACACATATCTCCAAGTTGACAAGAACATCGTTGATCCACAACTTCTTCCATCACTGAAGCTTTTCAGCTTCTCAGGAATGGAGATGAACGCTATTGTTGATACATTGTGGCAGTTCTTGTCATCTAAGATCTCACCTAGCGGCGAACGTGTTCCAATGCCAAACTTCAAGAACGCACAAGAATTAGCCGAAGAAGCACAATTGATCAAGACAGCACGCCGTCGATCTAGTTCTACTGGCTCAGTGAAAGAAACACCACCTTCATCTCCTTCTCCATCTCCTTCCCCAGTTGTTTCTACATTTGAAGAACCAGAAAATCCAGAATCACCAAAGAATGAAGAAGAAAAACAAGAAGAAAAAGAATCAAAAGCTGATGAAGATAAGAAAGAAGAAGAAAATCAAGAAGAGGAAGAAATAAAAGAAAATACTCCCAATGAAGAATAAGAATAAGACTATAATATAAATAAACAGTCGACTTTTTTTAAATCGAGACAATAATAGTAATTAATTGTCCAAAGAAGTTCAGAAAAAGCTTATGTGTTTAATGTGAAGTTTATTAAATTTGTAGAAATATTTGAAAAATTAATATATTTTGGAGCTTTCTCAATATTTTCAAAATATTCTTTGTTAAATTTATTTTGATCTTTATTTTTATTGATATCAAGAATTTGATATTCGAGTTCATAGTATACTTTACAAATATCTGTGTTAGATGTATCTTTGATTTCGTTAGTTACTTCAACTGTTCCATCTTGACTTGGATTTACATCAATGAAACATCTATCAACTGTGATTTTGGCTTCATCTCCAAAGAAATAACAATCAGAAATATTGTTATTTGAGAAACAACAATTTGTTAAGGCTTCTCTCCGGCCAAACAGCTGTATCGTCGTTTGACTTCACATTTTCTCGTGAGCGAATGATTTTTTCATCTCGAGAACAAAATTTTTTTGAAAAAATACAACTTGAGCTCATTCGAATCACCGGCCCAAGGACACAATAAATCCTTAATATCAATGCCAGATTCTAATTTTTTCTTCGCAATCAATTCTCAATTACGAAAATTTATGCGATATACCTGTAATCTTCTTACGATATTATAATATGTACTGTTAGTTTATCTCGATTAATATACTCTTAAAGACAAATTTAGCGAGAATAATCAAAAAATTTACAAAATTATTATATCCTATTAATCTGGACCTATAAACGTTTGGTTAAGTTAAGTATTAAGAAAATGTAAATATTTGGAATAGGAAATATGAGATTAATGACAATGATATTTGTTTTTTTACTTAACTTTGAGATTTTTGCATATTTTTAGTGTTGACAGCCTTGGTACGCTGAATAATTCCCAAGTCAATAAGTTCTGTCCATCAAAATATAATTAATTGTTCTCATATCTTATAATTTTTTTCATACAATGAAAATTATACTGCAGCGTGATAATATATATAATTCTAAATTGTGTGTATATAGAATATTACATGAATTGATTGAAAATATGAAGCATTAATCTGAATATTGAACTTTGGATATCATTTCAAAAAATAGTATTTATTTTAATATCGCTGTAATATATAGATTCCATTATCGTTAAAGAAATCCAAAAAAAGTCACTTCACATGGCTCGGAGTCCACACTCAAGTTGATCCAGCAAAAATTTCAAAATTGTTTTAAAAGAAAAATGAGACGGCCAATACTTTTAATTTATCGTAAAGGTACTATACACAGGAAATAGAAGAAAAATTATTTTAATAAAATATTATTGGATATCAAAACGAAATTGTCAAATATAAAGGATAAAAACGTGTTATAAAAAAGAGGAACTCTAACATGACTTGCTTACCGCTCGCATATACACCAAAAATTAAATCAAATTCCAGCTGTAATACAAATAAACATCTAAATTTATCATCATTTATACTAATTCTTGAATGTTTACTATTCTGGATAAAAGTGATTGAGTGTTTTAAGAAATGAGCCAAAATTAAATTTGATAACTTGAAGAAATAAAGATACTATAATATTTTGTGCGTTGACCTCTAAGTTAAGCTATTATGAACATATTTTTTTCAGTCAAATTTCGAATAAGAAATACCTATTATTGAATAATAGAAATTTCGACAAACTTACAATATAAACCTATTATAAGACATAAAATTTTGTTATATTGCAGTGATAGAATTTAAAAATAAAGTCGTAGTAAGTCTGCAAAAAGATTTTAACTTCTATTTTTTCCAAAAAATATTGATGTTTTAAAATACGTTTAGAAATTCTATAACTTTAATTGCATTTTTTCTAAAACACGAAAAATTTGGAAAATCCCAACACCTTTAGATCGTTTTAGCTGTCTATCAACTGCTATCTGCACTTCAAAAAACATCGAAATACTCAAATTCGTATATCTGATTTCATCATTCATGCAAATTGCTTTTTGCAAACAAATGTAAATGACATATTATCAAAATTTACACCATTTGCACACTATATTATTAGCACCAGGTATGCTTATATTATAATTTATTAAACTTAGGAAAATCACGAATAAAAAGTATATTCAATTTCTTTATCACTACTTACAGAAACATATCTTGCACATAAACAGCTAAACTTACAGTATTTTGAAAAAATATATCAAAATGAGTAAACAAAACATTATACTTTCCTATTGAAAAGTATTTGATTCATGAAATAAATCGTTTCTCTCTTACGTGTTGTTTACGTTCTATGCTAAAGTTTATTCAATGGATTTAATCTGAAAGATATATAGTCGTTGAGTTGATAGAATATAGAATATGCCTAGTAGTTCATTTTTAGTAAATTTGTTTTGATCAAAATTCATTTTTAGTTTTGATTATTGTAAATCCAAAACCATGATTTTGAGATAATATTTGTTTCGAGATTGTCAGTATATGAGCATTTCATTTTTATTATTATTTTGCAAAAAAAGTCACTTCATATGGGGTTGGAGTCCACGGGGAAGGTCAGCTAGCAAAATTAAAAACTCAATGTTGGACAAAAATAAAATGACAAATACTTTTGATATGTTATAAGCTTCTTATATTTGTTAAAAAATGAAGCTCCTTTTTTCATGGTTGGAATTGCAATTCCGACCGAGAAATGTCAAAATCATGAGATGGGAATATAGCAATTGTAGAGCCTATCGACCGTTGAATTGAAATATCGAAAGTTGCTAAAAATCGATTTTTCCGGAAAATGCAAGATAATTTCAACTTCCTTAAAAAAAGACTTTGATTCAAAACGAAACGGATATATAATAAATATATGTATCATATATGATGTTTATTACATTTTCAAGTGTAAAAACTAGCTTTTTAGGTACCTCAGAGGTCACGAAGATGCCAAAAATTGAGAGGATCACTTCACTTGGAGAGAAGCCTTAAATTTGTTGGAGAAAAAAATGCATAAACTAAGCAACCAACAGTAATATTTTGAAAATTTGTTGCTTCGAATAGAATAGTTGATGATGATGGTGAATTGGTAATCCAAACAGAACTACCTTGATCTTTATCTTTATTATCATAAAATATAGAAAATAAAACTTTTGAATCAGATAAATAACTATCAAAACAAGAAACACTAATTCCTTTGCATTTTGAATGAGAAATATTTGAATTTATGAAATTAATTTTTCCATTTTTTAGGTAAATATTTCTATCTCCTAAGTTATTTTCTCCACTTTTAGTGATTGAAGATGAAAGAATTTTGTTTTGGAATGATTCTTGATCTGAAACATCTGAATAACAATAAACTCCATAATAATTTGATGTTACTTTTGATGAGTCACTTATTATTCGATCTTGGACGCATTCGCCTTCGCTCGAGAAGTATAAACTTCCACCTCTATTGGTGTTACTACAATTTAAAAATTGGGTTTCGTCAACTAATAGTTTTGTTGTATCTTGTTGAGTTGCAAAATTAATGGCACCCGAGTTAATATTTTCGGAAAAGAGGCAACTCTTTATGTAGTAATTTTGATCACCTCGAGAAAGTTTTGTTGTTTCGTTTTCGTATTGTGTTTTGGAAAGATCTCCTGCATAAAATTCATCCCATTCATGTCTTAAAAAATTGTCCGACTTGCTCCATTGACAAATTTTGTTCGGGTGGACATTTTGAAAAAAAAAAAAAACTAATCGTTCCAATATCGACGATATGTTACAATTTTTCAAAAATTTTGATCGTTATCGTCGAGGCGAGTACTATCCATTTTACTCACTGATTGCTAATTTTTGGATTTTCAATACATCCGTAATGCGACGATAATAGGAAACGAAAAAAGAATATAATTTACAAAATTTTGTTCAAAATTGTACGTTAGTGGGTTTTATATGAATGATAGTAACAAAAAAGTAGGTTACGGGGGTAAGAGCAGGTTTGGTGATGGCAATAGTCGTGTACTTTTAGCTTTACAAGGCGGTGCACATGGAATTACTAAACCAGAAAGCGAATTATCTCGTCCGAAAAATACAACTTTTTCATACTCAGGCCAGACTTTCATTACTCCCGCAAAACCACAATCCGTTTCAAAATCTACAAAAAATTCTGATGCAAATACACAAGCACAGTCACTATTTCCAAAATTAAAGAATAATGCACCACAAAAAATCGAAAAGGAATCTTTTATTCTCGATGTTTTACCTCCAATTCCACTTGCAAATACTCCTGAGTCATCTGACAGTAGCAAAAAGAGCTCCTCGGGAAGATTTTTATCACCAACAAATGAAGAGATGGAAACATATACTCTACCATCTGGATTTGAAGTTAGTCAAAAATCTCCACCATCCCCCAAGATAAAGAAATTTGATCCTTTCCAACCAATCGAAATGAGCGATAATACGCCAAATATTGACGAGCACTTCCAACAAGTAAGACTTACAGCTGCTAAAACAACATTATCTACTCCTCTTCACTCAGCAAATTCAAATTTTGTTCTTGATGAGTCATCAAGTCATTATTCAGAGGAAGATCAATATAGTATCCAATCAAGTATGGAGGATAACTATATTCCACCACCTCCACCGAATTACGGACCTATCAAGCCAAAGAGAGGCCCTGACGGCAGAGTTACAATTCCATTGGCTCTTCAATACGTTCCTCCACAGATTCCAGATGATGATAACATTAGTAAAGTTCCTCCAAGGCTTCTTGAGCTTCTACATTGCAAAACAAACTCAGTTCAGTTTTTAGTTTTATCTGGCGTTCCTGTTGATGGATACAGGCCAAAGTTAATCAAGAAAGCAATATCAGATTTACAAGAACTCCTTGAAATCTGCATAAAGAAAGGTTATGCCGCTGAAGCAAAATTTGTTGATGATGCAATCAAAAACGCCAAAGCAGATTTGAATGAAAGATTAGCAACAGCTGATGTTTCAGAAGTATTTGATGTAGAAGACCAGATTTCCGAAGTCCAAACAGAGATGGAACAGAAGAAACACGCTTTCGAATCTCATTTAGCGAGAATGGATGCAGAAGCAGCTTTGCAGAAGAAGGAATTGCAACTAAAACTTGATGACGACTTAGATGCAATCGATTCTGAATGGACATCCCCTTCAAAGTCCAAGAAATTCTCGAGAGTTTCAGCAAAACTTCAAAACATGAGAAAAGAAGCAATGACTCTTTTGAACGCCAAAAGATACGAAGAAGCGGAAAGAGTCAATCAAATAGCTGACAAACTTGCAGAAGAAGAGGCATTACAAGCCCAAGAAGCAATGAAAGCACAATACATGAAATGCCTGAAGAAGAGACAAGAACAATACGAGAGCGAAATAATGAATATAGACATGGCTTTCGAACGAAAGAAATTGACAATGATAAAGGATTACAAAGCAGTACAAAATGCTTTAAACAAGAGAATGGATAAGCTCCAGACAAAGAAAGAATCTATTACGGCACCAACAAGAACTATGAATAGTAGAAAATCTTCAAAGATTGCAAATAATGATCAGACTTTGTTTGAACCATCAATGCAATCATTCAAAGATATAAATATTAGTCCAACAAGAGGGTTAGCTATCAAACCCCTCTCAAAAATAAGAAGAACAACAATTACAAGGAGGAATTACGATCAATAATATTATTTATTTTGTTTTATAGAGTATTATATTATAATAAATTTGTGTTTGTATTTTTTGTTAATTCAGATCTTATTCTTTTCTCATATTTGGATCAATCGATATTTGAAATTCTTTTAATTTCATCATACAATGAAAAATTAACACTCATATTCATTGTACATCAAACATATTCAATATTTCACAATTGACATCATGTATAAAGGCATTCAAATATAAAGGATTTCAATAATTGATTAAAATTTAGGGGGAATATTTGCATAATTGTGGTTCCGATTTTTAGGTTTTTTTATATAAAATGAGTTATTATTCGCCTAAATTGAGAAAATCTCCGCAATCTACAGAGATTAATCCAACCATTTCTACAACTAGTAGTATTAAAAATGATTCGGCCAAGTTTTTAACTCCAAATAGAACTAATTCGAGACATCACGATCAATATTCAGAAGAATATAGTAAAGAACTTTCAAAAATGCACAAACAAATCAGTATATTAGGCGAAGAAAATCAAAGACTTAACTTGGAATTAGATAACGCACGAAACCAAAATGAAGCATATAAAAATCAAGCTGAAAACAAAATTCAAGCACTACAGTCAACAAATGAACAATTAAATACAGAATTAAGGCAAAATAAAAATTTATATAATTCCGTTACATTAGAAAACGAGAAATTGAAGACAGAATTAGACGAAATACGCGATTCTATCTCAAAAAGTGAAGTGAATTCGCCAAGTTATAGCTTTAAGCGAGACTCTCCTCCATCTTTAAATAAAATTCACAATCTAGAAGATATGAATAGAAAATTAACAGCTACGATTGTATCATTAAGAAAAGAATTATCAATCGCTACATCAAATAATGAGTTATCAACCCAATACAATGAATTGAAATCTACATTTAGTCCAAAGAGTCCAAAAGCAGCCAATTCTACCATAGAACAACTCTCACTACAAATACAAAAACAAAAAGAATATATTAATGCATCAAACAACCATATTAAAAATCTAACTCAAAGAATTACAGAACTGGAAAGTATTCAATCGTTGTCAGAGTCACACGATCAAATTTCTGAACTCAAAAAACAACTTAATGATTCAGTTGAGCTTAGAGAATCTTTACTTCATGAAGCAAAGGTTGTAACTGACAGACAAAAGCAAAAATTGAATGATTTAACAGCGGAAAATCAAAAATTACATGATGAAAATGAAGACTTAAGAAGTAAATTGCAACTTTCATCTCAATCTGTCAATGAAAAAATGACAAAACATATAACAAGCAATTTCGGAATAGATCCAGCTATAGAAAAGGAAATACAAAATAAAACCAAAGAAATTTCAGAAATGAAATTCTTAATTTTACAATTATCAGATAAATTAGAAGCTTCTCGTAAAAATGAAGAAAGTTTGAAGCAACAATTAGATGAAGCACAAGCTAATTTTAGTGCAAGTTTACAGAATGCCACAAAAACAGTAAGAATTTGTCAAAATGAACTCGATTCAATGAGAATTCAGCTTCAAAAAACGGAAACAATGACTGTAAATGCAAGAAATAATGTTGAACAAATGATTACTTCATTAAAGGAAACATATGGCCTGCCATCCTTCTTATTAGATGATGAAATGACACAAATAGTTAAGATTCCAAAATTATTGGATGAAACATTTGCAGGTAAAGATGAAATCATTGCAAAACTTCAAGCTCAAATTCAAAAACTTAATTCTGATTCTAATGATGCATTTTCGAAACAAAATGAACTTAGCTTGTCTGTTACTAGTTTACAATCAGTTATAAATGATTTACAAAACGACAAAAATGCTTTAACAAAAGAAATTCAAGATTTGAAATTAGCTCAAGCGAAAGAATTACAAGAACTCCAGGAAAAACTCAATAAGTCACAAATAGAAAATGAAAATTATAAAGTAACTATTAAGGAACTCCAAGAAAAACTAGTAGAAAGTCAAAAATTAACTGAAAACCAAAAATTCGACCATGAAAATGAAAAGAAAATAACAGACCAGTACTTGGAGAAGCAAAGAGGTGAAATTGAAACATTGCAAAACAGTTTGAAACAATATAATGATGATCAAACCAAACAACAATCAAAGATCCAGGAATTGAACGATACAATCAATGATCTCCGGAATAAAGCTGCGGAAAAGGATACTTTGATTAGCAAACTAACAAAAGATCTTGAAAATCAAAAATCAATTTCTTCAAAAACAATTGAAAATCTACAGAAGCAGCTTGATGACAATACATCTCGTCTAACTACTGAAATATCCCAGATCAATTCTAAAGCTTCTTCAAATGAACAAACTTTAATGAAAAATCTCAAAGATTTAGAAGGAAAACTCAATGATGCAAATAAACAAATAGATCAAGAAAAATCAAAGAACACAGATTTCCAGCGTAAAATGAGTGAACTTCAAAATAATTTCGAAAAAGATAAAATGAAATTCCAAAACGAGATAGACAAGCTTGAAAATATGAATCACAACATTGATGATAAAGTTCGTAGTATTCAAAAAGAAAATGAAAAACTTAAGATCGAAAATAATGAGTTATCTAACACAATCAAATCAGAAAGAGATGAAAATCATACTCGGAAATCCAAGTTAAACGATGAGATAAATCAATTGAAACAGAAATTGATTGACCAGAAGAAGGAAAGCGAAAATCAATTAAATTCTGAATTGGAAAGGATTAAATCAAATACACTTCAGTCCTTCCAAACAGAAAAGGAGAATTCTAGGAAACTTGCTCGTCTTTTGAAAGATTCTTACAAAGATAAAGAAAATCTTCAAAATAATTTTGATCGGGAAAAGCAAGAGAAGGACAAATTAACCAATACAGTTGAAGATATGAAGAAAGTAATCAATAAATTAGAGAATGACTTAAATTTGGAAAAGAATAAAACTTATAAGATGCAAGTTAAGATGGATATGGAACAAGTATCAACCGAACAGTTAAAACAGAAGCTTAAAGATACAGAATCACAGTCACAAGACCATATAGCTAAGTTGAAGTCTAAAATTTCCAAATTGAAGACTAATCTTTTGACTTTGACTAATGAAAAGAGCAGACTTACAGCAGATGCAGGCAAGGAATCACTTCTACAGTCAATGGACCAGCTTCAGAACTCTTTTGCCCAAGTTTCAGCTGAAAATGATAAATTGAACACAATTAATGACAGTCTCAAGCATAAAATTGATGAATTAAAGGAAGAACAAAACTCTCTGAAGAATAATAACAAGAATTTGTCTCAAGAAATTTCATCATTAAAAGATCAAGTTAATTCTGCTAATAGTAAGATAAGGAATTTGACTTCTGAGAATGACAAACTCAAATCAGATAACTCTCGTCTTAATAATGAAGTAAATGAATGGAAATTACAATCTCAAACTTCAGAAGTCCAAAGTACAATTCAGGTTCAAGCTGCAAAGAAAGCATTTGAAGATATAAAGACTGATAAGCTATTCTTTGAGAACGAATGCAAGAAATTGAAAGAAGAAAATGCAAAACTTCAAAAGTCAATTGAAGAAACTGTTCCTTCCACGGATTATAATACTTTATTGGCAGATTATAACGAATTTGTTAAAAAGATGAATGATTCTGATAAAAATGTAAATGAAAAAATTGCATCTAAAGAAAAAGAGCTTAATGAGTCCAAAAAGTATTACGATCTTAAGCTTTCTGGAAATGAGAAACTTATTTCCGAGCTGCAAGAAGATAAAGACAAAAAAGCCGAAGTTATTAAGAATTTACAATCAAAAATCACTGGTTTACAGGATCAAATCAATTCGTTAACAAATAGTAACTCTACAATGTGTTCTGCAGCCGAGCGCGATAGAGCATTCAAGCTTGTTGAGCAAATAGAAAAAGAAAACAATGAGTTAAAATTAAATTTGGAAAAAAGTGAAGTAATAAATAAGGACAAGAAGCTATTGATAGATGATTTAACAAAGCAAATGAATGACATACGTTTGGAACGTGATAGACTTAGCCAGAACTTGTTTAAAGCTGAAAATAACATTAAAATCAAAGATTCCGAAATCTCATCTAAGAATGATGAGATTTCAAGCTTGAAATCACAGATTAAGGATATAATGTTTAAGAATGATAGCAATGATAAGTCTAACTCCAAGTTAATTGAGAAATTACAAAATGAAATCCAAAATTTATCAAAACAGAATCAAAAGCTCCTTGAAGAAGAAAATTCTGTCAAAATATGTTATAATAAACTTGAGAGTATCCCGTCAACTACCAATTTATCCGATAGACTTCATAAATTTATAACAATTTTGACAGATATGTTTCTGTCCATGAAAATGAAGCCACTTTCATTTATTCCAAGCTACAGACAACTCTCTATTTTTACTTCTTCGGCAATAAACATACAGGAAGATAAAAGGTTAATAACGAAAAATGAACGATCGATAGCGGCTCAAATTTTATGTGAATTTTCGGATGTATCAACCGCAACAGGATTTTCAGCCAAGACTGCTATTGAAAGTTCTTTGGATTCCCAGTTAATGATGATCAAAAAGAGTATTGAGCACCTTAAGAAGCTTTTAAATGATAGCCAAAGGAAAATGAAGGATATGGCTGAAGTTGTGAGCTCTCAGCATGAAACTGTTTTAATGATTAGCAAATCTCCTCGTAACCTGGAACTCGTTAAAATTTCACAGAAAAATGTTGAAATATCAAAGACTTCACATTGTTTAAATGTTTGAATTTTTTTTTATGTGAAGTCCAATTTTTTTGTCTATAATTGTATTGAAAAGAAATGCTTGAACTTTTCAAAAATTTACTAAATTTTTTAAAAATTTTATCAGATTAAGGGTTTCGTTTTGCTAAAATTGTCACTTTTATAGCATATTTGTTTTTGGATGTTTTGCGAAACCAAAAAAAAAACTATGATATACAATGTGTGTGTAAAGAAAATACTTTATTTACTAGTTAAAAAATCATTTGGTATTGATCAAGTTATTTTTTCTGGATAAGATATTATATGGATAATTGGATAGAAAATACAATTATATAATCTTGTACCTGGTTTAATTAAGCTAATTGTCATCAGAAACTTGTAATTTTTATGAATTTCAGATTTTCTTTTCATTACTGCTTTTCTTAATAGGTCAAGTTCTTATTTACGTTATAAAGTATGATATTTACAAATATCAAGTTATCATTTTTTGAGAAATTATGAGAAACAAACAAAATGAAAAAGATAGGAATAGCAATGAATAGTGATGTGGGTATAGAAAATGTAAGAGATATGAATGCAAAGCAATCAGTATTTAGGATATTGACCATAGATTTCGAAAAAAAATGCTGCATATTGAGCGAAAACTATGATTATATTATAAGGCTGTCATTTAAAGCATAATGAAACTATTCCCTTTTCATTTTAATCGAATAAGATAGTAAAGATTTTTGAATTAGCTAGAAACTGATGAGATGTTTTCACAAATCAGATTTTTAATCTCTATAATGCATAATTCACTCAATATCTCAATTTTGATATTGCGAGATATTTTTGCTATCGGTTTCGCAATTTTGACACAATAGCAAGAGGGTTCTATAAGCATTATTATCAACGTAGAATCTGAATATCATATCAGAAAATGTCGCAAATCTGACATTTACCCGACCAAATAGCAAAAATAATTGAATACTTTTCGCAAAAACTTTAAAAATCGATAAAAATATGAAATATAGATATTAAAGAGACTTTTTATATAATATTCATAAAGATTTTCCAAAAATATGATACCGCAAAATTAAAAAAGTGACGTCTTGAGTGGAGTCAAAGGTCGAAATTGCTAGCTAAATGTTTTTTTAGCGAAATTGCGTATTGTACGTTTTTTTCGCAAAACGAAACCCTTAATCAGATTTCAGCGAATTTTACATTGATGTTAGCTGTGGTTTGAGTTTTGAAAAATTTTCAAAAAAATTCTAATACCCAGATTTTCCTTACTTTTACCACTCCCCATGTAATTTCTGGGGAAAACGATAATTCATTTTTTTATGGATGAATAGATCGTTTTCCTAGAAAGGACCTCATATCTCTGGCTAAAAAGAGTGTCAGATCCTAAATAGATTATTGATCTAGTGTACAAATCCAATAAAAAGCCTATTTTTTTGGCTTTTTTGGTGCTCATTTTTTCGAAGATCTACATGAATATGGGGAAACCATCGGATTTTTTTGGTTAACCCACATCTTCATGTAGTCTGGACTATCTTTCCTCGAAGGACCTCTTTACGGGTGTAAAAACTCATAAAGTTCTCAAAAGATTCATTCTCGATCTCCATGCTGAAAGAATTTACAATAAAAAAGAGATCTACGCATCAAACTACAGCCATAAATGAACTGAACCCCTAAAGCTCAGCTCTTAGTTTATCAAAAACGTCGAAATCCTTCTCATTGCAATCAAATTTTCTCAATAACTCATAAGAAAAATCGAATTTTGATTAAGCCGATGTTATAGGTATCACAAATACTACAAACTTGAGCAATATCGAAATTGCCAGCAAAAGTTTGAAATTGCATTGCTCATATTTGTTTTGTAAACTAAAAATCTGCTTATATTATTCATTAATTTTTTATATATTATTCATATACTTTAATAAAAACAATACTATTTCACCTTAAAAATGAATTTCATAAGTCAATATTATTTTTTTGAAAATGTATCAATTTTCGATTAAAACAACATGAGAATAAAATTTACGCAAAATTATTTTAAAAAATGGTTTTAAAAATTTACAATTGATGAAGAATAAGATTGCAAGAAGTTTTGAAGTTTAATTTTAAGAAAAAAAATTCGGATATTATTCATGGATCTAAGTAATCTGATATTTAAGTATCGGCACTATGCATAAAACATATATTTATAGTTTTTTTGGAGTTTTATGATTTTAAATATATTCAAATTTGGCAATCCAATAGATTTTTAAAAAATAGGTAAATAAAAATAGATTACATATGCAGCAGATTTAGAACATGAAACAAATCTTATAGTGACCCAAAAAAAAATTCATGATCCAAAAAAGAAAAATATTGGCTAAATGGGAATCAAACCTGGGCATAATGAATCATTATGTCAGATGTTTCCACTACACTACACCAGCAGTTCGAAAAATACCCTTGGTGGTTCTATTTAATAGCTACTCCCAACGATAGGCGGTGTCCCCAGCTTTAGAGAGGTGGTAAAAGTAAGGAAAATCTGGGTAGTCAAAAATTTTATAAAGTCATTTTTGACAATGAAAGATTTTAGCACTGATCTTAGTTTAGAAGACCTTAAGGCTTTCATGGGCAGTCACGATGCCAGAATAGCTTTCAGGAATAGCGACCCAAAGCTTTTAGCTTTCTTTTCTAATGAAATTGTTATTCAAAAATTGATTCAAATTGTCTTCACAGAGGAAAATTCATCAATATCAGATTTCAAAGATGCACTTTCATTAAGGTGCACTCCTTTCTTCAAAATCATCATTAAGAGTGAAACTTTCAGCCAATTCTTTTATCGTGCAATTAAAGTTGTTTCCATGTCTCCAGAAACATGCACAGTGGACAGATTAAATAAGATTAGAGGTGTTTTACCACGAATTTTAGCTTTCCTCAGAAATACAGAGTTACAGAATTCTACTTTCTATCAATATGCTTTGGAAATGTTTGATATACTCGTTCACAATTTCAACTCAACCAATTTATATTTCTTATATGATTTTCTTAATTCTGGTATTCCAAGCTTTACCTTGACAGAGGAAGACTTCGAAAGTATCATCTTCAAGGATCAAAAGATTAACTCTGCCGCAATTCCATTACTTTCTCTCTTAAATTCCGGAATCAAATTACAATTCAATTTTTCAAACTACATTCACGATCATTTTATCTCATTCCTTCTTTATGCACTTTTAAGAGACACTCCTTTGTTTGATTCCATGAAGATTTTAGAAATTCTCTCAGCAGAAATCGAAAATTCCAGAAAAGATAAAGTAGTTAAGGGTATTGTTTGCCAGTTTTATGATAATGCTCATCCATACATCAAGTCCCAAATCATCAAGAGATTCCATATCCTTCCAATAGATTTTGTTAAGGTTCTTTTTGACCCAGAAACAAATAATCACGTTGCAAAATCTATTTTAGACCTTATGATTTCAAAGAATGTCCTTAGACAGAATGTTGCTGACTTTGTTAATGACAAGACTCTCCAAGACTTCCCAGAAACATTCCCATTCATTGTCACAATTTTCGAAAAATTACCAGACCTCAGACCAATGAAATTCAATGAATATCTTCAACAATACAATGGAAGAGTCATTGTTCCAGAGCAGAAAAGACCAACACCAACACCATTTCGCTTCAATTGAATTTTGGTCAAAAATTTTAGTTTGAATAGTTTACATTTTATGGAAAATTTTGATGAAGATTGAAATATGAGTTCTTTATGGAAAATTTTGTGCCCTCACCATTTCTAGCCTGAGAAAAGGACTCATATTTATGGTATAGATAGAATATATCATAAGAAGCTTAACTTGAGACTTAGGAGAAAAACTGTGCAAATTTCACAGATAATTGAATGTAATTGTAATTTGATTCACTTGAAAATAGACTTGGACTCTATCTTTTTGTTGTGATGGCTCATCGAAATTTCAATATATAGATATAAATAAAGAATACTTTTAAAAACACTTTTATTATTTACGATTTTCGATCTTAAGAAGTAGAATATTCTCATATAAATAGCCATTTGCACAATTTGGCACTATATTTTTGGAGATAGAGCCCAATACATTTGAATCTTAATACTTTTCTAATAATTGAGTATAATGTATATATACTGGAGTCGTGTAGATGATACTTATCTTATTTATTCGGAAATCTTTTGTAGAGAAACTTTGTATTTATCAAAGATTGATTTCTTCATAAAAAATTGTCACTTTTAGCGATCAAGTATAATAAATTGAATGCTTTCCTTGTGTCAAACAAGATTTGCTTCATTGACAGCAATCAAAGGTGGTCAATCAAAGACTATCAATTTCGAGGAAGGAACTAATTTGTTCGAACTTCTCGTAGACAATGGAATGATGTCAAAGGACCAGACATGCCAAGGAAATATTGGCTGCGGCAAATGCACGATTGGAATAAAGAAGGGAAAGCTCCCACCACCAATCGAAGAAGAGGATGATATTCTTCCAAAGGATGGAAAACGCCTTGCTTGCGCAATTACACTTACAAAAGCCCAAGATGGCATTGAAATAGAAGTTTAAAGAGTAAATAAATATATGGAAAAGCTTACATTTTTAATTGAGTCAGTTAATTATATACTGAAATTACATTTTTGCTTTAACATTTTGAGTACACAGTCAACACGTGCTAATTACCCATGAGAATGGGTATGGATTCCTACATGAAAATCTGGATTTATTGACAAAATTATGATTAAAATACGAAAAATCTTTTATTTTAAGTGTGTGTAATCATATGCTTCTATTTTCACTGTTCATAAATTTCATTTTGCTCAAATAAAAAGTGACAATAAATGCTTCCTCTCCTCATTTTTCAGTCAAATTCATTAATCTATGAGCTTAATGAAGCATATTATAAAGCCTTTATCACAGAAGGCAAGAAAACAATGCCTTGGTTTATAATGTATTTCACAAAAGATTGCCCAAATTGTGATAAAGTTTCTGCCGAATTCGAAAAAGCTCAGGAACATTTAGATGGATTCATATCGTTTGCATACGCAGATTGCAATAAAAACCCTACAGCTGTAAGAACTATGAATATCAGAGCTGTACCTATATTTATGCTAATTACATCTGAAACACATTATAAATTTGAAGGACCATATACTACAACGGCAATGATCTCCTTCATTACTGAAAAATTAAGTGCAAATATCGATGAAATTGATGAAACATGGACTGGCAGAAAAGATCCAATGGTTCTTCTATTCCATCGCTCATTCAAAGCTCCTATGCTACTTACAGCCGCTTCTTCAGCATTTCATAAATATAATATCACATTCGCGATGACACGCGACAGCGACGTTATTAATGCATTCGGAAAACCATCTCTACCATCTTATTACTTCTACAAGGACGGCGTAGGAACAAGATACAAAGGAGATAAAGAAATTCAACCATTTATCAAGGCAATTTCCAAGCACTTCGGATATAGTATTGAGTACAATGAGCTTTAGGGCTCATTATTTTTGTTTTTTTCTTTTGAATAAAAAATTTCATTTTATAAATCTTGAATTTAAACATGAAAACTAAACATTTAAATATACTTTTAGACATTATATTATGAATACTAAGGTGGCTGTTTAATGGATGATAATCTAAAAAATATCATTAAAAAAAACCAAGGATTATCCATTGGCTAAAAGACTTAATGTGGCAGTTTCTGGTTGATAAACCCAAAATCTGGGAAAGGTTCTTGGGGAAAAAATCTTGTAAAAAATCGGGCCTCCGGCCATGAACAACACAAAGTTAAAGTGATACAATATGTAATATGCCCTATATTATTTTCCATTTTTCTTTCTTTTCCTCCTTTTCCCTTTAATCTTTTCTGATTTTTATTTTATTTGTTGATTTCTTCATGATATTTTGAAAATTTTTTTTTCAGAAGTGTATCAACTCTAACCATCATATCTAAGCTAAACTTGTTTCAACTATTAATGTTCATCCATAGAGCACCTTAATAATGCAGTTGTACATATAAAGTACTCACAAAATCTAGATTGAGAGGCGGTCAATGACTTTTGAGGGGAAATTAACGCATGGAATTTAATATTATTTAGGTTGATATTCTTCCTTATTATTTCAGAAAAAAATCTTAAAAATTTCAATATGAAAATTGAAAGCAATTCAAAAAAATTGCTAACATGTAAATTTTAATATCCTATGCATAATTTCATATTTTGAACATTTTTTATTTTTGTTTAAAACTTAAAATTTTGCGAATTTAATATAATTTATAAAATATAATACGTATATATATTTAAAATACACTAAATTTAATTGTTAATTGACGTTTTTGGGAATGAATTTTATCAAAACATGCCTGAATCCGAAAATTTGAAAGAACGAATTACACAATCATATATGTAGAATTCAAAATACAAACTTAAAGATTGTATACGTTTAAAATTATTCAGATTGTGTTTGATTTCCACTCATTCTGTTTCTTTTGAACTCTAACACTAACATTTCATGATGATTACATGATCCATTTATACATGGTTGAATTGTTCCAGATTCTACCAGAAAATCAATCCAAATTTCTCAATGCATTCATGTTGATTGGACAAAATTTAAAATTTATCAGCCTGTTTCCAGAGAAACTCATATATTCCCTAATGAAATGTAATTTTTGCTACATTTATTTCAATCAAATTTCAAAAAATTGACTGCAGAGCTTGAAAAGGTGATGAATCATGTTGTTATTAGATGTACATATTAGATTTACTATTTCCAAAAAAATGCTCAAATTTGAATAGTTTTTAGAAAATTTGGAATTACACTCCTTACATTATATATAATTAAATGTTTAAATTTTATTTATTTTTCCCTTTTAATTTTATAACATGCTCTATCAAAACTAACCTCTCAATTGAAGGCCACAAAATCTAAGTAGTGAGGGTACACAAATTTTGTATGGAGTACGGTTCAATTTTTGAGAGCCTCACTACTTAGATTTTGTGACTACCTTATATTGCCTCATAATTTTCTGGATCTTTAGATCAAATTTCCATTAATACTTCAATATCTACCTGTTTATATATTGAATAATGCATATATATATATAGATAGAAAAGGATAAGTTTTAACTTTGATCATCGATATTTGATATTTCGTGAAAATAATATCCCTCAAAGTCTGATTATAATAATATATTTTCTCAAAATAGCATCCTATGTAGATAAATATTGTTTATTATTTAGAATTTGGAATTATAAAAATTTATTTATTCATAAAAACATTTCCAACAAGTTAAAAATACTATATTAGCAATGTTTGGCATTGTTTTGTCAGCTTATATCGGCGCGCAGCTTCGCTGACAATTAAGGCTCCACGTTCAGAAATTGAGAGGGTCGTAATCCTCCTTTTTTTAATGGCCCATGACTCCGTGAATACCCAAAGCCAAGGGGTCGGAGTATGACCAAATGAAACTGTAGCTTCAACAGCACAAAAAAGGGTTTTTCGTCGAAAACCTTGGTAAATTACCTCCAAGATCTAATAAATTTCGAAAAATCGAAAGTTGATCTTATTTGCTTTACTTACCCATAAGCTCTTAAACTGCACCATTGTTTTTCCTTATTTGCAATATTTATTTCATTCTCGATAAATAACTTCTACAAATCATATATACACATTAAGATATATTTTATTGCACATAAAGAGTAAAATTCTGAAACTATACAGAATTCTTTTGAAGATTTTGTGCATATTTCAAATCATCTATAATAATTAGAGTTTGTTTCATTTTATTCTATACCAATCAATTCAAAATATTAGACGCATTGATTGCCTTATTGTAATTTATTATTGCTTATAGTTTTTGTCATAATTTTAACAAATATCATATGTAATATCAATAATTTCTTATTCTCGATCATATTTTTCTAGTACATATACAGGAATATGCTGAAGTCCTACGTTTGAGGTCAAGATTGAGAGTTATTGATATTAATCTCTTTTGAAACTAAACATTTTGAAACAATAATCAAAAATTATTTACTTTTATTTGATTTTATAGCAATCTTCATTAGATAATAAAATATTAGCCAACCTTGGGGTTTGGGCGCTATCAAATACTTGAAAATTAATTTTGGAGTCCATAAGTGCATAGTATAATGGTTAGAATTCCCTATAATAAACCTTGTTTTGAAGTTCATTTGCCGAACATAAAACTTTTTTTCGAAATCGAAATTATTTCAAAAAAAATATATCTTATTTTTTGCTTTTTAAGATAGTCATTATACACAAAATATTAGTAAACTATTTTTATTTGAATTACTAAAACTTTCAATTTTTTTATTCTCTGATATTGACTCTCATATGATATATTATCCAATATATATGATTTTCTGCTGTTATTAGTTATATTACAATGAATGCTAAATCATCAAGCAAAGCTAACTCAATAAATATAGTGAATTTCAATTTTCACTACGATAGATACTTCCATATGAACTATTAAAACTTTACCATGCTTTTACCCCGCATAATATAAAAATATATCCTTTTATACCAATTGTAAAATTTGAAATATCGAATTTGATAAATTTATCGACAGTATGAAATATTTGATGTTTCATAAATTTTAAATTAGAATGATTGTAACATACAATGAGTTCGAAATTTTATCCCGAATCTTGCTTGATGATTTAGCATTCATTGTAATATAACTAATAACAGCAGAAAATCATATATATTGGATAATATATCATATGAGAGTCAATATCAGAGAATAAAAAAATTGAAAGTTTTAGTAATTCAAATAAAAATAGTTTACTAATATTTTGTGTATAATGACTATCTTAAAAAGCAAAAAATAAGATATATTTTTTTTGAAATAATTTCGATTTCGAAAAAAAGTTTTATGTTCGGCAAATGAACTTCAAAACAAGGTTTATTATAGGGAATTCTAACCATTATACTATGCACTTATGGACTCCAAAATTAATTTTCAAGTATTTGATCACGCTCCAACCCCAAGAGCCGTTGTTTTGTGAATATGAAGAAACAGTGCAGACCACTATTATTTTCTATCTGTAAACTCACATGATTTATATACAAAAGTTCGTAATTTTTGAATATATTAGTATTTAGAGAATATATTGCTTTTACTAATAAAAAATCAATAAAATACAATATTCATATATATTAAAATATTATCCATTTCATATCGACCCTTGATTGAAGATAATCGAAATCAAGAAATTTTCTAGTTCATTCAAATCAAAAACTGAACCCATCATTACAATTTTGATATTATACAGATAATATTTTAATATTTATAAAAGCCAAATTCCAGTTTTTTTAGGAAATTGGCAATCTACTTTTCAGATTTGGGAAACTTTTGTTTCTCTGGAATCCTTGTCTTATAAGGGATATTTCAATTTTTTATGCGCGTGGATGGGTTTTGAGATTTTGTATCTTTCATAAAAATGAAAAAGAATGTGATAATTAGTTTCTCCTAATATTGCGATTAGTCATGCTGCAATCAGAATTTAAAAATTTTTCTCACTGATGTAAATATGTCAATTTTTTCCAAAATTGATTTTGGACGAAAAAAACAAAGTTTTTTCAAATTAGGTATTTATTCAATTTGAGTGCTACCAATAGATCCCTCTCCTCATATAGATGATGGATCATGTGTCTGTTCATTCCAAAAGCAAACATATGTGGCTACAAATGCACTTTTAGGTGCAATCTTAATTGAATGCCCTCTCAAAATTGAATGCATGAACGTAGAGCCTTAAATCACTTCGAAATGCTGGACTGCTTGTCTTAATTAGCTAAGTACTTTCTCTATATCAAGTTTGAGCATAAACTGACTTAAATTTAGGAATATGACTGATATTTAGATGTATGTTTTGCCAAACCCTATCGTCATGATCGGAACGATTCTTTATATTTGGAAAAAATGACAATTCCGATGCAGATTTTGTACATTGATCAAGTTGGACAATTTTTTAAGGTATGAATGGAATGAATTTTATGCAAGAGATCTTTCCAATACGCCTTACGAAAACAAAACTACGAAACTTTCTCGGCTTGACCAAAATTATTACGTGAGTCAGTGCCTCTTTTCCAAAAATATTAACTCAGGTGCCATTAATTTTACGACTAAACAAGATACAACGAAACTATTAGTTGACGAAACCCAATTTTTAAATTGTAGTAACTCCAATAACGGAGGAAGTTTATACTTCTCGCGTGAAGGCGAGTGTGTTCAAGATCGAATAATAAGTGACTCATCAAAAGTAACATCAAATTATTATGGAGTTTATTGTTATTCAGATGTTTCAGATAAAGAATCATTCCAAAACAAAATTATTTCATCTTCAATCACTAAAAGTGGAGAAAATAACTTAGGATATAATAATATTTACCTAAAAAATGGAAAAATTAATTTCACCAATTCAAATATTTCTCATTCAAAATGCTTTGGATGTAGTGTTTCTTGTTTTTATAGTTATTTATCTGATTCAAAAGTTTTATTTTCTATATTTTATGATAATAAAGATAATACTCCAAGTAGTTCTGCCCCTGTTTTCCTTTATGATTCACCATCATCAACTATTCTATTCGAAGCAACAAATTTCCAAAATATTACTGATTATTTTTTAGTTTATGCATATAAATCTCCAACAAATATAACAAAATGTTGTTTCTCAAATAACAAAATTTCTCAATATTATTTCTATGGATGGTATGCCAAAATTACAGTTAATAGATGTTTCATTGATGTAGATCCAAGTAAAAGCGGAACAGTTGAAATAACTAACAAAATCCAATATTTATCTAATATTGATGTTTGTGAAATATCCTATGAATTTAACAAAGAATATTTTGAATATATTGACAAAGCTCGAAAATATATTAAAATTTCAAACATATCTACAAATTTCATAAACTTCACATTAAACACATAATTTTTTTTCCATAAATGATTTCATTTTTCCATTCATGGAATTAATCAAGTTTGATGCCAAGTTGAATACTTTTTCACCGCTTCTCTCATCTTTGAAATTTGTACAGTTTTTCTCCTAAGTCTCAAGTTAAGCTTCTGATGATCTATTCTATCTATCCCCTAAATATAAGTCCTTTTCTCGGTCTAGAAATGGTGACATCACCCTTAATTTAGCAATTTATGAGCGTTTTCAGAAAAATGCCCATAAATTCGCAATTCTGATTTCAAAGGCGAATCGCAAAAATTTTGGGGCGTAAGATAAATTTATCGTCAAAAAATAAAAATCATAAACACATGAAATATAATCTAAATTTTTAATTTTTAACTCTCGAAAAAATAATCGTATGCCCCAAAATTTTCGATTAAAATTTGCATCAGAATTTTTTTTAACATTACACTTAAAAAATTGAATATATGACAATGAAATCTCAAATATAGAGCATCCCTAGTAGATGGTCCACCATGGTCACCTCAGATTCTTATTGGACTGAACAAATCATTTGCTTTAATGTGTTTTATAAAGAATTTTAATATTTTTTAAAATAATTTTTATTAATAAATAAAAAACATCATAAAATAATAAATAATAAATAATAAATAAAAATAAATATTTTGTTAATGTGATGAGAATCGCTTGATCAATGCTGAGATCTGCTGCATTCGAACTGGTTTAGCAAGGTATGCGTCCATACCAGCATCCATGCAAACTTGTTCATCACCTTCAACTGCTGATGCAGTCAATGCAACAATAGGAACATTTCGGTATTCTTTCCCGGATGATCGGATTCGTCGTGTAGCTTCTAATCCATCTAAAACGGGCATCTGACAATCCATGAAAACAATATCGAATTCATCATTATCCAATGCTGTCAATGCTTCGGAGCCATTATCTGCAATCTTAAATGAACATTGCAAGTTCTGAAGAATCTTCTTCATAACAAACTGGTTAGCTTTGTTGTCTTCAACAACTAAGATACGCAATGGACTAGTTTGTTCAATTTGTGCGGTAACAAAACTTGTTTCAATGCCTTTCCGCAGATCATCAAGGAATTTCCGAACGTGATGGAACATGACTGGACGTGGAATTGAATTACGGAAAACACATGTCTCGCCGGGATCACTGATAGCACAAACTGTGACTTTACCAATACGTGCAGCGGCATCTTTGATTTGTTTCATTGGACGAGATGTCTCCAAGAAATATGCAATTGTTGTTTCCGTGATTTTGTCTGCAAAATTATCTGGATCGTCCAAAATAATGTAATCGTATTTGAGTAAATCAAACCATTCTTTCAACATTTTAATGGTGTCTTCATCTTCTGAATATACTAAGACACTCTTACGATCTTTATGTGTTGGAGCATATGGATACATAACAGATTCCATTGGAATAGTAACGGTGAATGTGGAACCACAACCAACTTCGGATTCCAATGTGACATCGCCGCCCAAAAACTTAGAGATCTCTTGAACTAAACTCAAGCCTAATCCTGTACCACCAAAGAAACGAGCAACACAATCATCGGCTTGTGCAAATCGTTCGAAAATAACTGCACGTTGATCTTTAGAAATGCCAATGCCAGTGTCAGCAACACTCAATGTGAAAACTTCGTCGTCGAATGATAATTTGACATCAATTCGACCTTGTTTTGTGAATTTGATTGCGTTACTCAACAAATTATTAAGAATCTTAAGAATAAGTTGTGGATCCGATCGAACTAAACTTGGGAATGGTGTTTTAACATACAATGACAATTTAACGTTGTTTTCTTTAGCACTTGCGTAATTAGCAAGAATTGTTGGTGAAATCAACTGCCAGATATCAACATTTGACATTTCAACTTCGGTTTCGCCTTGTTCGATCTTGGACAAATGTAATGTGTCATCTAATAACTTCATCAACTGGAATGATGATGATCGAATAGAATCAACAAGAAGACGTTGTTCTGATGTAAGTTCTTGAAGTGAAAGAACATCTAACATGCCGAAAATGCCGTTCATAGGAGTACGAATTTCGTGCGACATGTTTGCAAGGAACAATGTCTTCTGTTTATTTGCTTCCTCGGCACGAGCACGTTCTGTTTCAAGACGGTTGTATGCATTACGAAGTTCGGTGACATCGATGCAGACACCAACAACTTGACGTAATGATGTATCTCCTTTACCTCGAACTGAAACCCAAACAAACTCGTTGTTCTCGATTTCGATTGGGAAATCAATCTCAATAGTTGTTCCTGTGTCAAGTGATTTCTCGATTTCAGTAGCAATAGTTTGTCGATAATCATCTGGAACTTGTTGTTTGATGAATGTCCAGTTCATTTCGATACCCGAAACAACACCCGGAACAAATCCTTTCATCTTTTCTGCAGGTTCGTTGTTATCGCGGAATGTCCAAAGTGATAATTTACCACTAGAAAGCAAAAGATCTCGCAATTGACGTGTCTCTCGAAGTTTGAACTCGACTTCGCGCTGTTTGTTTGTATTCATAGCCAAACAATGCAATGTGTTACCTGAAAGTGCAAATGCTAATCGGTGCCATTCGTAGTCACCACCTGCACGCATGATACGAAGTTCGCAATTGAACTGTGTAATATGACGTTGAAGGAGATCGTTGTAACCGCGTGTGAATGTGTCGCGATCATCTTGATGGATACATGTAGACAATGATGGGAATTTAGTATCATGGCTAAGACCAATGACATCCCAGATTGTTGGCTGCATGAAAATAGATGAAACTTTCTCTGTTTGTGTGTCGACAATCCAAAAGACAACAGATGATGTAGCTGAAGGGAATGGCAAATCATCCGGCTGACTAGATGCAATGTCTGGGAAGTTGTCCGTGCAAACTAAGAAACCAATGCCTTCATGTGATGATGTAATGAATGAATGATTTCCAATTCGTAAAGAAACACGTTCACCTAAGATGATTTTACTAAGTTTACTTTGTTCAACTGAGTCTAAATATGGACAAAGATCAATTTCTTCGTTGTTACTATTATTATTATTTGTTGTTGATTCAACTTTACCTTCTCCATGAATGAATGACAAGAAATCGTGGCCAATGATGTAAACATGGTTGTCGTGGATCCTGAATTTGTAGATGTTACTATTAGAGAAATCGCGTTCAATAGATTTGAATGAACTAAGCATTTCATGTTCTTGTCGCTTTTCTTGTGTCATCTTCTCAATAAAGATAGTAACAACGTAATCTTCTTGAACGGTATCATATGTAGATGCAGCCGAAAGAATGTACCATTCCTCGGGATGACCTTCTTTGTAGATACGTCGAACAAGTTGTTGTTGTGACATGTCTTCTTTGACAAGTTCGTGAAAACAATCAATGATATGTGGGTATTGATGATGATCAAGGTGTTCCAGAAGGTCTTTCATGTATGTGAACTTCTGGAAGTCTGTGTTGCTGTGTGAAAGGATGATGTCCTTGTTTAATAAGAATTCGACGTAGTGAAGGTTCTCGTTTTGAAGGATTGTTGTGAAGAAGTTGTTAAACGTTCGAAGTTGTTTCGCGGAGAAGTTACTTTGTGCAATATAGATAGTACAAACTGCAAAGAATGGAAATGCGTAGTCATCGTAAACATCGATTGGATGTGTTTCTGGAATTTCGATAACAAATGAATATGTGAATGAAAAACCTTTCTGTTTGCATACAAAGATACGTGTGTCTGGTGAAATAGCACCATGGATGTATGTAAAGTCGTGGTCTTTCATTTTGTCAATGTATTTGTACAAATCATTTGGATCAACATCCAATGCATCGTATGATTTAAGATTAATGATCACACTTGCATCATTGAAGATAGTAATACGTTTAGCTTTGAATCGTGTGAAGCATTTTTCAACGTATGATTTCATATCAATAATTCCATCGGTTGATTCTTTCATTTTAAGCATAAGTTCGTAGTACATTGATAATACTAAGCAAACTAGCTGTCCGTATGGTTGGAATGGTGAAAATGCGGCGGCGGGAAGGTCTGCTTTGCAACGAACGTTGTTATCAAGAGTAAATGAGACATGGATAGGACGGTAGTCTCTGTATGATGAAAATGTGACCTTTGGAGGTTTGAGTAATCCATGTGTTGGTGATGAAAATTTACAAACAAACTCTGTTTTCGTTTCATCGTCAAATGTTTCTGTCCACAATGCGGTAACAACGAGTTTATTGACTGGGAATGATCCGATATGGATGAAATGGTGGTTAATCTCTTGACGATTAATTTTGATGATTTGTGTAACGACATTGTTTGATTTTCTTGCACGGTAGTTAGATTCCTTGATGCAAGATCTCGTAAAGTCGTCCAATGTGTTGAAATCTCCGCCAAAAACGATTTTATCTTCTGAATCAAAAACCCAGAATTTTGCGTTTTGGTCTGTAATGGGAATTCTTTTACGTCTGAGAAGAAGTGCGCTGATTATTAACAAAATTGTGATGGCAATGCCGATTTGCGGAGTGCGAGAAATTTTGCAAACATTTGAGAGTTCAGAGTTAGAAAGATTTGAGTATATGTAGAATTTAAATGATGAATCTTCTAAAAATGCTAGCGAAGTTCCTTTCAAAGGAATTAAAGTATAATTTTCGAAAACTTTTTCTTCGTTCGAAATTATATAAGTTGAAGGTGCTAAAAATGTGTTAATGGATGAGAATTTATCCCTTAATAGAAGAGCTAAGGATGATGATAGAAAAAGCCCATGATCAAAAGATATAGCATCATTTCTAAGAGAATTATGCTGGTAAAGATAATATTTTGGATATCTTGCAGTATGTGAACATTTGTAATCCATACTTAATGGAATATCATACGCCAATGGCTGTTCGCAAAATATTATTGAGCTGATTGAAGAATAATTGGAAAATTGCATTGGACTATTTTCTCCGAAGCAGCTTTTTATTGCTGAATCTGGTATGGATCCAATAATTCTGCTGCTACAGAAGGAAAATAGTAAAATTATCATTCTTCGAATGACAAAAAACGATAGAAAAATGAGTGTAAATAATTCATTTCAGTTTAGCAGTAAGTTCATGTTTATTGTTACACTTCGATTTTTGTGTTTTCTCAATATTTGCGTTCAATTCGAACTGTCTGATGACGGAACTGAAGAGATTACTTCATTCTAATCTATTTTAATTCACAATTACATGCCAATAAATAAAGAGGAATAACATTTTTGCATTGTTTTATCGGATTACATTATTTCTAAATTAACTACGAATAATCAATTGAGTTCGGCAAAGATTCTTTATCCAAAAGCATCCTAGTTTTATTAATCACGTTGATGGCAGGCAATTACTACATGAATTTCGATATGAATAAGAAATTTATAAAAAGAAGACATTAATAACCAAGTTGTTTAGTTATCTTTATTTATAAATAGTGCATACATACAGTTACAATAGATTTCAATTGTCAAATTAGAAAGAAATTGAAATTATTGTAAACAAAAAAAGTCAAAATAGTGAAAAAATATGATAAATCATTAGACAGCGTTGTAAATAGGTCCTTCATTATCATGGAATATCAAAGCGTCTTTTGATTCAACAAAACACCTCAAAGCTTGATGAGGACTTACGAATTCACCGAAAATCAGCTTATTATAGGTATGTGTTATTTGGCCGGTGAAGCCATCTGTTGTTCCGTCACTTAATTTTACGAAATCTCCTGGGAACATTCTTCTATTAACGGCATCTCTTGCCTTATTATCATCTGGAACAATTGTAAGCTCTGTTGTCAATGGTAATTGAATAATATTATTATGAGTTGTTACAATTTTAATCATTCCATCAACTATGTCAACTACAACACCAACTCTGTTATCAGGAGTTGAAACAAGCTTGAATAATAAAGGAATTCCATTTCTTTTTGTCAAATCTTTATCATATCCTGCTTTTATCGTAATATCTGGAGCAACAATGTCGTATTTACCTTTAGCCTTCCTAAGGTCTATGTATTCTGTAATTTCTAGCTGTTCAGGAACAGGAAGGAAATGTTCTGAACCTTTTTGAAGAAATCCACTTCTGGCAATCTCCAATTTCTTCTTATCTGATTCAGAAATAGGGATAACAGGGTTATTTGCGTAAAAATCGTAGTCTTCTTGAGGAATATCATCTAAAAAAACTTTGATATTCCGAAATGGGATTTTCATTATAATCATAGGTCCTCTGTAAAGTTTTCCTTTGTAATTCATGCCAACAATGGCCTTTGTTTTAAGAGAATCCAAATATCTGACTTGAGCTCTTCCTCTTCTCTCTCTTATAATTGAGTTGTAATATTCTTCATCACCTTTGAGCTTAATAATGACGTTTTTCTTTTTGAAATCGATATCAGAAATTTGAGCAACCGAATTCTTGTAATCAGGTAAATCCAATCGACATAATGATAGTTTGGGATCTGTTAAAAGCGGAAAATATTGTTGGTTGAGGAAAAAAGGAAGAATTTTCTCTTGGCGCAATCTGATAATTCTTTCAATACGTTCAAGCTGTGTAAAATCTAATTCTTTGGAACATTGTAAGTATGTTGTCTCATCTCTGAAAGGAATTGTAAACATTGAAATTATATTTTCGGATATATTCTGTTTATTTTCGATCATTTTTGTGAAATCTTCTTGAGATTTACCAATTTCATAAAAAATGCTGTCCATAACTTCTGATTTTGAATATTCTTTTTTAGAAGGAATATGTTTTGGATTTGCAGGTGTAAGAATATAATGTTTGAACACTCTTGAAGGATTATCTGATTTATCAGCATCTTCTGATTTATTTTCTGTTGCATCTGGATCTGTATTTTCAATAACTTCCGATGTTTCGGTCATTTTATTATTTTGAGCCCAAAAAATCACAAGAATTAACATATACTAGAAATGTTCAGTTTTTGACTGCTATTCTCATAATTTTGCGATTTCTTTTGTTTTAAATCGAATTTCTCAAGATTTGAATTAAAATTCATCCGAAAAACACAGCCAAACAAGATATCTGTTGATGATATGTTGAATTTAATATCATTAGTTTGAAAAATGGATAAGGTTTTTAGAGGAAAGATTAATTTTTATTTAAATTTTGCTTACAAACATTAATTTTAACGCCCAGAAGTAATTGGTGGTTGTATCTTAGCCACCATATCTGTAAGATTGTCATATCTCTTATTAATTATATCGATAACGTTATCTGTGTATTGTTGGATTAATTCTCGAGCATCTTCAAGTGTAAGTGGTCCCTTTGGCAGCGTGAATGGCTTGAATTGCATTGAATCATCTACATAATGAGGAGCTTCATCACATTGAGACAAAGGAACAGGAGGAACTGGAGTAAATACTCTTCTCTTTTCAGGGACTTTAACACTTTCAACATTATGAGTAAACGAATATAAAATAAGTCGAAGTGGCCTGAAGAAAACTTGATTATAGAAAGTTAAAATTTTCTGTGTTTCTTCTGTATTAAATTTCCATTCTCCGGCATTTAATTCATTAAACATTGTCTGGAATTGTGTAAATAAGTCTAAACGTAATTTATCAATTGATGGTTTTTCTTCTGAAAGTTCTGTAGGAGATTGAGATTGAATTGCAGATGTTAATAAGCGATCAAGTGATCTGCATATAAATTGTGTTTGTGGTTGATCAAATTTTGATTCTAAGCACCAAAGTCCGTTCGCATAATGAAAATCTGCAATTGTTGTGGATTTTACATCATTTTTATACTGATCTTCTGTTATACTAAACATCGCCATAATATGTTTGAATCTTTCATCGTCATTTGGACATTCAAAAAATTTTTGTGTGGCAGCAGCTGTCCATCCAGCTCCAACAACAAGTTTTTCGGTATCATCACCCTTACGTCCTTTTGTTGGAGCTGGCTTTATTTTCTTTTTGCTGGAAGAACTCCTTCCATCTTGATGTTTCATTTTTGACAAAAATATCGTTATAAAGAAAGCATCAACACTAATCATTGTTTTTAAAATCAAATTACAACGATAAAAAGTGTTCTCGTTATATTGTAACAGGAATTTTAAGCCATAAATTCTTTTTTTGGCTTTTTTTAGTAAAAGATAATTGAATAGTTTACAAAATTTAAAATTCATGTTTAGCGAGAGTATCAAGCAATATAGTGACTTGATTGACGTATATAAAAAGCTATATCACATGAAACCAAACGATTCAGCTTTGGATATGTTCGATTCACTCAAAACCATTTTAATTCAGAAGTATAAAATGCCATTCCATATTTTATTCGGCAGTATCAACAATGCGGAATTATATAATTATCGGGCCCTTTTTAAATACATAAAAATTCTTCAATGTTTTAAAGATGAAATTCCAGAACAAGATATTTTTACAAAGAAACATCTAGAATCAATAGCAAAAAGATTTAATGCAGAAATTAAATTCAGTTCCCCACATAGATATAGAACTAATACTAATAAAATTTATGTTGATGAGCTTAAATCTTGTTTTCCAACTATAGATAGCCTAGAAGACATAATTATGCAAGATGATATTGAAAAATTTAAAGAGTTATCCTTTAGTACCAATATTTATCGAACCAAAGTTAAATATTTTATTTCTCTTGGTATAACATCAATTCTTGAAGCATGTGCGTATTTCGGTTCAACAAACATTTTCTTTTACGTTCTTGCAAATGATCCTGAGAGTCAAATAACAGTTATTTGCACTGAATTAGCATTCGTTGGAGGGAACGTTGATATAATTAATGAATGCATGAAATTTCACAATCCAAATATGCGCTGTTTAGAACATGCAATGAATTCGCATAATAACGATTTGTTAGATGATCTACTCGACAAATTTAATAACGATCTAATTTATTTTGATTTTGAAATCTTAATTTATTCGCAAAACTTAGAAGCATTATTCATTACATGTGAAAAAAATTTGAAGGATGTAATTCATGTATGCGGTATTTTTCCACAAGCTTTTGATATTATAGAAAAAAAATTGGAAACATCATCCAAAAAATTATGTCAAACATTTCTCAATTCTTCATTGTGCTGCATTTACCAATAATATTGAAGTTTTCAAGTACTTTAATAATGATAAAGATCCTAAATTTAGTATTACATATTCCACGAAAGATTTATATTTAAGAACACACATATCAATCGCAACTGAATTGAATAACAAAGAGATTATAGAGTTCATTCTGGCACAGGGCGCTTTAATTGAATCTAATAAGATTCATAATCCCCTTCATATTGCAATACAAAATTATTGTAATGATGTTGCAGTACTATTTGTTAATCATGGTATAGATGTTAACTTCAAAGATTTTTCTGGTCGTACGCCATTGTCATGTGCATTTAACTATGAAAATTTTGAGATAACTCCATTCCTCATCGAACATGGAGCCGATGTAATGAAATTATTTAATCGTGCAATTACAAAGCATTATATTAAGTTTTTATCTTCTCATGGAAAAGTCAACATAAAAGATAAATTGGGTAAAACATTTCCACATTATGTTGTTGAACTTCTTATTTCGCATGGAGTAGATATCAATGTTAAAGATAATCAAGGAAAAACAGCACTTCAATATGCCACAGAGGTTGAGAATAATGAAATTATTAAACTTCTTACATCTCAACAATGTGATAAATAAATAAGTATAATAAAAATATTAGATTTACAAACAAACAAAAAAATATAAAAAAATTAAATTTTGAAAATTCGAAATAATGCAATGGTTGCATTGTATCTTGTTATAAATTAAACATTCGATTGTTTGACAACATCTTTTGCCGCTTTTTTGGGATTTTTTGATGATTTTTTCTTTTTTTCGGGGAAAAAAACAACAAATAGCAAATAAAATAATGGAAGGAATATCCCTACAATGAATATTACAACAACAACGGGATTTACGTCATTGTAGAGAATTTCATTTTTGAATCTTTGAATCCATGATTTTCTTTTTTTAATTGCTTCTTTGTATCCAATATCTCTATAGAAAGCTAAAACAATAAATCTTTCACAAGGATAATTAGTTTTTATCGTATTATTTTCCAAAACAACATCTCCTTCTGAAATCCGGCCAACTAAGTTATGGCAAACATCTGTAACAATAATTCTTCCACCATTTGAGTTATAGGCTGCAAAAGCATAACCTCTGTTAATTCTGAGAGAAACTATGGTAGAATGAAGCAATTTTGCATCACCTTGGAGATATTCACCATGAATTAATGTTCCATGATAGACATTTGAGCCGAATGAAACCATTCTGGCAACATATGTATGAGAAAATAAAAAATCTTTTGTATTTTCGAGATAAAAGCCGCAGCATGATGCATGTGTTACAAAAGAATTAATAATGATGTAGTTTATATTGCCATTTGAGTTTTTAAAGTAGAAAGCTCCTTTTGAAGTACTTGTTTGTATTTGAGTTAGATTTAACGATGTAGAAGATACATCATTGGTACTACATTCAATTAGAGCTGTAGATGCTGCTTCGCATTTATGGCATCCTGTGAAAATTAAAATTAAATGATCTGATTTTGTAACGAATGCTACTGAACTGCTATTTTTCGCAATACAATCGTAAAATGAACAAAAGTTTGAATCTAAATCTGCACAATATAAAGCTGCACCTACTTCACTCGAACAAGTTTGGAAAAGGCAACAAAATAACTTGAGAGGTGCTGATGTGCATATAGCACTACCTTTGTTTTTACTGAAACAGTGCCTGAATTGGCAATCTTTACAAACAATTGAGGAATCATAAATGTAATTAAGTCCATTTGCAAACGTTTTATCCTCAACGAACAAATTTTCGATTTTTATTGCTGATGAAAGGAATCTGTTAAATGATGATCGCTGAATTTCTAATTTATTGTGAAAATTTGATTTAATAAATGGGAAAAACGACTTTGATATTGATGAATCTTTAATAATGATGCTATTAAATCTCGTTTTCGTATTAATAGATAATGTTGGCGCGATAAACAAACCATTTAGTCTGAGATAAGTCAAACTCAAGTTCATTTATGAACAATAAACTTAAGGAAACTTCATGTTGCAATGAAATATAGATATTAACGAGCGGTGTCCCATACACTAATTATAAATTAATCATAATTAATATTCTAATAATTTGCAATATATAAGAGGAGCAATATTCTAATATAAAATAAGTAATGATAATGTCTGTTTAATAAAATATTATAAACTTAATAAAATGTTTGAAATTGTAAATTTTTTTAAGGTTCTGGGGCTTCATCTTGTTCTGCAGCTAATTTTTGAGCCTCTTCTCCTTCTGCTCCTCCTTCTGGAGCTTCTTCTCCTTCAACATAATCGCCATCTTCTTCAATGAAGTCCTCTTCTTCGATCTTGAATTCAGGATGTTCTTCGTGTGCCTTGCACCAAATAACAAGGAATACGATACCGATATCTATAGCAATGAATATAATAATAAGGATGACAATAAGTGCTATAATTCCTCCGGAAATTGGGCTGCCTCCTATCTTGATTTTGGCATCATTTCTCTTTGATTCATAATCAGTAAAGTTATTTGCTCCTCCACTCTTGATTTCAAACTTATCTTCTTGGAAATTATTTTCTGTCTTGAGACTGGCCTTGATCTTTTGGAATGATTCTCCAGATTGGAATTGGAAAGCTATTGGTGAACTCGAAACAGGGATTGCTGTCTTTCCATCCATATTCATTGGTGATTTTCCGGAACCCTCAATGTTAGCTACAATATATGAGTGATTTGTGAATGCATAATAAGCATTAAATGGTGCGTTCTTATCCTCTGGTGCTGTTATCTCTGGGGTTTGACCTGCATTGAAAACTATATTTGCATTGCTATTTGATGATTTATAAATATAAATTGTTATTGCAGTTTCAGATTTAAGTATGAAATTACTTGATTCCTTAAAATGAACTCCATAAATTTTCTGTGAAAAGATCTCGTAACCAAGTTCCCTTTCAGAATTTTCTTTACTATAAACTAATGTGCATGAATGCGACATTTTGATGTCTCGTGGAACAAAGAAAACATCACTTTGAGCAGACACTATGAATCTTTGTTCAGAGCTTAATTCAAAGAAATATGATCCTGTAGATAATTGTTTTGGAAAGTCTTTTGTAGTCACACTCCATTGACCTTGCAAGTCACTAAGGAATTTTGAATTAGAAATAGAACTGGTGTACGACTTTCCATTAGATGCCTCTTTAGAATAAATTCCAATGGTGCTTGGTTTACTATCTTCAGAGACATTGAATACAACAGCTAATACTTTCCTTGATTGGAATAATTGTGGTTCACTATATTCGCCCTCAACGGTGCCATCAAATTTATAAACAGAAAGTTTTGTGCCACTTCCAATACTTAAATCATAGGAGTAATTCACATCAGATGCAAAAATGCAGCCATACTTTCCTGGTTGAACAGTTGTTGAATTAATAACAAATAGAGAATCTTTCTTATTTTGCAAAAATGCAACATCTTTGACACCTGATATGGTAACTAATGTCAGAGTAAACTCTTTTAGATTAGTATCCAGTTTAGTAAATTTGGCCTTAAAGTCAACATTCTTATTTGCAATCTGAACCTCATTAGAAAAAACAATTGCATATGAATCACGAATGTCTGTCAATTCTGGAAAATAATGTATAAAGTTTCCTGAGTTTGTAATGTTATTGTCGCCATATCGAAGATAAAAGAAATTTTGAATTGCTTGTAAGCTAGTTCCTGGATTTGGTGTTGGTTGTGGCGATGTTCCATTTGCATTTATAATTCCAATTGGAATATCACCAATTTGTTTGCCGTCATAGTCGATTTCAAGGAATTTGATATTTTGCATCTTATAAATGCCAGCACCTGATGATTGAGCTGTTGAAAATGTGTTATCATCTGCTGCATAGGAAACTATTCCAACTGGGCCTGCTCTGTTTAATGTTCCATCATAAAATTCAACTTCACATCCTGTATTTGAGATAAAAATCACGCCCATTTGTGACGTGTTATCAGTACGTTTGATGAATTGTTGTTTTTGATTTCCTTGCACAACGAGAAGCTTTTCTTTAATGACTTTTGAAACGCATACATATCCTGATGATACATTACCCGTCAGATTAAATTTATATTCATTGGTCTCATTCTCATATAAAACCGCAAAGTGAGAAAGATCATAAAGCAATTGGGTATTCTCAATTTGCTGGCATCCTTGGCTTAAAAACGTAAAATTTTTCGTAACTTTTTTAAATGGAGCGCTGGGTGGCACGTCTGTAGCAGAAAATCCTTTGCCAGTAACATTTTCTTCATTGAATGATATGAGCCCGGTTGGGTCATTTGCAGTTTCAACTGTACCACTTTCGGTTTTAATTGAAACCAATATGCAATTATCCGTAGCGGTGTACATAAAATCGGTTGGTACATCCTGGTCGCCTGATTCATCAGCACCTCTATTAAACTTATAAGTTATATTATATCCATTTGCCTTCACCTTGAAGTCCATGGAAATTGGTTTATCACTTAAGAAGAATGCTTTTGTAGTTTCGCCTCCCTTGAATGTTATTGCGTCTTTTCCACTTACTTTGATTATTAAAGCATTTAATGTTTTCGGAAATACAATATTACGGTTATTTTCTAATGATACATTTTGCAAGTTACTCGTCGGATTTAAATTACCAACATCTTGCGAATAGTATCCGGGACAGCATACAAACTTTGAAGTGGGGGTATATGATACCTTAGTAACATTTTTTAGAGCTGATTGATTTGCTGGACTTAGATGATCTAAGGTATAGTTTGTAAAGGAATAACTGTAGAGTGTTGCTTTTGCCCCATCTCCATTATTTATGATGGCAAAACATGAAACGCCTGGAAAATCCATTACTTTGTTATTTTCAACTTGATATTGAAAAATGGTTAGATCTTGACCTGTTGTTGCATATACGCCATCACCGGTCTTAAGAAATGATGCTTTCATTGAACCATAAGAAAGACATATAAATACTTTTCCTTTTTCAACTTCTTGATATGTTTCCTCAAGATTAATTTGATTAAAATTTACATATACAACCGCTGTCATATTCTTTAAATATTTGTACAAATAATAGTCATATGATAGCTTTGAAACAACAGTTAAATTATCATTTGATGTCTGATCAGCTAAAATTATAGGTGATCCTTGTATGTTGTAAATTATTGTATAACGGTAGTCACCCGCTGGATATGTGTATACAGTATCTGGATCAAAAGAAAATGAATGATGACCTACCTTTAATGTTTCCGCGCTAGAGAAGAACGCAAAGAAAGATAGCATCAATAATCTAAAATTGACAAATATTTCATTCAAAAAGTAAACGCTTTTCAATTACGATTGAATTATATAAAAAGGAAATTTTATTAATATTGGCGGTTAACTTATTCATTTTAAAAAATTCGCGATTTCTGAAAATAAAAAAGATATTGCATAAAATTGTAGCGAATCTTATAATGAATTAAATAAACATGCATGAAGGGTGCGCCCGGGAGGATCATGTAAACTTCAGAATTTAGAACCTTATTTTTAGGCATTATCTTGGCTACCTATAGGGTTGTTAGATTCCCGACGATAGGTGTCTTAGAAGATTTGCCTGGTGTCATCATAGTGTCTTTAAATCAAAAATTTTATTTTGGAGTTAGTTTTATTGATTTTTCAATAAAAAACATTTCTAAAACAAGAAAATAAAACGATAAAATATTTATATTTTATATAAGGATCTTATATATTTAAAATAAATATCATTTTATTTTTTTTCATTGGTGTCTGTCAAACCATAATACACTATTCAAAAATTCAATGTGTCTTGCGGTTTCAAAAGACACCTTCAAATTGAACGATAGCACAGACACTATTGAATTTTACCCATTTTATTTAGTTTTTACTCTTTTTATTTTTAAGAATTAATGACTGAAACAGCCGTTTTGTTATGACCTCAATCACTTTTATTTATTATTTTAAATATTATTTAATTTTATTATTTGAATAGGCCAACTTATATTTGAGAAGCTCAATTTGAGACCCCTTAATACATTGAAATATCATAAATATTGAAATATTAAAAAGTGTATTTCAAAATATTGAAACTATAAAAATTTATAATACTGAAATTGAGACAAATTAATAAATTCAATGTGTTTTTTTTTGAAATAACTCTCAAATATTATGTTTTTGTTTATTTAATGATGAATAAATATGATTGCTTTAGTCAATCATAAAAACTAATTTAAGTTTAAAATAATGAAAGGATAATTTGATCGTTTTTTAAAATACAATTATTTTTGATGATTTGCAAGAATCTTTGAAAGGAATATAATATAGGTTCTATTTTTGTAAAATTTATCCAAATCATGTATTACATAAATTACGATTAAAACGATGAAAGAACCAAAAAGTGTGTTTTGTGTTTTGTTGTTGCGTGTTGGATGCGGAATCCTGTTATTTCCGAAATCGACAAAAAATTTGGAAATTTAATTTCCGAAATCGAAATTATATTAATGTTTTTAATATTCTTATATCAAAAGGATTAAAGTTCATTAAGAGAAAAACAATTCTTCTTCTTCAATCTATTGGCGCATTTATTTCTACACGCCAATAAGGAAGGGAAAATTATAAGACACCATGGTGTCTTCAAAACGCTAATTTTTGATATTTTTAACAACCCTAGCTACCTATTTAGGCTCGAAAAGCAAAAAATATCAAAAAATACAACTTGACTCCATTATGACCCTTTCATGGAGGTAGTTTTTATCCGCTAGTATTTTCCCTTTGAATCTCTTTACAATTCGAAATCAAATTCAAACCTCAGTAGAAGAAAGGAAGAATCGACTTACTACGGTTGTAATACGAATAAATACATATATTTAATTATTTTTATTTACATAATAATTGTTTGAAGCTCATATTCCAACAAATTTTTAAATAAAAACATTAAAATGTTGAAAATGTTCATATATTTTAATAGGGTTTTGGCACTTTATTGAGGAATTACTACATACATAGTCGAACTGAACTTGATATTTTGAAATTTAAATTATTTATCAAAATTAAAATTTAACTTGAAATTTATAATTATTTAGTCATATTTTGCATAATTCTAAGTAGATTTTGTAAAAAATCAAGAAAGAAAAATTTTCACGTGCTTTATTTTTTCTTTTTTATAATAATACATATTATTATATAATTAACATATTCATAATGTTTCACCCTTTCAAAAATATAATCCTCCTCCTCTCAAATAAACGTACATACGGGTGCACCCTTAATAAATCTTGTTTTGAATTTAAAAAATTGAAAAGGTAAAAATATCATATAAAATAAACTGTATTCTCTTCATCATTATGAATTACAATATGAATTTCCCATGTATTTTATTAAATAGGACAAATGCTTGTTGATCTCAAGCCAAAAGAAGAAATTAAAATCAATTTATTAGATGACATTGATGTACCAATCATTACATACTTGATAATACATATTAAATTCATGCATTATATAAAATTTTTTGAAAATCAAAAAGGTCCCAGAATAAAATTCGATTCGATGTATAAAGTTGTTGAGAGTGTCAATTTGACTATGCTTTAATATAAGTAATTTTAAAAACTCAAATCAAATGTTAAAAATAATTTTTATAAAAAGCAATTTGGATTATGGTCCAACCAATTATATGTGTTTATAAACGAAAGATAACAATGTTTTGATGTGATAATAAATTTTGAAATCAAATAAGGCAAATAAAGCTAAAACTAGGGTTGTTTCAAATATACATAATTGATATATTAGGGATCAATTGCGACTTTATCGCAAGAGTACTAAAAATAAAAAAAAATTAACGAAAAATCCGAAATCACTAAAAATAACATCAAAATATGATTGATATTATCATAATTATGTACGAAAATACGAATATTAAATGAAAATAAAATTAAAAATTTTTCAATTTGGAAAATTCTGTCCATCTGCATTTGGTGTAAGTCTATTGATCAATTCTTGACAATTCTTAATCTGCTGCTTCATTGTTGTTGGGTTTGATAAGGATAAATGTTGAACATGCGCTTCATTGTATTCTTTAGCGAGCATTTCGTTTTTGCTAAGTAATATTTGCTTTTTGCGGGTAATATTTTCCATATCTAGCATTAAATCTGTAAATTTTGGTATTGCAATCGGTGAAGTTGGATAATTAACTTGCTGTGGTTGTTGCTGCACAACAGGCTCGATACTGTCAATTAAATTCATTGTATCTTGAGCAGATAACTTTAATTTGAAGTAAAAGTCATCAATATCTGATTTTGTTAGTTCGAATAGTAATGTACTCTCATATGGTAAGCAAAGAGCATTAAAAACGTCTGATATTGTCACTTTAATATTATCAGGAGAATTTTTTTCTGCGAAATTGTAAATTTTAGTGAATGAAAACTCTCCATTCGCTTCATTAGAGTTGATCATATATTTTGCAATGCATTTGACAAGCTCTAATATCTTAGAATCCATTGCAAAATCGGAGAAAAATAAAAAAGTGACAAGATCTGAAGAAGAAATGTCATTGAAAGATAAACAATCATATTTATAAACAAAATATATCTTATTACATATAAATCAATTAGTATTTTTCGAGATTTTCAAGTTGTCCTCGATAACTTTCTCCATAAGAAGAACTGATAAGGTAACTTCTAAGAACTACCCTTGAATCATAGAAATCTTTATAGTTTTGAACATTATTAAGCTCCTGGTCAAGAACATTGTTATATTTCCTTTCCATTTCAATTGCTCCAAAGATTTCGCACAAAGTTCCTTTGATTCCGATATTGTAATCATCAGATAACATACCCATTAGGGCTGGAATTATCATTTGTACGATATTAACAACAATTTTCTTTTTTGAAAATGTTGCAGCGATGAACTTCCTAAAAACCTCTTGGAAGAAGCTTGACTCGTTAAAAGTAAACAACAATCTAAGCAGTTGTGGAATAAAATCTGTTGCCATCAACAATTCTTCTGTTTCCGAGGAATATTTGATCATAAACGAGAGGAATTTAAGCGCATAGTAATGGCAATGATAGAACTTGGTCTTTGCAGCTCTTAACTGCATCACAGCTGAATATACAAAATTCAGAAGCTGAGAAGAGAACTGAGGAGTGAAGAATGCGAGTATTGCAAGCCATTTCTGATCATCTATGATCCTGTCTGTGATGTCGTATTCGATTTCGCAAATAGAAATGAAATCAATCGACATAAAACTCTTTGAAAGGATTTTTGATGATAAACAGCTTGCCATTAATCTATATAAAGCGGCAGTTCTTTGTACTTCTTTACTTTGATAATATTGATATTCAAATTCGAAGTCTGTGTGTCTATAATTGATCAATTCTCTATGAACTATCTCGTGGAAACCGAGTTTCAGTATGTACTTCTGTAGATTTTCAAGGCTTTCGTCATTCTTGCAAATTTTGTTTAATAACAACGAAATTTCTGGTAAATATATGTGATGAATAAGCCTGCATAAAAATCCACATTGGTCAATGAGTATATCTGGCATAATATCAAGAATTCCTGAAATAATTGAAGTAAATCTTCCCATCATGAACATATCTGGGTCTTCTGGTATTGTTAAGTCTGATCCAAGTTGTTGGAACCGATCTGCACGAATGAAATGATGTGTAATCTTATGATCGAAGGTTAATAAAATTGAATAAGCATTATCTGCCATATCTCTGTCATCTTTGTTGAAACAAGCTTGTATAAGATCATCAATACGAAGACACAAGTATGTAATAATGGTGCTATTGCCATTTTGAAAGAGTTTCATTGCGGCTTTTGTTGGAAGAACGGCTTTCAATGGAACATTAGGACCAACTGTGATAGAACTACCAGATTTACCTTTTGGCTCTTGCGAATTGCCTCTAAATCTTCTTTGTTTTTGATTTGTTTTCAAAGAATCATCTCTTTGACTTCCAGATGCAAAAGAATCGATTGATGGTAAACCTTTTGTGGTAATGGAGTCAACACTCGGTCCTTCTTTATCGTAAATTTTACTGTTGTGTAATTCTGAATCAATGTTGTCATTATCTAAACTTAATGGATTAAAAAAGCTGAATTTTGACGAACTTGATGATTTTTCATCTTTTGCAACTTGAGTTGGATCAGGTTTAAGGTCGAAAAGCTTGAGAAAATTGAAATTCAAATTCATCTGCCAAAATATAAAACCGAAATATGATGATCTCTCTTGACGATCTTTTCATTGTGGATTTACAATGGTTATAATCTATTGAAGAAAAAAATTCACATCTTACTTCCGGTTTCTCAAAGGAATTCAGATTCATTTCCAAAATAAATGTAATATACTTGCATGAGTAATGCATATGTCTATTGTCATCGATTAAATGACCTCTCAGTTAGAAATCCAAGAATTAAAGTGAACATTCTAAAGGTTGAATTTCTAATTAAGGTCAATAGACTATTTCAATGAACTTTTCATATTTTTTCATGCAGTCATTAAGGAATTTGAATAGAGTTATTTGTAAAAATATCAGTTCAAAATAATGCAATAAAAAATACTAGATATTCATTGGTAATTCTATAATTAGAACTTCAGAACAAAAATGTTGTTAAACGTATTCTTTTGGTATCATAAATTAAAAATGAGATGGAAATTAAAGTATAAAAAAAATTATATAAGAGAAATATGATAGGAATGGATAGTATAAAAGAAAGTGTATTGTGTAATGGATTAAGTCTGTAGTAGTTTACTTTGGTAAAACTCATTTATAAGGAATAAATTATGTAAAATATTGTGCAAAATATGAATAATAGAATGAATCAATGAGAAATACCAAAATATCCTCAAACAGTACCAGTTTTATAGCTGATTTTAGATGAAAATATATAAAATCAATGCATAAATCAGGAGGAAGAATTTATAAACGAGTTTTATCGTTGTAAATTTGAAAAGTTTACAACAGAATGCTTGGTACCTTTCCTTTATTTCTCGCGTTTGGCCTCACAGCATCAAACACAACATATGCAGAAAGTGTTTGTGACTGTGATGTAACAGATAAATGCGATCTTTATTGCTGTTGTGATCGAGATTGCGATTCAGCTTCAATTGATAAGTTCAAAGAGCAATTCTGCATTCCAGAAAGTAAGAACCCATTAAAGAAAATAGTTTGTGACTCTAATAATCGTATTGCGAAGTCACATAAAATTGATACTTTTATATTAAATGATGAAATTACATGTTATTATGTCGACGTACCATTAGATTCAAGAAACAAAATAGAAAACTACTCTCCAGAAGATCTTGGCACTGATTCATTCGCTCAGTTTCTTCCAACAGTTGAATTACCAAATTCTAGTTCAATTTCAGACAATTCAGACTACCCACCATATAAAAACGAGTCAACATCAAATCTCCTTTACTCTCCATTCGGAGTAGGCTCTTTATCATGCAATTCTTTCATTTTAGTACGCGAAAATACAGATTATAACACTACATGTGTCTTATTAGAGTCTGAAATTGCAAATGGACCTCTTATGAATTTCGGAAATGTCCTTTCAAACCAATTTTGCGCATATACTGGACTTCAAGATTGTTCATCAGTTGCTGGCGTTTTCTTAACGATTGGAAGCACTGGAATTACTGGTTCTGCTACAACATCCACTGCCACAGTTGATTTCGTGTATACTTCTCAAGCAGATGCAGAAGAAGTTGCAACAAAAGGATCTGGTTATATATCAGGTCTTTACTTATCATCTGCAACACGATTAGACTTAGAAACACCCATTTACAAGTATTTCAAGTTTAACGGCTATAACGTTAAGTTTGGAGGTATAAATACAGCTTATTACAACACATCTAATTCTCTTCATTCATCAGATATATTCCTTTACACAAATATATTCCCTACATACGCCTCCTTCCCTGCAAGTGGCGTTTCTAAGTACGCTGCGATAGAAATGCCAGAATTAAATATTTCTGCCGGAGAAAGTGGAAAGACAGTTATATATTCCCTTCTCTTCAAGAAATATGGCTATAAGACAGCATTTTATTACAGATTTGTTAATGTTACGATGCAAATTTTAGATACTCCAGAAAATCTCTATCATACAGTTCAATTACGCCAAATTGAACTATCAGATGATGCGGATTCTGAGTTGGAGGTATTGGATTCAACTCCTTACACTCCAAAGTTCTCAAATATCTTCCAATTCTTATTTGATAACACAGAAGAAGTTGTTAGAACTATTGGCATTATATCTTTGTTCATTATTATCATTCTTGTATGGTTAGACACTATTTTTAATCAATAAATATTTGCTTTTGCTTGAAATTATAAAAAAAATTAAAATATGAATTTAAATGTTTACCTTGTTCCATATTAAGTTCTGTCAAAATGTAAGCTATTCAATTCTATCGTCGGGGGAAGTATCACAAATCTATCAATTTTTTTGTAAAAGTATACAAAAACATATGGTGTTCAATTAGTTTATAATAATATAAATATTAAGATTATCCAAAATAAGAAAAACTAGGTTTTGAGAACACTTTTGAGATGATAATCAAAATATTTTGATTGAAAAATAATATATTATTTATCAGATATAGAATGGATTTTTTCAAATTTAAAAATTCTGAAAAATAAACAGTTTTGTAAAGTAAAAAAAATGAACGAAAACTCGAGACCTCGTATTCCAAATGAATGGGTAAGATATATGTATGAAAAACTTGAAAGTGGTGAGTAAGGATGTCAATTTGGAAGAAAAGTGAGAAAATTTTGATTGTGAACTCATCTCTAATATTTTGGCTCCTTAATATATTTGAATCATGATCTTTGAGAAGAGTTCTCAAAAGTATTCACAAAAGCTATTTTTCCTTGAAATTTAAAAATCCTGTTTATCATATATTACCGAATTCAATTCCCTACATATTTCAAAATATTCTATGAACATTTCAATTTTTGAAAAAAACATATTTTTTCCAAATATATTTATTATCATATTTCTAATAATATTTCCTAAAGCGTCACTTTTTACTTCCTCGATGATTATTTCCCTCTCAAAAAATTCAATAGCTTACATTTTGACAGAACTTAATATGAAACAACCTTAAGAGCAAATAAATATTATCGTCGTGAAATCAAACGCTAATGAATGATATATTGGACAAATACATGAATATTTGTCAAATTTAAAATAAATTTGAGAATCTCTTATTGCGCTCCAAAGACTAACTCTTTTTATGACAGAACTAGATCCAGGTATTCCATGATTCAAAAATTTAGAAGGAGACTTGCATAGCAGACCGATGCAAAACCACCAATTAGAATCTCTTGGTATCCCATCAAGATAGGAACCGGAAGTACCTGTTCCATGATCTGGGTATGTAGTTTTAACAAGGCCTCCCCATCCATCTTGAGGTGCTTCAGTTATTAGTTGGGTAAACCCTGTTGCGGTAGATAGACCTGATCGTTCTATTTCTTCAGTTGGTGATATTGTCTGTTTCCAGGCATTAAAAATTTTTAATTCAGGATACTCAATAATATAGTAACGAAAGTTGTCTTTAAATAAGTATTTTGTACTGTTTAAGTCATATAATATTGAAAATTTATTTGGAATGTTTATGTTTTTTGCTTCTTCATCATTTTTGAAACAATTTTCAGTTGTAAAGTTGTGTTCAAAGACAAGTTGATATATTTTGAAGTCAAGTGACGCATAAACGTCACTACCAATATATTTTCTATCAAGAATCATTCATTTTTATATTGAAAAACTCTCATGAAAAAGAACGTGGATAAAAATTTACAGTTGGAAAAAAATATTTTTTGCGGTTCCGATTTAATTATTTAAATTGGTTTCGTTTCGATTGATTTCATCGGATGAAAATATTTTTTATTTCATGTCAATTTTTGTTATCGTTTTTGTTATCGAATATTTGTTTCGATACATATAAAAGATTGTTATTATTCTAAAATTAAAATTAAAAAACCTATGAAAAAGTGAAACTTGATATTGAGATATAATCTTTTAGTTTTAGATCGAAGCCCAAGATAAAGTAAGAAGAGTCTCAATTTTATAAGATTTACTATACTTTAAATGAAATTGAAGTTTAATTGTTCAAGAGATCATTTAGATTTGCTCTTCCCAGGACTGTGACCATGTTGGGGATGTCTCTGTCTGGAACTGTGGAGCGCCGTTTGTCTCATGGACCTTTGGGTAGAAGCGGTGGGCATAGCGTGTAGCTGGCTTAACAAGGCGCTGAGCCTTATGGAAATGGCGTGGGACCTTGTGAAGCTTGCGGAGCTTGTGTGGGAAGTGTGGAGCAACGATGCCATTGACAACACGGCGTTTGAGACCGTTGGATTCCTGAGCGTTGATGCCGCATGCGCCGATAGCCTTGCAAGCAGCTGTTGATGACTGGCCGCCGCGGAGGAATGTCATGAGCTTGCTGTAGTATGAGTCAACGATCATCTCGCAGATATCAGATAAGAAGGCTAAAACCTTGCACTTTTCCTGAACTTTCTGCTTGATTTGAGATTCATCGATGCCTTGGGCGAGAGACTGGGAGATTGTGTCAGCGACGAGCTTGCAGATTTCGCACTTGCCCCAGCTGAGAGATAAGATGCCGAATAAGAAGAAGAACATTATGAAAAACCGTTTTAGCGGTTGGCAAGCAATGGTTTTGACATCATTTGCCAATTTCAATTGAAAGATTAATAATCTGAAATTTCTATTAGATAACTATATTTATGCAGTATTGTTGAAATGAGAATTTTTTGATTAGTTTACAGATGATTAAGGTTTTTGCTTTTTTGAAGCTCTAATAAGGCAGATATCAGTATGTATGATAAATCTTCAATTTGATCATTCAAAAATAACATTTTAAATCTTCTCAATCATAAATTTCTATCTGTAAACATTTTTGACAATTTTGCCAATATTTTTAGATTATAATATTAAGTAAAATTATTAGAGATTTACAATTCTGAGTGTATCAAAAATTGACAAGATTCATTGAAAACTTAAAACATATCTTTGGATTAATATTCGAAATTAGTTAACGAAAATAAAATCAATCTATTTTAATTTTTTCAGAAACCTTTACCCGCATAATTAATGCTTGATAGTTATTGCATGACATCATGATAATATCGCTATGCTCCTTGAATATATTCCAGTGGCGGTGATCCAATTCAATGAAACATTAGTTTTAAAATTCAATATATTTTCATTCATAGTCATAAAATAACGACTCTTATCAACAAAACATTACATTTTTGACTAGCTCCTTTTACATATAGAATTACCTACAGACTACTAAATATAATTTTTTTTCATAAAAAATGTTATTTGAATAAATTCATTAATCAAATATAAAAATTTCTGTTGTTTCACAGTTAGTAGAAAAAAAAAAAAAAAAAAAAAAAAAAAAAAAAAAAGGAAGTGGGGCTTCCAGGGGCTGCGCCCCTTCTAGCCCTGAAGATGTTTAGTATAAATGAAGTTCTTATATACGGGTCTTCCAGGAGCTTTTCACAAATTATATATGTTTTCATGTTTTGTCACTTTTCTGTCACTTTTCAGGTAAAAACATTTTTATTATTATATATAAATGAATTTTACAAAACCACCGTTACCCTTCTTTGGAAATAAGAGTAGATGTAAAGATATTATATTGAGAGAACTTAAGAAACTACCGAATGGTCTAACATTTGTAGATTTGTTCGGTGGAAGTTTCTATATATCCCATTTGTGCCATACTGTATTTCCTGACTCAAAGATTATATGCAATGACTTCGACAACTATATGGACCGTCTCAAACATATACCAGACACAAACAATATATTGAAAGAGTTAAAAGAAAAGATACCTATAGGTAAGATGGAACGTATACCATTAGATAACAAAAATATTGTGAGAGAGGTTTTGAAAAAAGCAGAATATATAGACTGGGATAGTATATCTGCTAGACTATTATATAGTGGTTCTATAAGAGTTCATGACATTGAAACACTTATGTCAAAAGTTTTATATCTTAACTATACAAATGTTTTCAAAGAGGACATAGAAAAATATATTGAGGGTATAGAGTTTGTGAGATGTCATTGGACAGATTTGTATGAAAAATATAAAGACAAGGAAAATGTTTTCTTTATAGTGGACCCGCCGTTCTATAACACATGGGATTTTCAATACCAAGTAGACTGGACTTTGAGAGACTCTTTAGAAACTTTAGACGTTTTACATAACCATCCATGCTTTTACTTTACATCCGATAAAAGTGGTTTGGAAAGTGTCATGAGATGGTTAGAGGACATACATGACTATGAGTTTAGATATGACAAGATAGAATATGAGAGAGGTCCTATAAACTGGAGAAAGTGTCATAACAAAGAAATTTTATTAGTAAGTAAATGTGGTTTGAAATAGGACTACTTGTTTTAGGCTTTTTCCATTGTGTCATTTATTTCTTTGACGTGGCAGAAAAGTACAGAGAATATGAAGATGAACCAATGCCTGCAAATGTTCAGCATATGTACTCGTAAGAGATATTTTTATCTAATATTAAATGGACGCACAGAACTTAGCGAATGCACAGCAACCTGGACAACCAAACCCAGAGAATATTCCAAATGAAGTTAGAATACAAACTGCAATGGCAAACTATGGTCAAGTGCCAACAGATGTACAAATGCAAACTGCCATGTCAAATGACGCTGCGTTAGGTTTGCCACCATGGTATGCAAATATGAGATGGAAAGAGTTTTATACAAACCCTGAGGTGGGATATAAACAACTTTATGCAGATGACGCGAACACAGGAGTTGACCCAGAATATGTTTTCTACCAGAGGAGAAACAGAATGTATGAGCTCCAGTTAAAGAATGCTATGGAACTCAACAGGAAACGTAAGAGACTAGGCGGACATTAGATTTTTACATATAGTAAATGGGTTTCTTCAGTAAGATAGGAAACTTCTTTCGAAATGTTGGAAGAGGTATATGGAATGGAATAAAAACCGTAGGAAGAGGAATTTGGAACGGAGTCAAAATATTGGTAAAAGGGTAGGTCAATTTGTTGGTATTATACCTAAAGACCCTGAACCAGAAGAACAAGCTCCTGTTATACAACAGCCTGAACCTGCACCACAGTCTAGTTGGCAACCAAATCCAACACCTCAACCGTATTAAAAAATTATATTTTTACCGTTCGATAGTAGTTGTATATGAAACTAAGTTCTAAGTAAAACGCATGGTATAATGGAATTATTCTTTTTCTTCCATCTGTAGTAAACCATACTTGAAAGTCTGAAATACTTCCACTTGGTGGTTCGTATAACTTTGTAGGTTTTTCGTAAAAGTCATTTGCCAAGCATAAGAAAGAGTTTTGGGCGCCAGAAAATGAAGCATGAACAATAATAGCAGCTGGGTCGTAAACATCTTTAAATAAATATGGTTCATCTCTTGCATATCGACTGTAAATATTTGCTAAAGGAAGTTCGACTTTCTGATTTAACATTCTTTGCAAATAATACCATGACATTGCAGTGAATTCTGTATATATTTGTTCGTCTTTCTTTGGATTGTCTTCGTAGATTTGAAATGACACTTGTGAATTTTGTTTGTCATATACAATTCTCACATAAAGTGTGCTCTCGGTATTTGCATATTCATCAGCATATTTTGCATAACATGAATTTATTTTATCTTCTATATTTTTTAACGCAGTCTGTAGAGAAGATGAAAGGTCAACTTGTATTAGCTCAATTTCTTCCCACATTTTTCGTTTCCCTTCAGATATATAATCTATATGAAACCTTACAATAAATGGAAAACTTTTATCTTCTACAGACACAAACTTCATTCTACGAAAGCCAATAGCTTTTGTGACAGATGGGTCTCTTAGCCATCTTAATGGTAGTCAAAACGATAGCCTTCATGCTTTACGGTCTCTGTCTCAAACTTTTGACCGACATTAGTAAAAAGTTCATCTAATGGTTTAGTTGTAGCAACTCTTGAATTTTCTTTTTCTATTGGAAGCATATTTTATCTAGAATAAAAATGTCGAAAGATATTGCTTCCATGAGAGAAATACAACACAACCGACAACTCATTGTGCAAGCTCTAAATAAGAACACAACAAACTTTTCAAACTATTCTAAGATATCTGAGTCATTGAAAGAAGGAAACTTAAAACTGACATTAAACCCAATGACAGATGAGTTTCTGTTTCAAGACAATAAGAACCATACTGTCTGTATAAATCCAACAAAAGGAACTTTAAACGAGAAACCTATAGATGAACTTCTTTTGAAGGCAGATATTGACAACAAAGCTGACAAAGAATATGTCATTGAAAAAGTTCAAGAAGAACATGACAGAGCAGATGCAACATATGCAACAAAAGATGACGTTGAAAATAAAGCAGATAAAACATATGTTAACGATGAGTTAGAATGTGTGGCTAGTGCGTTAGTGAAGAAGGCAGATAAGGAATATGTGGATGAAAAAGACAATGAAATTAAAGAAAGGGTTGAATGGTATAATGAACGGACATCGAAGATTTTAAAAACGAAAGCTGATACAGGATGGGTTTCAGGGTGTTTAGACCTTAAAGCCGACAAAGAAACTGTAGATATGTTGGCACAAACGGTTTCAAGTCATACCAGAGGTTTAATGGAAGATGGACAACAGTTGAAAGAGCTTGAGAAAGGTGTTACAGAGTTAAGGAATACAAAAGCAGACTCGACATGGATAAAAGGATATGTAGATGCAACAAAAGAGTATATTTTCACATGGACAGAAGGAACATACCCACAAAAATATCATAGACATAGCATCTCTGACGTAAATGAACTTGAAGAAAAGTTATATAAAAAAGCAGACAAAACAGAGCTTCAAACATTAAAGACAGAAATACTTCAAACATTATATCCTATAGGCTCTATTTATACGTCAATGAACTCTACCAGACCAGAAGTAGTACTTGGTTTTGGAACTTGGACTCAAATAGTCGACAGGTTTTTGTATTGTGCAAACTCTTCAAAGGAAACAGGTGGAAGTAAAACGATTTCAGGTGAAAATTTACCTGCACACAGTCACTACATAGATTTAAGTACATCTCAAGCAGGTTGGCATAAGCATAGATATTGGGATTGGTCAGGAATGACAAAAGGTAAAGGATATGATGTTAAAGACGACGTTAAGTTTGCTATAAATTGTTACTGGAGTGACACTCAGGGAGATGGAAACCATACACATCGCGTTTCAGGGTATACGCAAACAACGGGACAGAGTAAAGACTACATGCCACCTTACATGACAGTTTACGCATGGTATAGAAATGCTTAGTCGTCATTTTCAACTTCTTTAGCATATTCGTCAGGAGTTGTCTTATATTTGTTAGGAACTGTCTTTGAAAGTATACCACCTTGAACCTTAACAAGTTTGAAACGAGGTCTGACAATAGTAGTTTTATCTTCTGCTTGCAGTCTGTACATTTTGCCATGTTTGCCTAAAACTTCATAATGTTCTCTTGTATACTTTCTTCTATTTTTACGAACACGAATGCGAGTACCTGTCGAGTTCCCATTGTTGTCATAGTCAATAGTATTTTCATATGGGTCGCGTTTAGGTATTTCTATTTTTACTTTGTCACCTTTCTGAAGTTTGAAGCCCGGCATTCTTTCTTGTTTGTCTCTTTTGACTAAATTGTTAAATATATAGTCTTTCTCTAAGTCAGGGTTGTTTTTCATTTCTTCGGGGAGTGGTTTCCCAAACCTTTTTGTTTACGGCTATTGTAAATATTTAAAACTTGTCTCATCTTTGCCATGGAGAAGTGTCTATATTTGTCGTCATATGACATTTCATCTACCTCACCACCTTGTGGTTGGTTTAAGTCTCTTAAGATTTTTATACAACTGTCAATGACACCAAGAGCAGAATGGTTTTGGTCGACAATGAAATATTGGTTTACATTTTTTGAACGCAGATAGTTTTTAATATCGTCTGATTTGAAAGAACTTTCACAGTCAGATGTCAGTTTTGTTGGATGGTATTTGTCAACGAATATTGTCAAAGCAGTTTTCACATCTAAAATATTTTTGGACTGTAATGGTATGGCTTCACAGTATCTTGTGTTTTGACCAACAAATATTAGCCAGTATGGTGGTCCATCTTCTCTATACCTCGGAATGTTTTCCAAGATATCCATAAACCAAGCATTTGGTGTTGAACTAAAGATTTTTATCATGAGTGCTTTCTTTGTTGCCTTAGAAACATAGGGGTCCTTGTTTGGATTCGTCATTTTTACCCTGTAAGAAATGGGTTTATTTGGCGCATTAGCAGGAGTCGCATCTAGATTTTTGCCCGCAGTGGGAACAATAGCTAGAGGTGCATTTGGAATTGGAAGGAAGATTTTGAGTACATTAGGTATACTTAAAGAGAAAGCACAACCTATTATACAAACTGTACAGAAAGGTTGGGATGTAGCACGAGATGCAGCAATCTTATTCAAAATCCTGAAACAAGAGGAAAAGTTCAAGATGGATGGACAATGTAGGAAGACAAGCAGGAAACTACTATAACAAAGCAAATGACTACTATAACCAAGCAGGACACTATATGGACCAAGGTGAAAGATTCTTTAACAGAGATATAACCATGCACAACAGTGGGTAAACAATAACCAACCGCAACCACCTCAAACTTGGGGAATGTAAAATTTTTTACTGAGATGAAATGAACAATACAGCATTGAGACAAATGGGTTCAAGTGGATTTGTCGACTTCCAGCAGTTACACCACGTGTTTGTCAAGTTCTTCCTATACCTCAGGAAGTTTAGACCGACTTAAAAAACAACAACAACCAGTTGAAAACAAACCAAACTAAAATTTTTTACTGAGATGAAATGACCGAAGAAGTTGAAACGGTAGATTTGACACCACAAACAAAAAGTTCAGAACCATTGTCAAAACCTGTCAAAGAACTTACAGATGAGAGAAAAATTCAATAATAGAAAGTGCCAGGTCTGGAAATACAAACCCTAACTAAAAGTCACTTTTCATAGAAATGGAACGGCTTAGTATCTCAAAAAAGAAACAGACTCTCACAAATAAAATATTGAAGTCTGAAGGAGCTTTCGAGACAACAGATGGGAAGGTATACTTTCACTGACCAACAGTTCATTATAGAACATCTCATTGACTTAGAGTCGAAATATTCTAAACTTTACAACAAACACAAAAAGTTGAAAGGAAAACAAAAACAAATGGCATATGATATTTACGAAGATGTTGACGACACAACCATACCTGCAAGTGAGGTAAGGTCAGATGAACCGAAAAGTGACGAAAAACCGATAGAAGAAGAGAAACCAAAAACTGAAGATAAACCAAAACCAAAGTTTAGTTTCCAAACTAAACCAATCAACTTCATTAGCTGGTATGGGTTGGCGTCAAAGACTTATGGCAGCAGGTGGTTATGTAAAGTAAAGAAAAAAATATTTTTTTATTTTATAAAAATGCCCCATATAGAATGGATAGAAAATCTGCTAGAATAAAAGCAGAGTTAGAAAGATATGGTTGGAAAGTTTCGAAGAATTTAAATATAGGAAGGGAAGACCCATAAAAGTCTATGACAAATTGTCTGGTCTTCGCTACGAAATGGACTTAGAAACAGCGCGCGCAAATTATCCAAACAGACTAGAGAGGTTAGAAGAAGAACGTCTTATGGACATGCCTTTCGATGTTAGTGAACCTCAAGTTGAAGGACACGACGGCTTTGCCAGATTCTACTGGAAACATGACGAACAATTGCATCCTTTGAGAAGGAAAAAAGGAAAAGGTGAAGACGCACATGCTCCCATGGAAAGAACAAGATATGCATATGAAAAGTATCGTGAAGTTCGAAGTAAAATTACATCCGTCGAACCTTTACAGTAAACTTTGACGAAGAAAGAACAAAGAAGGCTTCATGGGAGTACTTGCTGCCATACAAGACGGAAATAAGAAAGGATACAATCTCAGATTGACCATAACAGATTTGGATGGTCACATTTACTATGCACATGGCAATGTCACAACAGCTGCAATGCTTCTTGACGCTTTCAAGACTACAAAGAGAGAACAAATGGTTGACTCCGACTCAGACATTTGTGAATGCAATTGAAGGAATTGCAAGTGTCAAGTTCGAATGGTACCAACCTAACCCTCAAGCAGTCAGACAACATGCTGGATACTTCCGTTCATAAATAAGTCTGACATTGACTTGACAAGGTATGGAATTTACAATTCAATTGAAACAATTGTCAAGAACCTTGCATTCTTACATGTCTCAGGAACTCTGGTCTTGTTACAGATGAGAAGATGAAGTATCTTGAGTCATGTGTGAAGACAAGGTACATTCTCAGAGGTCAATTGGCAAAAATTGCACCGTTGCAAATGTCAATATCCGAGTCAACATACCTACAGCTAAAGGTTCTTCACATGACGACTATGTTGTTGAGTTCAATTTACCATGGTTGAAGATTGCAATTGTCCACAACCACTTCATGTTGAACGAAAGTCTTACAAACCCATTGTTCGGAAAAGGCAAGTGCAACATTGTCAGAGCTGTAAACATTCTTTTCGAGAAAGGTTTGTTGGAACCAATTCCAGATGACAAGCTGACAGAAACTTTTGTACCAAAAGACGAAAACAAACTTTTCATTGTTGGTAAGACCAAAAGTTGTTCCAGACAAAGTTCTAGTACAAAAGAAGTACACAGCTCCAAAAGGAGTTGGATTGTTCGGATACCAACCTGAACCAGAAGAACTTCCAAGAGGTTGCAAGAACTTCAAGATGCTATAAACAAACTTCCATTGAGACATCCAATTGACGTCAAATTGTATTGGAGAGCATCTGAGTTAGGTCAGAAGGTTTTATATGAAACAGGTTGCTTCGACGATGTTTATGAGATAACAGGAGAAGTTTCTCAGAAGATAAGAGACTCACTTGAATTTCCACGAACTGGTCCGATTGGATGCGACAAGTTCGACTCAGATGAAAAGATATACTATGTCGACCTTAACGCTGCGTACATGAGGTTCGTCCAATATATCCCGACTGGAATTCCAAACGAAGATGGAGAGTTCCCAGGAAGGAACTATACAGTTGGAAAAGTCATACAACAACTCTATGATATTAGGAAAGCTTCAAACCCCAAACTTGCAATGACACTCAAATTGCTTATGAATTCGACATGGGGATATTCCATTAAGAAACCTCAAGAGATGAAGAGTAAACATTATGAGAAGGTCGACAACTTTGTTGAAAGGTTTTCTCCTTTTGTTTTGAAGTACGAATTCACTCAAGGTCAAAGTGGCTTAGTAACCACATTAAAACCTATTGTCGAACATTGGTCTTACCCTCAGTTCGCAAAGGCAGTCCTTGACAACTACAACAAATTCTTCTCCGAAGTCAAATCCAAAGTGAAGGTTTACTATGAGAACATTGACGCACTCATGACGAACGAAGAAGGATACAACAAACTCATTGAAATGGGAATGGTCGGTGAGAAGATGGGCTGTTTTAAGCTAGATAAGGTATTTTCCGAAGTTCATGTTCTCTCCAAGCGCAAGTACTGGGGTGTACTTGAAGACGGGACAGAAATAAAACATTGCATGAAGTAAAACAATTTATTTTTGACACTTTCACAAAAAACATAAAAAAAGTAAGTTAAAATGAGATGTTTACTGAACTGGTTGGATGTCGCCTTCACAGGTTATGTAGAATGGTTGACCAGAGTAGTGGAACAGTGCTCTGAGAATTTGTATAATTCGTGGAATTGGACTCTCTCTGTTTGGAAGTAGTATCCAAGGACGCTTGGCAAAGAACTTGAGAAGAGCTTCTCTTTTGGCGTCCTTTATGCCATCGTAGGCTGTCCCGTCTGGTATTTGAATTGGAATTCCAGTCGAAGTCTCGAGATTCAAGGCAGCCCTTCCCGTTATCCAACAGTTAACAAGCTTGCCTTTTACATTCTGCCTGAGGAAGTCTTTAACAAGCTCGTTAATTTCAATTAGGTAAATTGCCTCATCTAATGGCTCGATGTTGTCCATTGCTACTGTCAGTAAAAGTACTGCTACTGTCAGAAAAAGTACTGCTACTGTCAGAAAAAGTACTGCTACTGTCAGAAAAAGTACTGCTACTGTCAGTAGCAGTACTGCTAGGAGCAGTAAAAGTACTGCTAGGAGCAGTAAAAAGGAAAATTTGAGAGGGTTTTCGACGATAAAGTACTGCTACTGTCAGTAAAAGTACTGCTACTGTCAGAAAAAGTACTGCTACTGTCAGTAAAAGTACTGCTACTGTCAGTAGCAGTACTGCTAGTAGCAGAGATTTTTATCGTTGTGGTCCGACGGTTAAGCCACAAACGAATGTCCGACGTCCCACCAAAAAATATTTTTTTATTTTTATTGTAAGAACAGAAATGTCAGTCGAAGCAAAAACGTTCACGAACAAATCTAATGGCGAAACATTCACAAAAGGCACTTACAACGGTATTGAAGTCTTACGTAGAGACAAGGATGGTTATATAAATGCAACAAAGATGTGTCAGCAGTTTAGGAAAGACTTTAGAAGGTTGTTGGAAAATAAGTCCTGGGAAGAGTATTTTAAGGCATTTTGTGAAGAATATACCAACCCGCGGAAAACAGCGGGTTGCTTTTTATACAAAATTCATGCAGGAATTCCGGATGAAATCAAACAGGTTAGAGGAATGTATGTAGACCCAAGACTCGTAAACTATATTGCAATGTGGGCTTCTCCAAAATATTGTATAGCAGTTGGAAAAATTATGGACTCCATAGACAAGAAAGTTCATGAGAAGTTAGATGAAGAAGAACTTGAAGATACAGTAGAGAATGCAAAACCTTTGTTTGAAGAAGAAGTTAGAAAAATGCATGAAAAACAAATAGAACATGAACGTGAGATATGTTCTGGTTATAGAGATTCTCCATACGAACTAGACCAATGGGAACAAGAAGATTTAAAGAGAGAATTTAGAGAATATGAACTCGCTAAGATAACATTAGAAGCTGCAGAAAAGAAGTTAAAAGTTTGGGGTCGTTTTGTACAAAAATATTGTGAGTAAATGAACCATTTATTTTTGCTAAATTCAGTAAAAATAATGTTTAGGTGAAGAGGTGACATCTCACCCGTTTTCTCACCTCTTTTCTCACCTCATGAATTTTCATGAATTTCATCGTAAATGTTTTGTCGAAACTTCTTCATCGTAAATGTTTTGTCGAAACTTCTTCATCGTAAATGTTTTGTCAAGACTTCTTCGTAAATGTTTTGTCAAAACTTCTTCATCGTAATGAGTGTAAATGACCCAAAAATATATTTTAGGTGAAGAGGTGACATCTCACCTGTTTTCTCACCTCTTTTCTCACCTCATGAATTTTCATGAATTTCATCGTAAATGTTTTGTCGAAACTTCTTCATCGTAAATGTTTTGTCAAGACTTCTTCGTAAATGTTTTGTCGAAACTTCTTCATCGTAAATGTTTTGTCAAAACTTCTTCATCGTAATGAGCGTAAATGACCCAAAAATATATTTTAGGTGAAGAGGTGACATCTCACCCGTTTTCTCACCTCTTTTCTCACCTCATGAATTTTCCCGAAATAAAAAATAAAGTTAGTTTTATTTTTTATTTTATTTTTTTATTTTGTATAAAAGATATGATTTCAACAATCGGCACAACAACAATTCAAACAACTACAGCACCAAACTCGCTAGTCATGAATCCTACGTCAATGTTGGTAGAAATGAAAAACTTCATTCCTTCTTCATATACTTTCGAAACAGAAATCCAGAAGATAAAGCAAGAACTTTTAACAAGTAATTTAGACTGTACCGCACAGGATGAAACAAATGAAGAATATCTTTATGAAATGCAGGACATTATTGACCATTTACCCAAATTGCCTGAAATTCAGCAGCAAAAACTCACTATTCCCGAATTTGACGAAATTGAAGTGAAACCAACTGACTCAGTAGAAATAAAGAAGTTCATACGAAAGGTAAATTATGAATTCCTTGGTTTTCATTGCAACCATAAGGTTATGGACAAAGATTGCGACATGGTATATAAGAACATCTCTGACCTTTACAAATCTGAAGAATTTAAGACCTACGACAACTTTGTTTCATTAGTTGCAAAATGTGTATGGGAAATAAGAGATAAAGATAGTAGGGGTAAGGTATGGAACGAACAAATAAGACCCGCTATGTTTGATGAAGAGAGCAATTGACGCCTTGGTTGTTTTAGCAGGTAAGGTTTCAGAATATAACGCAAAAATGAATCCGCAATGTTCTAAATGTAAAGCAGCAATGAGGAAATATAACTACTCCGTCAAAGAGATAGAACGTATGCGAAACGACTATGCAGACTTAAAGAAAGAAGCAGAAAAACCAGCAGAAAATAAAATGGATATGTTAGCATTTCTGAACAAAAACTATCCAACAGCAGAAGATTTCCTATTATCTGACGTCAAGAAGAAGTATAAAGAAACTTTCGGCATAGTTAAAACATTCGATATCCTCAGCGAAGAAATAGAAGCTACAAAACTGTTTAGGATTTCAAATATACATCGTACAATTCATGTAAAACGCTTATAAAATAACAGGTGAGAAAAGAGGTGAGAAAACGGGTGAGATGTCACCTCTTCACCTAAACATTATTTTTTGCTGAATTCAGCAACAAAATTCTGAGTAAAATAATTTTTAGGGCATGTGTCAAACCGTTGAGTTTTCACAAAATTTAAAAAATAACTTGGGTGAGAAAACAGGTGAGAAAACAGGTGAGATGTCACCTCTTCACCTAAACATTATTTTTGTCTGATTTACGCTCATTACGAAGAAGTCTTGACAAAACATATACGTTTAGTTTCGATGAAATCATGACAAAGCATATACGAAGAAGTCTTGACAAAACATATACGATGAAATCATGAAAATTCAAGAGGTGAGAAAACAGGTGAGAAAACGGGTGAGATGTCACCTCTTCACCTAAACATTATTTTTGTCTGATTTACGCTCATTACGATGAAGTCTTGACAAAACATATACGAAGAAGTCTTGACAAAGAATGTACGATGAAGTCTTGACAAAACATATACGAAGAAATCATGAAAATTCACGAGGTGAGAAAACAGGTGAGAAAACGGGTGAGATGTCACCTCTTCACCTAAACATTATTTTTATTGAATTCAGCAACAAAATTCATGAATTTCCTTAAGATAGAAAAAATAAAGTTAGTTTTATTTTTATTTATTTTTTTATTTTGTATGTAAAGACAGATATGTCAACAACAGAGAACACAACAACAGTTATAGTCCATGAAGCTATAAATGAAGAATATGAATGGGTTCAGTTTAACAAACAACTCCGTCTCATTCGTTCGGTCAAAGACGATATGTACCAAATGCAAAGTATTTTGACGGCTTGTTTTGCACCAGATACTAAGGTTCCTAAAGACTGGTTTAGGAACCAAAGCACACAAGAACTTTTGAGCGAAGCACAGCGAGACATACTTTTTTCTGAAAACAGTGAAGAACAGCGAGTGGGAGGGAAACCCCAGTCGCCAAAACTCTATGAAAACAGTGAAGAACAGCGAGTGGGAGGGAAACCCCAGTCGCCAAAACTCTATGAAAATCGTGAAAAATTGCCAAATGGTTTGAGAGGATATTATGTTCATAGACTTCTCGTAAATAATGTGGCACAATGGGCTTCAGCTCGCTATTCATGGTATGTTTGTAAACTTCTTGACGAACTTCACAGACAAGAACGTGAAGAGATGGAAAACAAGCTTGAAGCAAAAGACAAAAGCATTCAGAAAAGAATACCACGTTCGGTACCAAAAGGAAAGGAAAAGAACTATAAGTATATGATTTATACTGAAGAGATGGAAAATGAAGAAGATAAAGATATGGTTATGTTGCATTTAGTCAGAAGAAACAACAAAAGCTTTTACGACCTTGCTAAGATTTACAAATCTGACAGAAATTGGTTCTATCGCGAAAACTTACCGATTTCAATGACACCAAATGAAGATGTGAAACAAATAGTTCAAGATACGTTACCTCAAACACACTATGATATGAAAGGTTGTACAATACTTACCTTCAAAGAAGATTTGCCATTGTTAAAGGAAAAAATAACAGAGTATTTTGACAACTTCAAACAAGTAGAGTAAATGAACCATTTATTTTTCAAGCTTGACACCAAAGATGGCTCAGGTAGCTCTAGATGGTAAATTGTCTTGTCCGAGTCCTTCTGGGTCTATGTCGGTCATTGTTTCAAGACAAGTCTTTTACTTTTTCAAGACAAGTCTTTTACTTTTTCAAGACAAGTCTTTTACTTTTTCAAGACAAGTCTTTTACTTTTTCAAGACAAGTCTTTTACTTTTTCAAGACAAGACCCGTTATTTTTCAAGAAATTTTTTGGTGTAAAGTTCTCAAATTTGAGAACAGTGGTCTTGATTGAAGACGATACCCGTACTTTTTCAGGACAAGTCTTTTACTTTTTCAAGACAAGTCTTTTACTTTTTCAAGACAAGTCTTTTACTTTTTCAAGACAAGTCTTTTACTTTTTCAAGACAAGTCTTTTACTTTTTCAAGACAAGTCTTTTATTGTTTCAAGACAAGTCTTTTACTTTTTCAAGACAAGTCTTTTATTGTTTCAAGACAATGTCCGACGTACCACCAACCGAGTCCATTCCAAAGCCAGAAGAACCGAAAGCTGCAGAACCACAACAGACTAAGACTCAAACACTTAGATTTTTCAAGCTTGACTTTTTACAATTTGAACTTTGTTTGCGTAGATATGAATTCTGAAAGAAGTATGAGGGTCTTGTATGACTTTGTACTTCTCCCATAGTTCATGTCTGTCAAACTTACCTGCCATGGACTCTTTCATAAGTTCCATGAAATCGTCTTCGGACAATCCGGGGAAAAGTATGATATCAGTAAGTATTCTCTTTACATCCTTACTTAAACTCTTTGCTGTCTGTACACAAATGACAACTGAGATGTTAAAGTGTCTGAGCTTCTTAAGAATTCGACACATATCTTGTTCTCTATTCTTTAACAAAGGATGAGAAGCAAAGTCATCTAAGATAAGAAGACATCTATGAGGGTAAGTCTTCCAATCGTAAGATTGCAATTTCTTCGAAATGTATTCTATCTCTTTCTGTTTGTTTCTGAAGTGTTTCTTCTCTAATATTCTCTGCATTTCCTCATTTGGGTCTTTGAACTTAGAATTTATATACTCATTTATAGCATTATACTTCAAAACTCTTCTTTGGTACTTCTTTATCCAATCTAACAACTCAGTATCCTTTATACATACTAACTTAGACTTTTTTATAATATCTTTGAACGAATTTACGGTTTGGTCAAATTGACCAGAAGTACTGCAAATGACTACTAACTCATAGAATGGGTTCTTCTCATCTAGTTCTTGTTGTTGTGCAGCCATTTTAAGATAAGTGAAAGTCTTGCCCGACCCAGGTGGTGCGATTAGACCTGTTATACCATTCTGAGCAAATAGGAACTTGTCATGTATGGGTTTTATCTGAGCATTTTCTAACTTCCTCTTGTTCTTGTTTAAAACATTCTCAAATTTCTTGTCAATGTCAGCAAACTTTTTTTCTAACATATTTTTAGAAAAATTAAAAATTTTATCTTTTAGGAAATGTCTAGCGATTTCGCTATCTATATTCGAGACAAGCTTTTCGACAGCAAAACATCTGTAGACCATAAAATCTTACATAGTGTAAACAAGAAAGGTGAATTTGTTCTAAAGTTCTGTTTCTGGGAATATGACAAGAACCATAAAACATTAAGCAGAGAAGTCTTTAAGTTTGTCAATGACAGACTTGTTGACAGAGATGACGCCTCTTGGAGAGATGAAGTCCAACAAAAGTTCTTAGAATGCAAAGAAGACACATGCGCTGTTCTTGAAGATGAAATAGAAAACAGAATAGATGAGCTATTAAAGGACAAAGAACTTTTACATAAATATAGTTGCGCCAAATTTGACATAACTCCACCAGAAAGAAGAAGAAGAAAAGAAAGAAAAGAAAGTAGAAGAAGAGAAGAAAGAACCTGAACCAGTTCCAGAGAAAAAGAAATTTGACATGTAAAAATAAAATTTTATTTTTAGAACATTTCTGGGTCAATGTCAATGTTCTCTTCCTCTTTAGGAGCAAACACCGGCTTAGACTCTAAAATCTTTTTACCCAATTTACCTTGAACTTCAACTATCTTAGACTCATAATATTCATAGTCGTCTGCTTTCTTGGTTCATAAGGTATAACAAGTTTGTATGCTTTGCCTTCTTTAAGGTTTGAAAACCTTCTGTCAAAATTTTCTTTGACTGCTAACAAACCTTCTATGTCTAAGTCTTCAAATTTCGCACCATTTTTAGTCACAATAGCAAACTTAACTGGTTCGATGTTCCAAACTTTGCTGAATGAAGACTTTTCAAAATGGTAGAAGTAAACATTCAAATAAGCGAATGGGTCTAGTTCTTCTTTGACTTCTGTCATGTACTTATTTACTGAGATGAATTTCGTCATCTTTTCTATCGGATAAAAAAATATTTTTTTTAAATTTACTCAGAAAAATTTTTCTTTGTATATACGCCGTTCTGAACATCTAAAAGATTTTTGACATTTGCCAAGAATGTTCGTTTAGACGCTGTCATATAACCATACTCTTGGCAATATTGTTTATATTCATCGTACAATGACCTTTCATCTAAACACTCAAAGTTAGTCTCATCTATAAACAGTTCATAAACACTCTTGTTTGCTTCTAACAATGTTTGTCTTTCTTCGGTATGTGGAATTTGTCTTGGATTGAACTTTGAAATATCTAATGTCATAAAATATGAGAACAAGTGGTTGTAAAAGTCAGATGTCAAAGTTTCTGCTAAGTCGTCAAAATATTCTGTATCTTGCATATGAGAATCTGACGTTCTGACAACTACATATCTTCTGTCAGAACTTTCTAACTTCATCGGAACAACATTGTTTGAAACCATAATGAAGTTTGCAACATTTTCACAAACTCTTTGGTCTTTATATTTTCTTTCAACAACTCCAACTTTGTCTGTTATAAGACTCTTCAAAGCATCTGAGTTTAAAACTTTTGTTGTATCTATACTTTGAAGTTCATTGCAAACTATAAGTTTCATATTCTCTATTGAGGAGTTAAATTTACCGCAGATGTTTTCTATGTTTGTCATATTCGGGTTCGAATAGCCCTCTAACAGTTTGCACAAAATATCTGTAAAGAATGTGTTCTTACCTGTTCCTTGTTTTCCAATTATAATGAGAGCAGTTTCATTCTTAGCACTTGGATGTTGTAAGATGTTTGCAAACCAACATAAGATATACTCATAAACCTTTTCGCTTCCATTGCATATAATTTCTTTGACATGGTCTAACCAAGCTTCTATAATATTTTCTTTCCATTCTACTTGTTCGTATTTATATCCAGTGAAGATAGAATAGAAGTTTGGAGAAGGTGTATAAAACTTTATACCTCGAACTGAAAAATCTTCAAGTTTTGACAATAAGATATCCCAAGCATCTAACATCTTCATGCCAACTTGTACAACTTTTATTTTCTTAAGTTTCTGTCTACATTCTTTGTTCAGACACTATTGTTGCTCTTGGTTTGTTAAAGACAACATCCCATTCTTTCATAACATAACATTCTGGGGCAGAGTCAACATAAATGACTAAACGTTTCAAATTCTCGACTGCTTTGTTATAGTCTCTAAATGGACACATATTTCTGAATGCTTGGAAGTCAAAAAATCTGAAACATCTATTCTGTACTTTTTATAAAATAAAAAAAATATTATTTTTTTATTCTTGACTTTGTTGTTCCATTTGTTGCATTTGTTGTTCTTGAGCTATTTGTTGTTGAAGTTGTTCTTGTAATACAATACTTTCACCAGTTGCATCTTCCAATTCGAAACTTTCTGCCGTCATTGACAAATACATAGGACATAAAAGTTTTACAGGAACAAAGTTTGCGTCAACTAAGGTTAAGTTTATGTTTGCTAAAGTGTTTGAGTTCACTAAAGCTGAAAACTCTGCATTCGAATGAACAATAGGCAAACCAGCAGAGAAAGTATTGTTTATACGCATAAGTATCTTTTGGTCATAATAGTTTCTGTCGACATTCGAATAGCACTTTGAACCTAAGTTTGAAACAATATATAAGATTGGTGTGCTTAATGTCAATGGAATAGACATTCCTTGTATGACACCTTTTCCTGTTATAGGAAACTGTTGGTAGTAAAACCAGAATAAGTTTTGTATATATAGCTCATATCGTTTATAGTAAACTCAGTCGGACATCCAAACATAATGAAACCTGCTCTAGTTGCAGCACATGTTACACTCGTACGTAAAGTATTAAATAAGTCAACAAAACCTGTTGGTGGTATATCTGAGTAAGTATCTTCAAAGGAGTATTTTTTACCATTCACAACAATAAAATCTTCTGGTGTCAAAAGAGCAAAACAGGCTTTAGTCGTCATCGTGTTTAAGGTCAGTTTACAATATCGTCCTTGAGGACTTTGTAAGTTTGTTGTTATAGAATTATATGACTCAGGGTTTTTAGTCGTAATAGTATAAACCATTATGTCTTCTGCCATTTACTTAGCAAACAAACTTTAATGAAATGTTGTGGTCGTCAAATATTTTTATGACGTCTGGGAAACTATATTTTAAGTTCAACGTTTCACCTCCTTTCATAACGTATATCTTGTCAATGACATTGTATGAAACACCACAGCAAGCAATGTCGGGTTCTATTTCTTTGATGTTTATATCGTCTGCCTCTGTCAAAAGTTTCAATAGTTCTTTCAAAATTTCATGAGGTGCGATGACATATGAGTTCACTTTTACAGGGTTGTGTTCGACCAAGTTTAACATTATACCTAAAGCTTGACAAATCTTCTCCTGAGTTTTAAGTTTGTCTTTAAGTTGTTGGTAGTCGTTTCGAATATCTGCAACAGAACTTAACTCTCTGCTAACTTCAGGATATGTTGGTTCTTTTACAGGAACTATTGTTATACCATCTTCGTCTTCGTATGGTTTCCCCACTTCAACATCTCTTTCTTTGACATTGACAACAACACTTTGACTGTTTGTTTGAGTTGGTGAATTTAACTTCACGTCTGCCACCGCCATTAAACCTTTTGAAACACTTACGCTTCTATTTTTCGGAAATGACATTTTACTTAGAATAAAAAGATGGACGTATTCGGATATCTTATTGAATTGAAGCAGAACAAAGTTTACACACACAAACAATACAAGTTCATTGATAGAATAGTTCTTTACACAAACAATGGAAAATGTTATAGAATAGCAGTCTTTGCTGAACCAAAATATTTTCATAAAGCAAAGAAAGTTGGTATAACTGAAATGGTGAAAGTTCTTGACGTTGACAAAAATAACAACAAAACTTACAGATATTTCTAAAGGTAAGTTTATAATACAATATTATGTCAAAACTGGCGTACTGTCAATATTTGACGGAGAGAAGTCAGTTCAAGAACAACTTACTGACCTGCTGCCAAAATCTGCTCGATGGAAGCTGTCGTTATGCCAATCTGAGGAGCCCCAGCAGGTTTCATCGAACGAATCTTCAAAAGAGCATCTTCCGTGAAAAGTGCTATTGGTTTTGTAAACTTCTTTGCTCTCAGTTCATCTGGACCGTCTCTGTCACCAGTATATTGTATTTGTACAGTACCAACAGTTGAAATACCACCCATAAAGTCTTCTGAGTCAGCAAATGGAATGCCAAGCCAAAAGTTTGAACGGTCTCCATTTGTATATTGAGTTTTTTTGACTTCCTGTATGAGTCCATACTTTCACATATGGCATAATAGAACTTTGCATTTCAGGGTTAATGGTTGTTGTGAAGTTGTTGTTAAAGTTCATAGCATCTAATGTCAAGTTGTATGACCTCATATCCTCAACTGTGGAATATTCTTCTCTTGGATAATATTTGCCATCTATGTTTATATGATATTTAATACCGGGGTTGTAGAAACAAGAATAGTCATTTATAGTTCGTCTGAACAGTACAAACATAGTATCTGCATGTTTCATTGCAGTTGTTAAAGCAATATCTGTTCTTGCACCTGGGTCAGCACTTTGGTTTCCAACTTCACCTGCAAAGTCTTTGACAGATATTTGGTGTATAGGGAACATAAGTGGAACTGCAATATATTGGGCAGCTAAAGCATTTTGAAATATCTGGGTCCAACTATAGGACTGCAAGTCTGCTTTCTATTCTCTTGCATTCAAACTTTTCGCATGTGAACTTAACTGGTCCCAAGCATCTCCAGCAGCATTGAAATAATAGTTTACTTCAGTGTTGAGGTTTGAGAAACCAAAGTCTAAGTCAACTTTGTTTTTGCAAAAGTCGGCGAATGACATTTTATTTTTCCCACTACTTCTGTAAGAGTGAATGGGTCTTGTGTTGGTGCAATGACTAAGTTATTTTTGCTTGGAGTAAGTTCGATAGAAATTTTCCTGCCCAGTTTGGCAAGTATCTTAAAAACCTGAAGATGAGGAAAGATGACAAAGAACTCTAAGTTTCAGTTTTATTTTGGTTACTGCTGCTGCAGTTTGTCCAGAAAGGTTAACATAAACTCCTGGAACGTTAGGGTCAAGTCTTCTTATTTTCTCAATAGTTGCATACTGGTCTGTTTGTTCTCTAGCTTGTGGTTGTACTGAGTTTCTCAAAGCGAACCATTCATAGTTTGCCCATGTTACTGTTTGAACTAAGTCAGAGTTAGAATATATCTTATATCCCATGAAAACTTCTGGAGCATATTGGTATCCGACATAGAAAATTCCATTGCAACCTTTCTTGTCAGACAACTTGGCAGAAGGTTTTATTTCAATGTCTTGTTCCACGTATAAGAAAGAGTTGTCAATAGAAATTATATGAAACCTGTCGCAAGCAATATCTACTGTTGTTGAAGAACCTTCTCCAAACTCACCTACGTTTCCATAAGAAACAGCAGTTGTATATTCGTAAGTTCCAGGAACTATTTCTGACCTTCTAATGGCATTGTCGCATTCGTTATACCATTCGGAAACATTTCCGTTCATGGCATCCAAAACTGTTGGCGTTATATTCTGAGCGGCGTACATTTCATATGTGTAAAAATATAGAATAGTTGGATTTATGTGTCATAATAGAACCCACTCGGACCAAGCTTTACTTTCTTCCTGACTGAGTTTTTAACTCTTCTTTTTCCTTCATTGCCACTACTTTCACTAGATGAAGTTACTTCTTCACTATTTTCACTTTGTTCTTCTCTTCTTCTTTGGTGTCGCTTTTGGTAACTTGCCCTCTGCTTCAAGTTGTTGCATCTTTGCCTCATGTTCACCTAGTATGTTGTAAATTTCCCATGTCCTTTTTGCCTTTGGGCTCTGGTCGCCCATCTCAGGTAACCTATATCCTAGAAAGATTTTGTCATAGTTTGTATTTGAGTCTTCGCGTATTGTTTGCATGACTCTTTCCTGAGTTTCCGGTTCAAGCGCTTCAAACAGTGCCTGTCCATATGGAATAAGCTCGTTTCCAAATATATGTTTTTGTAGCCATTCTGGTTTTCTTTCCATGTTACCAACTATATCTTTTGTGAATGGGAAAGCTTTTACCCAATCTTTCAGTCTTGCGTCGTTTATTTCTGTAGTTGGTTTTATTTTGTCAAGGAACATGTTTTTCAATACTAACATTTCATTTGGTACTGTCCATTTGAGTTTTCTTAAATATTCATCCCTTCTCGATTCATCGTCTGCAAAGTAAGTTTTTATGACATTTTGTAAACTTTCGTTTGCAAGGTCATGTACAATAGGTTCTCTTCCTTCTCCCTCCCTAACTTTCTTTCTAAACTCTTCACCAAATATACCATCTTTATGGTTCTGTGTAGTTCTTTGAGATAAATGTTTTAGAACGTCAGGTGTTATATTTCCATCAGCCATGTTCATTTCATACTGGTTCAAAATATCTGCATCTTTCATATCTTTCAATGGCATTAAAGCCGCGCTGAAAATACCAGCTATATCTGGTTCACCATTCACTTCCATTGCGTCTACAACTTCTTGGAATTGTGGTTGTAAGTTTATGAACCACCTATCCGGGTTAGCTTTATGACCCCATCTCATTGTAGTTCCATAGTCTGCAGAAACAAAAGTAGGTTTGTTTCCATCTTGGTTAGGTTCTGAATGAACTTTAAACAATGTTTCATTTTTATATGTTTTGTTGAAATTTAACCTTTTATCTTCACCGAGTTCATCCGAAGATTGAACGTTAAATGCTCGTAAGTAAAAAGGGTTGTTGTATTTGTGTACATTTTTTTTCAGTTCTTCCATTCTATGCTGGATATTTTCATCTGGTGTTGGAGTCTTTTGTATGTCGGCAAACATTTTTCGATATTCTTCTACTATGTCAGCCGAATTTTTTTTAGACTCTTGGAAAGATTCCATATTCACCTCATACTCTTGTTGAGGGTCAAGATTTTCGGCTGTGTTCCAAATCTTCATCTAGTTCTGTGAAGTTAGTTTCCAAAGGAGTGACTTGTTCGTTTCCTTCAGGCTCTTCTAGCTGTTGTTGCTGAACTATTTCTTCCATGTCTGGTTGTATCTGAACTTCTTCCTGTGGAGTTTCTTGTACCTCATCTGCTGGCATTTCATATATTCCGAGACCGTTTTCAACAATTTCCTATCTACGTCATCCGCATTCATAAGCTTTTGTTCTTTCGTTCCGTCTCTATTTTTACGCGTTTCATGACGAAAGTTGAATTGTCATTTAGCTCTGACATCAAATATCGCGAGTAAATTCATCCATGTCATTTGGATGATATGCTATTAAATCATATCCCTTAGCGAGCTTGTATTTTCCAGGTTTGAGATTATATCCGTTTTGGTGCTGAGCCATAAAGCTAAATAGGTTCGGGTCAGTATTTCCATCCTTGAACTTTCTAATAGCTTCTTTATATCTGTCACTAAAGTCAACAGTATCTGGGAAACCACACTCTTCTTTAAGCATTTTTAAGAATTCTTGGTTTCCTTGTTCTCTACTTCTTTTATGTCCTTGCTCTGTTTGTGGTTGTTGTTGTGCAGGGTTTTGAACTGTTGGTTGTTGTGTTGTTGGTTGTTGTGCTGGTTGTGGAGGTGGTTGTTGTGCTGGTTGTTGTGCATGCCTGTGTCTGTGTCCATGTGGACGATGTAAATGTTCTAGGTAGTCCTGGTGCAGGTGCTTCTCTTGGAGGTTGGTGTATATAAGTTCCACCAGCTGCGCACATATGTTCCATCTGCAGCATAATGTCCTACCTGACTTTTCGTTCTTAAGAAAGCATTTACTAGGTCTGTTTTGGTCTGTTGTAACTCTTTTTCTTGACTTTCCACAACAGTTGCTCTAACGGCGTCATAGGCACTTTGAACTGCCTGTCTCGTTGCTGCATCTGTTATTTTCGTCATATTTTGTGCTACTTCTCTTAACTCGTTGTCGAAACCTTCAGACTTCAGTTTCTTTCCAGATGAGAAGTCGTTCACTAGTTTCACCTTACTATGAAGAGCTTCGAAGGCGTTCTTAAAGTCAGCATTTGTTAAAGCTTCATTTGAACTGTCTTCATCCGCTTGTATTTTTGTCCTTATTGACCCTATAAGCTGGGCTGCTTTAGCGTTGGCTTGGCATCTAACCAGTCATTGTTAGCTTTTATATACTGCCGCTTTTCATGCCTTTTGCATGGCTGCGTCCCTATTATTTTTACTCTTGTGCTAAGTTTTCATACTGTACGGTTTGGTTTTGCAACTGTAAAAGTTTTCTGCCTTTACATTGCTTCAACTTCTTTTTATACTCATCGCTATCCATATATGTCTTCAGGCTTTTTGTTTTATTTCTTCATCTTTCAACTTTATATTGAGTAGTATGGTTTTTCAAATTTAAAACATCTTGTTCCATTTTGCTACTTCTGCTGCCTTTCTGACACTTTTTCGCATATTGCTCTGTACTTAGTTCTTTTCAGTTGTTCTTCTTTCTTCTTTTTCTCTACGTTTAACTCATTGAGTTTCTTTGTGTGTCTGTCATATTCTAGTTTCTTTTCGTTTTCACTTATTTGCTTCTGTATGTCTATGTTTGACTTTTTGACATCTGTTATTTGATTTTTGAGTGAACTCAAATTCATTTGACTTTGAGGGTTATAGGCTGTTCCGTCTGCAGCTCCACCATAGCCTGCCATTTTCGCTAAAAGTGCCGCTCTTAAACCTCCACTCTGTGCACCACACAACTCGGTTTAAAAGCATAGGATTGCTTGACATTTGTTGCAACATAGTGGGGTCATTCATAATTGTTGTTGCAACTGTTGTTGTGGTGTTAGTCTTACTATTGGATGTTTCAATGCTCTCTTCCTCTTACGTATATTCTTACGTAGCTACGTGGCATTTTAAGTGAAGTTAAAAAGCGGCCTTTTGACAGATGGAACACATACTTTTCAGTAAGGACATATGAGGTGAGATGTCACCTGTTTTCTCACCTCATTTCTCACCCGTTGAATTTTCATGAATTTCTTCGTAAAGACTTTGTTAAGACTTCTTCGTAAAGACTTTGTCAAGACTTCTTTGTTAAGACTTCTTCGTAAAGACTTTGTCAAGACTTCTTCGTAAAGACTTTGTTAAGACTTCTTCGTAAATGACCAAAAATAATGTTTAGGTGAAGAGGTGAGATGTCACCTGTTTTCTCACCTCATTTCTCACCTCTTGAATTTTCATGAATTTCTTCGTTAAAGACTTTGTTAAGACTTCTTCGTAAAGACTTTGTTAAGACTTCTTCGTAAAGACTTTGTTAAGACTTCTTCGTAAATGTTTTGTCAAGACTTCTTCGTAAAGACTTTGTTAAGACTTCTTCGTAAAGACTTTGTTAAGACTTCTTCGTAAAGACTTTGTTGAGATTTCTTCGTAAATGACCCTAGTAGTATATTTTTGGTGTAAATTTCATGAAAATTCAACGGGTGAAAAATTAGGTGAGAAAACAGGTGACATCTCACCTCTTCACCTAAACATTATTTTTATTGAATTCTGTGTAAATTTCATGAAAATTCAAGAGGTGAGAAATGAGGTGAGAAAACAGGTGACATCTCACCTCTTCACCTAAACATTATTTTTGGTGTAAATTTCATGAAAATTCAACGGGTGAGAAATGAGGTGAGAAAACAGGTGACATCTCACCTCTTCACCTAAACATTATTTTTGGTCATTTACACTCATTACGAAGAAGTCTTGACAAAACATTTACGAAGAAGTCTTGACAAAACATTTACGAAGAAGTCTTGACAAAACATTTACGAAGAAGAAGTCTTGACAAAACATTTACGAAGAAGTCTTGACAAAACATTTACGAAGAAGTCTTGACAAAACATTTACGAAGAAGAAGTCTTGACAAAACATTTACGAAGAAGTCTTGACAAAACATTTACGAAGAAGTCTTGACAAAACATTTACGAAGAAGTCTTGACAAAACATTTACGAAGAAGTCTTGACAAAACATTTACGAAGAAGTCTTGACAAAACATTTACGAAGAAGAAGTCTTGACAAAACATGAAAACATATATAATTTGTGAAAAGTGAAACATTATATAATGTTTTCGACCAAGAAGACTAACAATTTTCCGAATAAAAACTTCATTTATACTAAACATCTTCAGGGCTAGAGGGCACGAAGTGCCTGGAAGCCCCACTACCTTTTTTTTTTTTTTTTTTTTTTTTTTTTTTTTTTTTTTGTAGATATATGAAATAGAAAATTTATCGCATAACATGAATAATTTTATTTTTACATGGAAAAAAAAGAATATAAAAGAAGGTTAATTACCATTCTTGTTGTCCAACAAAGAATCCTAATTCTTTTCCTTCATCACTAGAATTATCATCTGATCCGAGGGAATCTGATTCTACAGAGGTTGTCCACATGTATTGAGCAGCCTGTGTTGCTCCTGTAGCTGGTACTTCTTCGATATTAGGGAAGTTAACATCAGCACTGTCAGATTTCTGACCAAATACGTAGTATTTCTTCAAGAAAATGGCCACAACAATGATTATTATGGCCAAAGCAACTGCACCTACTACGACACCAATAACTATTGGTATAACATCTACTCTGTTTTTAGTATTTTGTGAATCATTTTCTTTTTGACCGTTTTCACTAATATTTGACGGAGTAGGAGTTATTTCAATAGTCTCTGTTGGTCCTGGAGTAACTATTTCGGTTGGAGAAGGAGTAATTTCCGGTGTTCTGTAAGGTATCGAATAATATTCGAACTTAAACTTGTAATTCAACCCATAAAGTCCTAGATAGTAATCAACAGACTTATTTCCGAATGGATCTTCATACACCAAATAACCTAATAAGTTTGCATCACCGTTAAATTGAACAAAACCGTTTGCGAAAGTTTTAGAATGCAAAGAAGGTTTTTCTTGGACATTTAAACGAATTACTTCGTTGTAAGGATACCATACAGTATCAGCATACATTATTCTTGTTATTCTTTCTGTTTCTATCTTCGATCTGATTCTAAACCACTGAACTTTTCTCGAAGAAATCTGATAAATTTTCGATGAAACAGAAGAATTCAAATCAATGTATTGTGCTGAACAAGTATATCCATAATATCCGTCTTTGCACTCGCAATATCCATTTTCAGAGCATTCGCCATTGGATGAACATACAGGACAGATACTCGAGTTATCGGTTCTTTGTAAATTCAATGGATTAATTACGTAATTTGATGTGTCAAAACCGCCGGATACGGCCAAAGATATGATCGGAAGTTTATCAAGGAAAGTGAGTTGCTGGGAATATAAATGTATCGTATATGTTGACGGTTGTGCATTTTGAATTAGAACTTTTTCGATTGTTGTAAGTTCATCGGATATTCCTCCGTCGAGATCGTTACCGATGTATGATTGTGTATCAGAATCAACAACCAAATCGATGTCGGAGGTCATCGTTCGCAATCGAGTAGTTTCGGATTGTTCATTATCAAGATAAGCCATTGTAACACTGAGATCTGCTTCCTTAGTGGTTGTTACCTTGAAAGTAACATGTCCATTCGCATCCATCTTGATGTTATCGATGAATCTGACACCCAAACCGTCAAATCCGAGGGATTTCTGGAGATTTGGAACACCAAAACCAGCTGTGTTATCAACAACTTTGGATATGAGGCTTTTGGCACCATTTACAAGACATGCTCTTAATAAACTGGATGATGGAGTTAATTTGTTGTCGGAATTTGGTTCTCCTGTTGGATAATAGCCGTCTGTGAAGTACTGACGTGCTAAACCTGCTAATCCGGATACACTTGCCGCTGATATTGAAGAAGATAAAGACATTGACATCAAAGAAGAGGAAGATGTGTCTCCTGTGTATGTCCCATTTGCTCTGGCACTGATTTCGAACTCGCCATTTGAAATAAGGTCTGGTTTTCTGAAATTAGTTCCAAATGTTGGGCCAGAAGGAGTTGCAATGACATTTTGAGGGTGGTCACCCTTTGTAAAGTTGATGGACGCTGTTCCTAAAGCGATTAAACTGTCGTAATCGGAAGAATTGAAGAGCCATGTTGGAGAATTTTCACTTACATTGCATTCTGTATCATTAAACACTACGTAAAGGGTTGCTTTTGTTGCAGGACTATTTGAACAGGTCTTGTCAACGTAAATTACCCCTTCTTCGTCTGTTTCTGAAATTGGAAGGTTATAATACTTCTTCAAAGGCGAAGTTGTCTGGTAAGCTGAAAGATTTCCGAGTTGCCTGATCGAGATAACTTGAGTTTCGCCGTTTTGAAGGACATAATTTGTTTCTGATCCAGATTCGAGAGTTGACGAAGGATATGTGGACGTAGCAACTGTCAATGAGTTAATTGATGCTCCTGGGTATTCGATAATCTGATTATTGCCTGCTGAAATGACAAATAAAGTTTCAGGATTATTATAAGCGGCAGTATCATACGAATCGGCATAGTTTATGTTATTTATAACTCCAAAAGGCGCTAAAATGACTTTGGCGCCTGTTTCATTAGCGGTTGTAATGATATTCGCTGGATCAGGTAATCCTTGAAACGTCATTGCATGAATTTTGCCTTTCGGAAGGAAGCCAGCGTATTGGTTGCTCATGTCGCTGTTGTTTCCTGTATTGCCAACGACGATTCCGGCCATAAATGTTCCATGAGTCATTTCTGTACTTGTAGAAGAGCTGAGACTGCTTAATTGTACAACTTTGCGATGGTCTGTGTTTATTGTGGAGTTCGGATATGGCTGATTACTGTCATAAAAGAAAGTATGATTAAAATCAAAGTTTGAATCAAGAACTCCGACAATTTGGTTCTCACCTGTTAATCCTTTACCTTCAAGTGGTCTTGGAACCATTAAACGTGGATCATCTTCTCCATATTCTAAATAATTTAATCCAGACTCGATATAACCAGCTGTATACCTGCTATGGAAGACAGGATCGGTATCACCATAAACATATTGTACATGAGGATCTGAATTAATTCTTAAAATGTCTTCATCTGAAATTGAATGGCAGTTGTAGTAAGGATATTGATATTCACATGTATCAAATGGCTTCCATTCAGATGGTGCTAAAATATGGTAGCTATGATATTTCGAAAAAGTAAGATTATAGGACTGTTTGAATTTATCTTTGCTTAAAATAAAGTTATCTGAGTTATACATATCATAAAAAGCATCCTCTTCGAGATAATAATGATAAATGCCATTGGAATTTCGATTTTTATCATGAAAAACGTGAGGATATTTGTTAACAATATTTTGAGCTTGAAAATCTTGGAGACTTGATAATACTGTTATAAAATACCATCCATTCTTTGAAGTTTCGTGTAATATTCGAGATTTTTCTTTGAGTGGATGAATATCAAAATACCCCATATTTTTATTGAAAAAACCTAAAAGTGACAAAATTTAAGTCATTGAAAAAATTTGAGGTTTTACAAAAAAACCTTTTTATGTTTTTTGTAAATGACACTACCTAATAGAGATTATTTGATGTCAATAAATAAAATCTTCACAATTTTTTCTTTCACAAAAAAAATTCAGTGGTTAGAAAAAATTGAGGTTTAATCGTAATATACATATATCATAGTATATAAATCGACATTTTATCTTTTATCAGAAAATTTCATGGGCTAAAAGTTTATTGAAAAATGTGTTTGAAACATAAGGTGAAAAGCTTCGTAATGAAGAATTGTATCATTTGATTCATAAAGAATTGACATGTTGATTAAGTCAAAGGAACGAGTGGAAAATGAAGAATTATGAAATTACTGTTCTACAAAATGAATATAATTCTTAATAAGCATCGTATATTTTTTAATAGTTATTTGATTGATTCTAAAAAAAAACAGCATATCTTATTTTGATGATTGTCATACGAAAATGGTTCTGTAATAGTGTGTACAATGTACCCTATATTGAAATCTGCATGCATGTTGAATTATATTCTTGCTTGTTAACAAAAAATGGATAAATCATTAGCAAATATATAAATTTTATATAAAATACAATTAATATTAAATGATTAGTCTTTCTTCTTCAAATTAACTCTGCAGAATATAGGATTCGAAACGACATAAGTTGTTTGAACTCCTTTTCCTTTCAAAAATGTATCACCGACCTTTGATATATAGAAATCAGTATCTTTAAGAAGTTCATATGTTGCTTGACTTACGTGAACCTGATTTGGACTTCCTGTTGATTGTAATCGTGCAGCAACATTAATTGGATCTCCAATGATATCAAATAATGGTTTGTCTGATCCTAAAACACCTGCAATCACAGGACCACTTGAGTTAACTCCAATTCTTATGCTTAAATGGCTCTCCAAGCATCTGTTGATGTTGTCGATTTCATCAACAACTTCAAGCGCAAATTTGATAGTATCTTCTGCATGATGAATTGGTTCGATGTTTGGATGGAACAAACCGCATGCTGCCATATAAATGTCACCAATGAGTTTGATCTTATTCAGCATCTCATATTTTGATGCAATTCTGTCAATTTCTGCAAAGTAAAATGACAAATTTGACATAATATCTTGAGGCGATAAATTCGAAGAATATTCAGAGAATTTGTTGATATCAATGAATATTATTGTTGCAAAAGGAACAGAGAAACTGATATCTGATTCTCCGTTATTGATTCTTACAACAATATCTCTTGGCATGATTTGATATAACAACTTCTCACTCTTTGCTTTTTCTATTTCAGCTTCCTTTTTCCTGTCAAGTAATGACTGAACATTTCTCATAATGAAAACAAATGAATTTACAGTATCAGAATTATAATTCATTCCGATAATGCTGCAATTAACAGGAATACATGAAGAGCAATCATTGATTACAGAATAATTTGCTTCGCTGTATAATGATATCTGTTTGTTTCTCATCATTTCCATTTTGTTTTTCACATCTTCAACATTATTTTCACATAAAAATGTTGTAATTGATTGACCTAATATTTGCTCTGGATTGTATCCCAATAATGTATTAACGGCATAATTAGTAACTTCAACAATTCCATATGCATTAGTAAGGAATATTGCTTCATGAGCGTTCTTAATAATTGATGCTTCGAGAGTCAATTTCTCTCCATATAAATATTCTTTTTCTTTCAAAAATACTCTGCTGAAATCTTTGTTGTTTAAGAGAGCATATGGATTAAATCTCTTGATAACAAATAAAGCAGCTCTATATGAAGATGCTCTTGAATGGAAATACATGTATTGCAGAATGCAATAAATAATTAAACCTGCAATTATTAATGATGAAATGATGATTGATTGTCTTTGCATATTTGACCATTGGACATCACTTAGTTCAATTATTCGATCTGAGCAATTCATTATCTTGTTAAACATATGATAATTCATTAAGAATAATGCATTTGCAGCTTCTTCTCTATCGAAATTCCTGAAGTACATCATATCAGTGATTATATTCATAACATATTTGTTATAAATTGATAGCATATTGTGAATGCATAAATACTGATAATATTCTGGTTGATTTTCAATATCATCTGGCATTTCTTCATTCTTTATATTCAGTTCATCTAAAATTGGGTCAAAATATAAACAAGGAGATGAAGTATTTGTTCCATTAATCAACGCAAAATCAGCATTTGTAAGTAGCTGCATTAGAAATCCTGCCAATTTAATGAATTGTATATGAAATTCTATTGAATGATATGTATCTGGAACTTCTTTCATTATAATAATATTTGCAAGAGCATTCAATGATTCAGCTGATAAAGATAATCTATTTGCAGCATGTTCATTCCATTCATCCAATTTAATAAGATTATTTGTTGTTCCATGAGCAGATATAACTGATATCATAATTACACCGATATAACAAAATGCCCAGACAGTTAAAGCAAATAAAATCATTGCATTCTTACTTGTTCTCTTTAGCATATCTCCATAAGACATCGAATCATCTCTTTTTTCAACAGAGATTGACTCTTTAGCTTCACTTTTTGCTTCTAGTGAAAATGATTTAATTATAGTTTTTAAGTTCTTTTCGTCTTTGACTGTCATTATATGAATTACAATTGTAGGGATAAAGATTCCTGTTAATGTCACAACAATGATTGTTATTACAGCAACTTTCAGAACAAACTTGATTTTTTCAGCTCCATTCTTTTGGTTTAAGCTGAAATCATCATAAAGATTTGTTGATTGTGTTAACAAACTCATGAAATTATTTGCAATTTCACAAGCATCTGGTTCATAATTTAAATAGAAAAGCATTGGCATTCCTGCGATTCTTCTTTGATTTACAACTGATAGGGAAACAATTGATGCCAAAGATGTTGTTGATGTTTGATTAACTGCACAATATTGTTCAAATATTGTTAATTGTGATGATGGTTTAAAAAGAATCTTCAACATTTCTTGATAATTATCTCCTTTATCGTCTGCATCTGATACATGATGGAGAAGAGTGTTGAAATTTGATGTAGCCTCTGACGAAAAGTTCAAAATTTGGTCTGTAAATCTGTCAACTTCAAAATTAACAACTGGATTAGTATGAACAGATATGTTCTTGAATTCAGAAAACTTATTTAGATAATATGTAATCTTTCCATGCTCCTTAAAATATTGACTGAAAATGCAGACATTTGATAAAGCAATGTAGTATCTTGTTTTTGCAAGATATCTAAGATGCGTCATCTCATGGATATGATGTCGAATTAGATTGATATAAATTAAATAAACTGCAAGTGACGCTGCTATCAAATAAAACAAAATAAAAATAGTTATGTATTTGATCATATTAATAGAGAATGGTAATCTATTCTCAAGTAATCTATGTAAAGCTAATCTCGTTCTAGGCATTCTCATTATGTTTCTTGCAATGTATTCTTCTGTATCTGAATCTAGTTCAATTTCTTCTGATGCATGTATTATTCTGCTTGAGTTAGTTGAATTCTTTGATGATTCTCCGTGTTGTTTGTTATTTTTATCATTAACTGAACTCTTTATAATCTTTCCTCTTGTATTTATTATCTTGTTTTTAAGATACTGCGGAAATATCTTTACAAATGACTTAAAACATTTATCTGATACATTATATTTTCCAGATTCAATAAGCATTTGCTTGTTTTTAATGAAAATTGTTTCATGAAAATGGCATTCAACTTCCAACAAATACTTCGTGTATTCTTCACACATTTTTGCACTGTTCGGAAAGTTATTTAATGCTTCATTCCATAATGCTCTTGTTCTAGAACACATTGATGCTAAATGTTCTAAATATTGATGGTCAAACTCTCCATCAATTCCAAATTTTGCCAAAACTTCACTTTGTCTTGTAAGATTCTTCAGTTCGAGTAGTTTCAGTTTTGTTTGTGTACTCTCTGTGAAATGCCTCAATGATCTAATCATTGCTGTTTGAAATAGTAAAAATTTTGATTTGAAATGAAGTTTTCTGTTTTGTTTTAATTGTTTTTCAAATCTATTTTGTAAACTTGTTTCACATGGAAAGAAAGCAATGCATAAAATACATAATGTTAATGCTCTCTCAGTTTGATAACGTGCAGCTATATAATTTATTAATGTCATGTTGTAAAAGCAAGGACAAGCGTATCTAAAAGATAATCTTAGGTAAAGTAATGCTTTCGATTCATTCTTGTCAAGTTGTAACTCATCATAATATTCATTTGCTTTTTCTTGATCAAGGAATGTCAAGCTCATTGCTTTTTTGATTTTATGTATTCTTATGAACAAGAAAATCGAAGAAATTACAGTAAAAACAATGATGATAAACGGTGCTCCATAGACGATGAATCTATAATGAATTTGAGGAAAGAAATGAACAATAATCATCATTACATTTGTGTAAAGATTTCCGCATGCAAATCCTAATGCGCTGCAATTTATAAAAGCATTCACGAAAAAGATATCTCTCAAAACTTTGTAAATGATGTAAAAATAAACTCCACAATTTCCTGCAATTGCAATAAGTGTCGACCAGTTCTCAAAGTAGTAAAGAATGAAGTATAGAATCGTCGCAACATGCAAAGCAATCGCAAGAACAACAATGTGCGTTGAATCGAAACTTAAAAGCATTGATTGTTTGATGAAGAGTGAAGTTGATTCTAAATGTTGAACAATAAGGAAGCAAGACAGTAAATAAAGTTCATTAAGTACACCTCCGATGAATGATATTATTATTAATGGTCGTTTTGATCCTGCCGCAATTTTCAAGAACAATTCGCCTGTTGCAATTAAATTAACGAATAAAACAGCAACTGAAAATGCGTCAAAATAGAATTTGAATGGCGTATTAAAGGAATTGATGAATTTGCGTTGATATTTGTAATATAAAGTCTGTACTTTGGTGATAACCAATGATAAAACATTCAAAACAAAGAGAATTCCAATAATAATGGCATAATTATAATCTTTTGAATCGTCTGACTTCCAAAATGCAATGCGTTTCAGCCAATAGATTGATTTATTATGGTTAACTTTTTCCCAATATGGTTGCCAAGGCCATGCTGACATGATTAACACCTGGTAAAAGAATAAAGCAATCAGCAAGCTCTGAGTTATAGGATAGGCCTCGGAATTTTGGAATATATTGACCCACATTGGAAATTTTTCTTCAATTGAAGAGGCTGAATTCAACATGAATGGTGATTTGCTTGATGACTCACCTGTTGTAGATGTCTGCCCATGGCCATGCTGCAGTACCTCTTCTGATGTCATCTAAAACTTTACACCAAATTCAATTAAAAAACGGAAAAGATTTATATTGAAATTTCTAAGATTGAAAAAAATAATCAATTCAAAAGTGATTATTTTTCTAATGAGGAAATTGTTCAATATTGAAATAAGTAAAAAAGCAGATGATTCCAATATTTTGAATTTTTTGATTGCCTTTTCAAAATTTTGAATCATCCAAAAATTTATTGAATTTAATGCGAAGATATCTAAAGGTATCTTTGCATGACTCGGGACAACATTAAAAATTCTTAGACCGTAAATGTTTCCATTGAAAATGATTGCAATTTTGATTTCAAAAATGTCTACAGAAAAATTGTATAAAAAATAAAATTATCAAAAATTGAATAGCCGAAAATGCGTAAGGATCTAATAGTCATTATTTGTAACATGTATAACTTCTAATTAATATAGTCTGTAGATTATTGATTAAAATTCTCAACGATTTTTCCCAGCGTGTTTTGTAAAATGAATCTATATCCTATAATATAATAAGTTTCTTTGCGAATGCGGAAAAAATGCATTAAATTTTTTGAAATGATTGAAAACAATCCGATAAGTTTATTAAACAGATTAAAATATCAGTCTGCTTGGCTTTGACTATTAGATTGAAAAGAATTTGGTGGTTCAGTATCACTCCATAAATGTTGTGGGAATAAACTCGGTGAAAGTGGAGCTCCGAACTCATTTATCATCTCATTCTGCACAGCTTCATATAGTGATTTAATATCAGCGAGAGAAAATCTTAAAAGGAAGTGATCAGGAAATTGAAAATAAACTAAAATTTCATTTAGTTGATGTATTTTAACGAAGTTGACTAGTTTTTCTTTTGTTTCTTCTAAAATGTTTGGTTCGGGTTCATCAAATGATTCTTCTTCATGTCTTTCGATCGGAATTTGCGGTTCTGGCTCTGGTGGTTTCTCAATGTATTCGAATAATGTTCTTTGTCCTTTAGATGATTCTGGTTTACGGGAGTTTCTCTTCGAACCCTTTTTAGGTCCTCTTTTTCGCCCCCTCAATGATAAAAAATAGATTATTAATTGTTTGCTCCTTCATTTTATTATTCTTACCCAGAAACTATCTTAAATATTTTGTTTATTTTGATAATCTTGTTAAAATTGTTGACGTTTATTAATTCATTTTAATGTCTATTATTTCTAATTTGCAAGCATTGTCTCAGTATTATGCTCTTGTTGAGTCAGAGCTTGATCGGAAGTTGTACAGAGTGAAAAGGCATTCAAAAAAACTTCATCAAATTTATGAAGCGATTAAACCAAAAGAAGTCGTGAAAAAACAAGAACCCAAAGATGATTTATTGGTTAAACAAACACTTGCGAAGCTTACAGGTGAAGAATTACCAGAAGTCAAAGAAGAAAAAGTAGAAATTACAAATTATGACTTGTTTAAACAAGAATTAGCTAAATTTAAACAAAGTCCTGCACTGTTTCGAAGCAAAATCTCTGAGAAATTCGTAAATCAGCTATATCAAATTTCGAAGCCTACGACAGTACATGTTCAGACAAGGATTATTGAAAACCTCGATTATATTATACAAGAATTGCAGCAATTACATAAAGAAAATACTGCAGATGCTCATTCAGTATATAAATATCAATTAATGAGAAACTGTGTTAACACTGTAATAGCAAAATATAAGCAAATATGTGAAGATTATCAAGCTACAAAGCAAGTTGATGAGCTATTCCCTGAGTCTCCATATACAAACAAGGAAGAAGATCAAGATAAAGAATCAGAATATGAAAATGATATATTCTCTTCACCTTCTGTTGCTAGAAAAGACTTAGCTCGTCTTTACAGTGTTAGAAATGATGCACGTCTAGCTGTTATGAAGTACAGGCTTCAAAGGAGAGGCTCTCAAATTTTAATTCCTTTAATCAATCCAAATCCACAGAATATTGAAGAAGCACGAGACTCTTGTATAGCAGCTAAGATTGCTACAAGTCTTGTTTCTCAACCAAATAAGAATTGGTTGATTGTCTATAATCAAGAAGAATAATCTGTTTTGTTTGTGTATAAATACTACTAAATATGTTTATAAATTACCTGAACTATAGCTATTTAACTTATTTTATGTTTAATTAACTAATTTTACATTCGAAGTTTAGCATTAAGGTAAAACCAAATGGGAAATATATATTTAATTTGAAATGGTTATCAAATTCAATAAAACAAAGAAGAATATTGGGAATAAACTTATTTGACATGAAGTTTTGGTGATTTATAGTATCAAAAACTTCTAAATTCCTATAATCAAGATCAATTGCAAAGAGAAATTAGTAATAATTTCTGAAATTCAAAAATCAAATTTTGATATTTACATGTTTTATAGATTAGAGTTAAAAATAATTCGATGAAATTAAAAAGATAAATTGTATTTTTTTACTTAGCAGCAACAAATCTTGGTGTTGGGACTCCGAGTTTATCAGGTGACTCTGGGTAGTCAATTGCACTTGCGAGGTAAGGTAATCCCTGTGCCTCGTTGAGTAACTTCAAAGCATCTTCAATTGCATCCTTTCCTTGTTCTGGGCTGACTTTGTTCAACAGTCTTGCAGCGTGAAGTGTCTCATCGATGGCTGGTTGGCACATGACAATTGCGGAGAAGTCTTTAGCAGCCTTTGCAGACTTAAGGAGGTTCCTTGAGCACTCGATGACAGCCTTTGCGTATTTGACAGCGTCTTCAGGTAATTTATCACTTGTCTTTCCGTCAGCGATATAAAGATTTCCTTCTAGTTCAGGATGAGCGGCGTGGAGCATCAATTTTGTGCGGAGAAGAACGCAGAGGCCGTTGATAACGGATACAGCGCCCTTCATGCTCTCATCGGATCTGCCCTGAGAGAAGAAGGCCATTATTTGGTCGGTCTTGACTGTAACTGGGACAAGTGAAGTAAGATTTGCTTGGTATTGTGTCAAAAGTGAAACAAGGTAGAGGCATTTAGCAGCAATGCGGGCGTCGCTTTGCCATGGACGCTGTGTAAGTATGAAATCGGTAATTTGATTAACATCGACGTTTGTATGGCGAATTGAGTCAACGATAATGCGGCGAACGTATTTAGAAACTGGTGGATTGTTATCACCAAATGTAGCTTTGACAACCCAGCCTTCTGAGCCTTGAGCAACGACTGATCTGAATGTCTCTTGAATCGATGAGAACCAGCCCATAACTCCACCTTCTTGTGCTTGTGGGGCTCCGCCTGATGGTCTTGGAGCTCCTGCTGGTGGATCAACGCGCTTTGGTGGTAATGCGATCGTAGTCTTGTCTCCGCGAAGGTTTGTAGCGATTTCTGCAAGACGTGCAGCTGTTGGACGACGTTTGGCATCGACTTGGATGCACATCTTAAGAAGATTTGCGAAATCTTTATCGGTATCCGGAGGAATATTCAACTTTCCTTGAAGAATTGGTAATCTTTCTTCGATCTTGTATAAGTCCTGACGGAAAACAAGCTTGTAGAGTGTGCATCCCAAAGCCCAAACATCGGCTGCTGGACCAATTGGAACGCGCTTGTAAAGATCAACCATTTCTGGGGCACGGAAGTTCGGGGTTGTATTCTGTTCAATGTCATCGCTAGCTTCGTTGATTTCTTTGACGTTGGCAACTTGATAAATCTTTGTTGTTGCAGAGCCGAAGTCGCAAAGCCTTGGAATGCCATCAGAAGCAACAAGAAGATTCTCTGGCTTCAAGTCGCGATGGATAATTGGTGGATTCTGGGCATGAAGGAAAGCTGTTGCTTCACAAATAGCTGCAAAGAAGATGAGAATCTCTTCGCGTGTCATATTTCTCTTGCTAAGTATATTGATTGCTGTTTGTGGTGCAAGTTCGAATAAGAAATTGATGATAAATCTGTTTTGATCGTATGAAACATCAAATAACTTGATAATGTGTTTGTGTGGTGGAATTGATTGCAGGACATCTGCTTCTTTCTTGAATTGAAGGAATTTCTCGCGGCTTAAGCAATTTACATATTTCCAAGCGTATTCCTGACCTTGTGCGTCAACAACGCGGTAAACCCAGGCATAGCCACCTTCACCGATCTGTTCCTTAACAGTAACGGTGTGCTTGCCGATTGTCAAAGTCTTCCCGATAAATTGGCTTGCTCCACTCATTTTTTGCGGTTTTGACGATTTTTTTCACGATACGAAAATTTCTACAAATTTCGATTCCGATGGGATTGCGTTTTGATCAAGCATACAACTCGATGACATAATTTAGCTGAAAATTATTGTTCTCCATCTCGTCATCCAATCAAATTGATTGTATAAATTGGGATGAATGCTTTTTCCATTTAGAGGTATCTTATCCTTCTCATGTGTTATCATTTATTAGGAAGTATATCACATTTTTCATAAAATTGAATTAGATTTCATAGTAGTAGGATATGACGGGTTTAGTGACTTTTTTTGTAAACGTAAGAATTCATACAATATCGAGTGATTTTGTATCATTTTTTTTAACATATGAAGTAAAAAATGTATGATTCTTACGGTTTTTATTCTTACGTTTTTGAATAAATCAAGATTTAAAAAATTTTCAAAATTGTAAGACATTTACACTCAGCCCAAACATAATGAAATAAATCATTAAAAAAATTAACATTAATTTTAAAATAATTTTTTTATCTTTTATAAAAGAAGCTATATATAGATGATGTCAGATATTCCGCGATTAATTAAACATTGTTTAAATCCTGAATGGAATCAATGGAGTCATAATCAAAGACCTCATAAACGAGTAAAAGAAATTAGAAATAAACTTCTTACGAAAAATTAAAACTTAGTTATGTTTATTATTTTATTTTTTTATTTTGTATGAAATGAGCGTCAAAACTAACAACGTTAAAAAATTAGGATTCACAAACGAGGAAATAAAGGATATATTAGAGGAGGTGGGTTATGAAGTTGATAAATATTATTTAAGAAATTGTAAAAAATTCGCGGAGTTATTAAATGATTTAGATTATGATGGAAAAATGAATAAAGATGATGTTATAAATTTCTTATATCCCACATCTGAAGAAGAAAAACCTAAAGAACCTGATGTTTTCCCTGAATATTATGAAGAACGGATTAAAGATGATGAATACAGTGAAATTGAAAGACTGAAAAAAATAAGAGATGAAATAGATGAAAAAATTAAGGAATTAAGAGAAGTTGAAAAATATAATGAAAATGAAGTAGAGGGTTTAATGAATATCCCAGCTTCAGAATCAGAAGTTCAGAAATCTCATGAAGAAAGATATAAAAATTATGTCTCAGAATCAACACAAAATTTATTAGATGGTGAAATAGACGAAACACTTTCAGAAGAAGGTACTAAATTTATTCGTAAACATAAGTTACAATTTATTGATAATGAAGAATACCCTTGTCTCTTATTTTCACCACCTCTCGATTCTGAGAAATTCAAAAAAGCTCTTAAAAACGTGACATATGCAACTAATACGATTAAGAAAGAAGATCATGATATTTACACAAATTATTATTTAAATAAATGCACAGGTGTTGATAAAGTTTTTGATTTATTAGATAAAATATCAAAAGAAACCATTGGAACCTATAAAATTTTGTGTGATTGTGGTTTCATTGTTGAAGATACCAATAATGTTTCATATGAAAGAACAGCACCGAAGGAAGACGAAGTTGAAAGGTCTATACCATTCGTTATTAAGAACATAAAAGATATGAAAACTTATAAACATTATATTTATTCATTTATTTCAGAAAAAATGGAAGCAACCCATAAAACATCTTCTCATCATTTTATAGCTATTCATACATTCCTTTTCAAAGTTGTGAAATTAAATAAGACAGGAATTAGATTTAATGTATCAGGGTACGCATTCTTGAGTAAATTAAAATGTATTCGTCACGTCGCGGATGATAAAAATTTATGTGTTCTTAATTCATTTTATGGGCTTTAAAAAATAAACTTTATTTTTATTTATTTTTTAATTTTTTATTCTTACATAAATGAACAAAAACGGAACAGCTAAAATGAATGATAATCAAATTAGAGCAGAAGGTAGAAGGTTATTTAAACGCTTCTATAACATTCCTGATGGTGTTAATCCTAAAACTCGTAGAAGCTATTTAAATGAAGCCATAGATGCATATGAAGGATTTGACATTTCATCAGAAAGTGAGAGGTTAGCAAGAATGTTAAATGTTAATATTGATTTCTATTATTGTGATCCTCAACCAGAAGACGTGGACATAAATAAGGTAGACTTTCCATTAGTGAAATCAATAATGATAGATCCAGAATTTGAAACAATAAATATTTTATTAACACAGAGTCCATGTGGAAAACTTCACGCTGACAGAATAACAGACGTTGAAGCACTCACCGGCTATAAAGTTTGCCCCTTTTGCAAAGAAGAAGTATATTCTATCCGTGATGATCCAGAAAGGAAAAACCAAAGAAGATTTTTAAAACATTGTGAGAAATGTAAAGAAAATAATGGAAGATTAATTCAAGACGTTCAATTGCAAAAGACCCAGCAACCATATGCACCACATATTACGAAACAGAAGATATATCAATGGCTATTAGCACATAATTTGCAGGAATATTATAAACCAACAAGATATTATATTACTTTTGACTTCGAAACATTAGAGACTAAAGAAGAATTACAACTTTCTGAGTGTGCAACTTTAAACGCTTACTTAAAACCATTCATGGTATCATCAACGGTTAAATTAAACGATAAAACATATACGAGGAATTTTTGCTTAACTTCGAGTGATTCTTTTATTTCTGATTGGATTGAGTTTTTATTTTCAACCTGTTCATTAGTTGTTGAATCAAATATGAGTCAATACAATGAATTATTGAAGTCGCAAACGGCGGGGACTTTGTCCCATACATTAAATGAAAAACAGAAGGAAGCATTTAAAGAACTTCTAGATGAGGAATTCAATAAAGTGAATATCATAGGTTTTAATTCGGGAAAGTTTGATTTAAATTTAATTCTTCGTGATTTAAACACTGCAAAATGGAAAATAAAATCAATGCTGGGTTCATCTTCTCAATTTAAGCAAATCATTGTAAAGAAAACAAACGTTCCATATGAATTGAGATTTATTGACATCAGAAATTATATAGCGGGTGGGACATTAGACCAATTCACTCAAGATTTCGGAAACAATAAATCACGTGTTAAATCCTTTTTCCCTTATCAATTCATCACATGGGAAAATTACGAAGAAGAATTATATAAAGAGGAACCATTCACGAAAGATTCATTTTATTCAGCATTAACTCAAGAAACTATATCAGATAGTGATTATCAAATATATCTCAATGATGCTAAAAATTTTAAGAATAGATTAGAATATTTTATTCATTATTGCAATAAAGATGTTGAAATTATGATTGACCCAATCGATAAAATTATTGAAGAAACATTTGTTTATAAAATTGACATGCTTCATAATCTTTCTTTATCATCGAATGCTTCAATGATTCGTTACGCTTTAGCATATAAAGACTTTAATCCTAATGAAAAATATCCTGAGGAAGAGATAGAATCAAGTTTTGAATTAACGAAAAAGTATTGGAAATATAAAATTGAATCATATAAGAAACAAGATGAAAAAGCAGAAAGGGATACTAAAAATAATGTTTCAATGGATGATTTTCAATACTATCACGATTTAATCCTTTCATCTAAATGCAAAATGTGTGGTAAAGCGTTTACATATGCAAATAAACCAACATTGGATAGAATCGATAATGAAAAACCACATACCAAAGAAAATTGTCAGTTAATGTGTTGTTATTGCAATGTCGTAAAATCAAATAAAGATGAAGATGTTCAACGTTTAAGAATCAATTTAAGAAATTATGCATTAAAAAATAATTTACCAATGACTTTAGATTCAGTTGAAGCTTATCACATTCTCCGTAATGGAATTACTGGTGGTCTATCAAATGTTCAACATAGAGTAAATCTTAAAGGAATCACGCACATTAATAAACTTTCATATAATCCAGAAACTAAAACTGTATCAAATGAGGACACCACCAACATTATGACTCATTTCGTTGGTGTTGATTTTAATTCATTATATCCTTCATCATTTTCATCTAATCCTCATGATTTCATTCAATATACTGACCATAAAATGTATATGCCGGGAAGATTGAATGGTGTTATCATTTGTGATACAGCAACAAAGAAAGCAAAAGCACTGGGAATAATTAAGAAGAAAAATACTTTATTCGTGGCTGAAGTAAAGGGTCACATTGATGAAAAATACATTAATGATTACATAAACTTTTTACCGATAATAAGAAACTTAGATATTATCACAGATGAAAAAACAATTGGCAGTTTTATGTATAATTACATGAAATCAAACAATCTACCAGTTGACCAGAAACAGAGGAAATTAACTCAGTTAGCATCAACACACAACCAATATCAACCATTTTCTTCTTATTATCTTTGGTATCTAATAGACAGATTTCATTTTATCATTGATGACATTCAATCAATTTTAACATTTACTAAAAACACTTGTTTTAATGAATTTGCGAACAAATTTATGAACGAAAGACAAAAGGCTGAATTAGAAGGAAATAAAGGAAAAAGTTTATTTTGCAAGATTTCACTTAATGGATCATATGGTTACGATGCAATGAATACACAAAATTACGCAAAGACTAAAATAATGAATGCACAGAAGGCACGCGTTGCATGTATGTCAAATAAGTTTAAAAACATAAGAGAAATAGGTGAAGATACATATCAAGTGATGCTTAAAGATAGATTTTATAGATGTGATACATGTTTACAAGAGGCATTCTTCACTTTAGATAATGCTAAATACTGGTATTTGGTTTTCATTTATTGATTTTATGTATAAATGCATGAATGTTAATCGTTTTCATTTCATTGAAGGTGATACTGATTCATCTTATTGGGCAATCGCTGGCGACCCAAATCTTCCTAACACTCAAGTATTTCAAGCAATTGTTACCGATAAACAATTTTATGATAAAAACATTTTCAAATTCGCACCATTTGATTTCTTCTGTTTTGATGAGAAATTTAAACCTAAATTAAAGAATAAAGCTGAAGAAAAAGCACATGAGAAGA